TGTGTATTCCAACTTGATTTGTTTATTATATTTATTTTATTTTATTTCAATGATTATCACATCTTCAATGTGTCAAAAGGAAAATGGCTGCCACTACAGCAATATACAGCAATGGCGGTTCGTACTTAATGTGAGTTAAGTACGTACACAGAAAAACAAAGTTTTTAAATTTAATAAGAATGTTATTCATTTTTTTAAAATATATTTATTAAAATAAATAATATTAAGAATAAATAAATGCTTCAATAACATTGAAAATTCATTTAGTATTCGATTTTCTACCGAAGCAAATTCAATTTCATTTGGTTGATCGAAGTTACCAAATGTGTCAATGCATTTCAGGAGTAATGAGATTTGTTCATTGAGATTCAAAAGGGAATACGTTTGAAGTTTATCATTAGATTTCTACCGAAAAATTAAATGAATTTATTTTTTTCATGTGTATTTTTTACAATTTATTAGTCCAATGAATATATCATATTTTGAATTTATAAAATGTGGAAATTTAACAATTTATTAACACGGTCTTCCTAGCGTTCTCCAAATACTGTATTTAACGAAATTTAACCAGATTTAGAGATTACGAGAGATTACTTAAAATTCATGTGAGTTCGTAGTAATGACACTAGGTACACGTAGTCATGACACTAGGTACACGTAGTTACTCACAGTTCATGGCTTATGGCTGCAGACAGACAAAATGCGAATTGAACATACGATTTGAAACAAAAGAGAGTAATGATGACTAGAATGGCAGTGCAAACATCACAACTACACATTCATGAAAATCGAATGAAACGATTTATGTAATAATAATTTATAATTTAGAAGTGAAAAAAATTTTCGGATATTTCTCCCCTCTCTCTCTCTCTCTCTCTCTCTCTCGAGTATTGGAAGTATTGCACTATGTGTGCACACAGAAAAAAGTACAGAGATAAGCCCAGAAAAAGAAGGAAAGTGACGATGATGGAGTAAAAAACGACGCGAATAGCATTACTTCTATGTGATAGCGATTTTTACAAACATATAAAAAGTGCATTTGTTAAGAGTGCGTTAATATGAACAATATTCCACGATTTATATCAACACAATGGAAAAGATTCAGCTATTGCTTGCACTGATGTTGCGCTGAAAGAGGAAGATGAGAGCGAAACAGAAAAAATTCCGTAAAAATGCTGCAAAAAGAAGACGAATGTGTATAAATGCACATAGCGCATATGATACACGAGTACAATTCGAGCAACATGATACACACACACACACACACATACTCTGCGATTTGTGTTATATGTTTCCTATTTTTCTTCCACAAACACTAATTGCATTTTCGTCGTGTTTTGCCAATGGCTGAGATTCACATATATGAAGTAAAAAGTTAGATTAAATGCTAAAAACCGCTTTAATCAACAATTTAGAAATACAATCAACAAAATCAAATGGAAATGCTTGAACAAGACAAGAGCGGAAAAAAAACACAATTCAATAAATGCGAGTAATCAGGTAATGGGCCATGTGTATTGTAAGTCCAAAATTATCAATTCCATTTTTTTTTTTCTAATATGAGATTTTCACCGGTGATTTGAGTATGGGTTAGATGATTTGATACTTGGTGCGCTATCATTTTCCGTTATGATATTTGATTGGTTTCCCCGTATGATTGATGAGGATTTTATTATGCGAATACCTAATAATGCGGGAAAATGGCCTTATCTCACATTTGCTAATGTTATAACAGCAATAACAGCAACGAAATTCTTGCAAATAATCTATACTGTGGTGTAGTTTTTGAGGCAAATATCTTCAGCTGTCGATATGAACCTTTGAGAGTTTGCATGCGTGCAATATTAGGGCTATGGTACTATACATTTGATGATTAATTTAATGGCATAATAAGAAATTACTTACTATTTTCGATTACATGAACACTTATTCGTTTCTATTACGACACAGGAAATTATCGTATACAAACAGACAAAATTTTATTTTCATTTATTCCCAACACACAGTGGCAACACTTAGCTCAAATGCAATGCGACCGGTATGAAGCAGTGCAATGTTATGTGATCGATAGCATATGATTTTGATATTTTGATTCATAAAAATGTTTACCAAGCCAGTTAATCATGTCGGCATATTTGTTTTCCTTCACTCACTCTAACATAGAAAGTAATAGCTATCTCTCTCTCTTCCTCTCTTTTCGCATGGTGAAATACATGAGGTCTGCAATTCGTTACACTAGTGTAAATACTTTGACCTTTCTGCCATAGAATATTCATGGGCTGTGTGAGAGATTCTTATGCACCTCGACGTCTGAATGGGGTATTTACATAAATTTAACCTATAGCTACAATTTATGGGGTTTTTGTTCTGATAGCACGAGAGATTTGCAGCTACCTAATTAAATCTCGTTTTTTTTGTTCCAAAAACTATTTATTTGAACCATTTCTTAGAAAGATTGAAATGAAACATAGACCTTCTCTGTTTGACAGCATACACGTTCGCTGGTATTGCAAACAATTCATGCTGAGGACTTTATCGTTCTTGCTTACTTCTTGCGTTGAAACATTTGCTTGCCAGTGAACTATTATTGATTGAAATGATAGCAGTATAACTTACAGAAGCATATTAAGTGAATTCACATATATAGTACATTAGAAGCACGGAAAATTAATAGGATAAGTTTGTATTGATATGGTCAAGTGTTATCATTGTTTTGTCCATCAGCGATAATCAAGCGATAACATACCATATAACCCACGCCTATCTCTACTAAACGTTCAATATGTTTAGCCGATTAACTCCTGAAACAATGACTTGAAGGTCTTGTTTATTACGCTTTCTGAAATTGAATTCTTGACATAAACTTTAACAGTCAACTGTTCTTTTTGACTTGAACCATAAAAAAAAACAACGATTTCATGTATGGTTTCGAATACTGTTTGTGTACTGCTTCATCCGACAGATTTAACTTGCATAAATAAATAGAGCTGCCATTTTACAGCTCTAGAACAACGGCCTGTATATTCCAGCGCGAATTATAAATTGCACGAATGTTCTCTTTAATCGTTGCAAATGCTTTACTTTAATTCCACAACATTTGAATTTTGTGAATACTATTTAGTAAGTAGCGCAAAAGTTTGGTTCGGATGCATAAAGCAACGATTCACACGATTTTTTTTTTCTGCTATGCAATATGCTGAGTTGCTCTAGAAATGCTATACATATTGCTTGACACCACTTGATTGAAAACGTGAAAATTGAAATATTCATGTTAATCCGTCTCTGTTTACACCAGTAAATATATCTGGGTTTTAAAAATGTGTTGGCTAAATTCCGCTTGGGTTAGTTAGATGAGTTCAAATGATGGGAACTGGTGCTTTTTTGCACCTATTTGGCATCAATTGCCATCAGTTTATCCCAACTAACTGACTAATCCATATGGGATTTTTTCACTCATTTTTTTTAACCCTCGGCACGTTTACTGGTTTGTAAATTTGGGTTTAACATGAATGTAGGGGAATGCGATCACCTAATTGCTCATGAAAATGAAATTAACACACAAACCAACACAATAAAATTGCTTAATGAAAAGTGAATTTTATGACTCATAAAAGTTGTGTTTTCTTCGTTGTTTCTTTCGCACATATATACCTATACAGATTGAATTGTTTTAGCAAATATTCGTTTTGCGCAGCAGAATCCATGTTCATGTAATTTTGTTTGAAATACTTGAGCTAATTCATTGCAAATTGATATTTTATTGAAAAATATGGTCACTTCAATCAATGGTCATTTAGACTCTCTTGTGTAATTAATATAGTTACAGATAGCATTTGATAGAACAACAATTTAATCACACACACAAACACACACACACACACACACACATTATTGTCGAAATAATATAAAAGTGTTCATGTTGATGTACATTGAATGAATAGAATGAACCATGAAGCAAATGCATCATAGAATTCAATAGATTGAGCGCTACGTGTTTCAATGCTAAGCGTGAGTGCGTTTTGTCAATCCAACCTTGTTCGGCAAATAGTAAATATTAAGTCACGCAATGTGAAATGTATAAGTGTAAAAGTAAAGTTTCTTTTTTTCAATCTAAAAATAGTGATTATACTTACAATATTTGATGTCGTGTGTGGGCATGTTGAGCCTTTTTGCAAACCAATTTTAATTTTTGAATATTTCTTCATTAGAACACGCCACACAACGTATGCCATTGTATATTGGTTTCGTTCTTAAGCTGGTTAACAGCACAACTTTTCACTGTCTTCAACTGTTTCATGTGGTACCACAACGCGAACGGTCTTGTGACATTTTACTTGGAAAATAAAACCTTTCGAATGCTAAGCATGTAAAAATCACACAAAAAACTGTTTACTTTCTTCTAATTGGAACTCATTACCCGCGCAAGTCGGCGCGTTTGTCGATAGCACACATTTGCGCGGCAACACTTGAATTTCAATCGATACACTTTTTCTGCATGTCATTTTTGTACTGGTTGTTGTTGTTTGTTTTTTCTTTCTTTCTTCAGTTTTTTGTGTATTTTGTTCCGATCGTCATTCCATCGTCGAAGCAATATGGACGGTGTAACAGAGAAACACAAAGTGCTCACAAACACAAATGTGAAATATGAATGAATTTTTTTTTTTTTTTTTGGAAAATTTTCACGTCAATTTTGATGAAAGTTTCTTAGAAAAAGCACACATTTTCACATTACTACTGACAGAATACAAACCAAACAAATATGTCTGAATTGCTGTAAAACTTAAACACAAATGCCGTGTTGTATCTTGATGATTTCGAAAAGGAAAAACAATCGTACCCAACACACTAGTATAGTGTAATAATACGAATCAAACAGAAATGAAATAACATGTCAAAGCCGATACTAGCTGGGCTGACGCGCGCGCCGCACCGCATAGCACAGCACAACAAAATCTATAGTTCGGCTGCTATTGTTACCACTACCATCGCAATACCGTTTTATTTGTTTACATATACTTTTTATTGTTTTCGTTCGTTGCTTTTTTTTTCTCCTAAATATGGTTTATCGTTTCGTCAATTTTCTAGACAATGCCGTGTTGAAAGCTTACACTAGCGAGTTCATTTCCTTTGCATACGCAAACTACATAGCCCCACCTTCAATATATAGGCGATAATACATATATCTATATTGTATGCATCATCGTCATCGTTGGTTTACCTTTATTCGGTAAATTCTGTACTATGGCAAATGAAAAACTACATATACAATATGAACGAACTCAGGTGAATGAAAATGTTTGTAAACCGTATAAAAAACGAAGCGCTACGCAACGCAACACAACAGTGTCATCAAGAAGAAACGTAATAAAAGATATTAGATGATATTAAGAAGGAAATACCTACACACAATGGCTAAGAATATAAGTTTTAAGTGTGGTGTCACAACAGAAAAAAATAGTTCGAATTTCGTATAAGCAATGGATACCAATTTTTTTTTTAAAGCCAAGTTATCCGCTCACAGGTCAATTAGAACAACAAAGATCGGCTGCAACTGCCTGTAATATGTATACGAATGGCATTGCAAAAGATTAGCTGCCCGAGTAAAATCGGTATGGTTTTTTACAGACACATGCTCTATACAACACAGGCGTTCGTTGCTATTTCCATTTGCTCCCTGTATGCTATGAACAAACTTTATCGAGTTTATTTGGGTACTTTGAATGTTTCGCTTAAAATATGCATACAAATTCATGAGTAATTCTGCGAACCGTTAGGCAGTTCTATTTTCTGCCGCCAAAAATATGCATAGAAAGCAACGAGAAAAAAAGAGGGAGAGACTCACAGCTCCAAACGGTTGTGTGGACGCAAATGCGATCAAATGTTTCATTTCGAATGGAAGCATTAGTGCCGGTATTCGTTACAATTAGTCTATGAATTTATTAATTCATTTGGCACACCTTGAACGTTGTGTCTCGATCACGCAACATAATGATGAGGCTCTTAGCATGGTTAGCGAAAAAAAGAACATTACACGTGGAAGAATAATCAATATGCTATATTCTACACCGTGTTGTGGAAGGTAATTGTATTTTTATGTGTATTTCTTCAGCTATTCTCGTCCTTATGTGTCATGTTTCATTTTCAGAACATAATATTGCAACACACACACATGTACTCATACCGGTGTCGTGTTTGTCTTTGGATTTGCATTCAATATTTTATTGGTATATGTCTAAAGGCTAATAAACTACTATACACACTGGGTGCTTAACAGTACTTTTCAATGTCGCCTCGATTTGCTATCACACTGAATTGTTTTTCCCCTTTGTAATGGACACCATTCAGAAGAATTGAATATAAAATAAGAAAGAATGATGCAACACTGTATTTATAATAGTTTTATTGAATGGCATATTGACGAAATTTAAAAAAACATAATAATTCTAGTGATTCTTCAACAACGCTGATATTTAGGTAATAATTAAGCATAGTAAGCTGTAATCGTCCTTAATGTGTAAGTTTAAAATAAATGTTTAATTTTATATTAATGTATACTTGGAGCTGCTGCGTTTGAAAACAAATCTCGTTGTTTTTTTTCATCTCTTTTTATTTGAGTTGAATTGATTTCCATTGGGGTACAAATAAGTTTATTGATAACAAATTATCAAATGGTTCACATCAACAAAAGTATGAATTAAGTGGACGTTGAGAGCGATAACAGTGGCCGTAACCATAACCATAACCGTTGTATCATTGTCTTTTCCGTTTAGTCCATTTCTGTATTTGGCTTACGAATGCATTTTTCATTTGTCGATAAACCATCAAAAGCTGAAAGAAAATATTGATGCGTATGATGAATCAGAAATTATAATTAAATATGAGTATTTTTTTTTTAATTAAAACAAATTACCAATATTGGAATAGACAGACGAGCATCATGAAACACGTACAGATAGCAAGCCAACAAAAACATTGCCAGAGCTGTAACATATGATAGGGTGGAGCGAACATTCTCTTCAGCAGTGGATTGCAATTGTGTCGCTGAGCATAAAAATGGGAATACAGATCTGTTACAGCAACAACCGAACATAAAATATTGTTCCCTAAAAACGTTACATGAATTTCTATCCAACGCGAGTGTAACATGAGCTAATACTGTTTCTAATGCTACTCATGTTACACTCGCGTTAGATGGAAATTCATGTAACGTTTTTAGGGAACAATATTTTATGTTCGGTTGTTGCTGTAACAGATCTGTTTCCCATTTTTATGCTCAGCGACACAATTGTTCGGCTGCTTTTGGCGATGGCGATGGTGAACGTGATGGCGATGGCGACGATATAGATCCAAAATCAATCTCAATATCGTTGTTGGTATTTTGGACAGGCATTCGAGTCACTTTCAATACGGTCGATGTTGAAAGAAATTAAAATAGAATACAAATTTTCTACATTTCAAATTGAAAATCTTTTGTTTTTTGCATTAGGTCTTTATGAAAAAATCATTCTCCAGAGTTTTTTTTTACAGTTTTCTTACAATATCAATTAAATTACATGATTTTTCAGGTAAATTACATGAAGTGATATACGTAACTTTAATGTAAGATACACGATCAAGTTTCTTACGTACCAACCCAGTTAATAACGTTGCAGATTAAAACCACAGTACTAATAAAAATATATGTGCATAGAAACAGAATTGTTGAAATTTTATTTCATTTCTGAAAATAGGCGTAATTACTTTATTTTGAATAATAAATATGGAAATGAATTAATCTTTAGTCTCCAGAAAGACTTGAAAATTCCTAAGACAAAAAAAACACCAGAACAATAGTCCAGAATACTCGACCGGAAACATAAAATACAAACCAATTTTTTCCCCATTCCAATTTACCCATTCCCATTGATATCGAAGCATCGATCAGAACTGGTCAACATTTAACAAAAACATGCTAATAAGATTGGCAATTTTTTCGGCTGTTTGCAGGTGTAAATAATGCGATCCAGCCACCTCATGGTATTCAACGTCAACGTTGTTCCTTAAAACATTGAGCTGGCAAACTTCTGGTCGATCGAATTTATAGCCAGGAGTTGCTCTGATATTCAACACTGGGCATTGAATTAATGCGGCATAGGTGAGAATGTGTTCCAATGTGAACAGTCCCAGGCCACTGTATCTTAACCTTGGATCAGCTGCAACTGTGTATTTTTGTTCGCCGCTAAATGCTGAAACTGGATTTGAACCGCGCTTCAATAAAATTTTCACCGATTCACGATCAATTGAACCTTCTTCGAGTCTTCGTTCGATCACTTCTTCGCATGTCCATTGATGTTGTTTGGATGTTGAGTCGAGATTTATGGTTCTATCAATAAAAGATCCAGTGATAGCAGCATTGATGCGTTGATTTCGAATAATGGGTCCATACGAATCAAGACAAATTATTTGATCAACCTCTTTTGCATAGCATGCCGCATACATAAAACACACATTCGCGCCCATCGAATGACCAACCATTTTCAGTTTTTGCCAACCAAAACGCTTGACAATACGACGAACAACCGAAATATAGTCCCAGTATAGATGGTAATTCATTCCAGTCTGCAAATGGAGAAAGATAAAAACAAATCAATTCATAACTGATGACAAAATAGCCAGCGAACAATCACTGAATAATCAATATATGAAAACAACATATTTTCTGATTTATTCTTCAACTAATGAATGTTTTGAACACATTTGTTCGATAAAATTTCATAAATTCTTTATAACATCTCACCGGAAAGTGATCAGATTGGCCGTGTCCAGGTAAATCGATGCTAAAAACAGGAATTTTCTCTTCAATTCGAAAGATATAAAATTATGTTTATGAACGATGATCGAAGGTTTATCGCATTGTCGTGTAGCAAATTTTCTCAATTAAACTGCAATAAAATGTGACAGTGTGTGATAGCATGCACAAGAAAAAGATAGAGTACGACTGTAGTCGAATGAATTGAGTTTGATAAAATATTTCTAGAATAAAATGCGTAAAATTGTTTTTTTTTTTTTAATGTCGAAATGTTGAAATGTCTCCATAAAATGTTGCAAAATGTGCCAAAAAGTGTGAATAAAATTGCCGAAGATAAAAACTGAATGTGTTTTTTAGTTGAACCTTGTTATTTACACTCTAACAAAGGCGCACTAAATATTGCCATTGACTAAATAATTCAAATCGTCAAAGAAAAAAGAAGAAAAAAAAATGCACAGTATACATCGCCACCTGCAAATAATAATAGCTACCATCCATGTGTCGTGTCATTTAAATGGCATTTTTATTCAAAAGTTTTTAATCGGGGAAATGTAATGGTTGTGTGTTTATTTATTTTATATTACAATTGAATCTTAAACAACGATAAAAGAGTCAAAGAAAGAGACTAAGCGCTTGCATTAGTTCAGATGCACATGAACGGTGGCTGGTTCGATGGTTTGTGTGTTGTCGTTGTGTTTTCGAATACCGCCATGCAAATGGGCTGTGATTTCCGTTAAATCCTTCGTCGGATCACTTTCAATGTAGTCTATGTGATCGCCTTGTTTAATGGCCAATTTAACGGGATGTTGCATTTGTTTGGCTATCGTAACACCGTGTATGCTTGGCACAAGTGCCATAAAAAGAAATTCCGTAAAAACCGACCGAAGTCTCTATCCACTTACCGTAAGTGTTTTTCAGCAAATGAACAGCCACTTCGAATGGTGTAATTTTGGTGGTAGCATCATCGCCTTTGCTCAATTCATATGCTATGCTCGACGCCGCATGGTTGACTTTGCACAAACACAACTTGGATATGGCCTCATCGATCTGTTCGGGCGTCAGATGATCGCTTAAAAATTGAAAATTGTTTACAACTGTGAGTATTCAATTGCGTGCGATGCCTTGTTTGGCGGGCAATCCAACGCAAAATTCACTCTCTCTTGTGAGGCCGCAATGCACGCATACGAAGACCGATCACCGAATTTACTCGCTACAATTTCGGCTTTTTCTTCCTGCAACACGAGTGAAGAGAGAAAAAAAAATAACCCACATTAATCCGACTCATATTTCGATTTTGCCTATCGCAATTTTTACCTTCAATGTGCTCAACGTTATGGTGATATTTCCCATGTGCAGCCCAAATCGACTTCTCTCCGTCATTTTTTCACGATTGGTTTATTTTTATTTGCTTGAAACCATTAAACGACTGGTGAACGCACGAAAAAAAAACTCACTAAATAACTTTATTCGCCGTGGTTAAATGTAGTCAACGCAACACACGTGCTGTTTACCAATCTTTCCAACAAACACACAATTCAAAGTGTGGCATGGAATTTCATTTCCAGAATTTTCATTGATTTTATACGACTAGATTTTGGTGTTGCATGGAAATTAAGCAATTATTTTGTTAACAATGAAACCTCCCCAAGCGCGACTCCACATTTAGCTTCTAAATGTGACACCGTAGTAAGTGTGGGCATACGTTTTGCGAATAAGCGACAAAGAGAATGGAAACAAGTGCGCGTGTATTAGTCGCTACATTGAGAAGCATCGTATTAGGCTACTCACTACCACACACGCACTTGTTTCCATTCTCTTTGTCGCTTATTCGCAAAACGTATGCCCACACTTACTACGGTGTCACATTTAGAAGCTAAGTGTGGAGTCGCGCTTGGGTCAATAAAAAAGAAATTTCGTGCTACGAAAATGCTGCTGTCAGTAAGCGGTTCAAGAGCATGTAAACCGAATGGATACAGTAGCCTCTCGATTATCCGTCGAGCACCGTTCCGCGACCCTGACAGATAATCAAATAGACGGTTAATCGAATGTGCTGCAAAAAAAAGGTTTTTTCCAAAGAACAAAAGCAGTGTTACACTTATATTTCATTTTTTATGTATTATTAGTCAAAAACAACAAGATTTTAATGCTTTTCATGTTTTAAATGATCGAGAGTCAATATAGAAAAAAAACGGTCGGTGTGATTGTTTAATTTAGGACGTCTTAGAGAAAAAGTCCGTCAATTTTGCTTGTTTGACTGTAGCTTGCGTCTTCACAACGGCCAAATGTCTTAATCGACGTAAAAGTATTGCATCTACTTGATTGGCATCATCTTGTTTGCTATACCAATCAATGAATTGATCAAGGTAAGCTGCCGCTTCTCTGGCATCTTTGCGTGCGTCTTTCACGGTAGCTACTTCTTCAACATCATCATTACCATCGCCATATTCCGGATCAGTTTCCAAATCAGTATTTTCCGGCTCAAGAACCATTTCGATTATTTCGTTGTCCGTTAACTATTGATAACCCTGATTTGCTTCGTCACAGGTTAACCATTCGTTTAGCTCTCTCTGATCATCTAGACCAAAAGCAACAGCCGATTGATCTAGAATTTCGTTTGTCACATCATCATGCTCAACAGTTTCGGTGGCAATTTCATCGGTTGACTCAGGCCACAGTTTGTTCCATGATCTTTTAAGAGTTTCTTCGGAGACTTCATCCCATGCATCAGCTGTGTTGTACACAACATTTTTCATATTGTATGCTTTCCAATATTCGATTATAGAAACAGTCTCTTCCGTAACAAGAGCTTCGATGAATTTCTTTCTGTATCTACGTTTGAATGTTTCGATAACTTCACCGAGTCCAGTTTATTGTATGCAAACGCGAAATCTCCAAAATTTCTTTTTCACCTTTCGTAAACAAAAAAAAAAAAATTAACCAAAACAAACCGTATTGCTTTGCGGAATGTGTTTATAAAAGAACCAAACTAAAAAAAAATTTATCGCTGGGGGGGTGACGGTTAATCGGACTGACGGTTAATCGAGAGACGGATAATCGAGAGGCTACTGTATTCAAATTAACGCATCAGGTCACCCCAAAACGAAGGCATTTGACATTTCTGCGTATACCACTGTCATCGAGTTTATTTACAATTGACAACCGGCGACTAAAGTAAATGAATAAACAAAAGTGCAATAGAAAATAAAAAATTCAAGAAAATGGACACAGAAAATTCACCGAATCCAGCAAAGTTGATGTGCAGAGTTTGTGATGGGGTTGGCCATAATGACTTGCGGGAAATACAATTCCAGTGCAACGGTAGAGATGTTGTACTAATTGATGCGTTCAACGAGTTTTCAAGTCTAAAAGTGAATTGTATGCCTAGTGTATTGGTCGAACAAGCTATGAGTTTTTAATTTGACTAAACGATTTTTGTTTTTTTAGAAATCTGCGAAGATTTATTTGTGTGAACCATGTACAGAATCGTTGAAAAAAGCCTTTTCATTCTGGGAACAAGTGAAGCAATCCGATGGAAAATTTACGAAAAAAATCAGTAAAGAAAGGCACACCACAAAATAAATCTGAAGCTAAAGTCAAGCCAGAAGTAAAACCGACTCGGATCCAAAACCTAGTGAATTGCCCGATATAAATGAGACACAAATTGGAGTAAACATGTCGCTATCACCTGTTATCGCAAATACTGAACAAGTTGAGAATGATGAAACCCAGAATAACGACGTTGTACAAATTGGATACGGAGACTTCGATTATGGAATTGAAATGAGAACTGAGGAAAATCCTTTGGTGATGAACGAATCGGAAGAGAAAGGAGCAGAACGTATTGAAAACCAAAGCTGAAGAGAGTCAATCAATGGAATTGGCGGACATTGTCTTCGGCCAACCGGAATCATCCAGTACTCCAGTGGTGGAGCCATGGTCACGAGTCAAATAAAGGAATGAAAGCAAAAAAATCGTCTTCAAATGATCACAGCATGATTGAAACTGACAGTTGCGCCGTACTGTGGGAAAAGATAGAAAATAAAATGTATTCTCTTTTTGAACACAAGCGAATTAAATATAAGGGGGACGACACATCTGCCGCATACTGTTTTTCGATTAAATGCGGAGGACAAATTCAATTCGAAGGTAATTTCAGTTTACCCTTTTGCGAACTTCTTAATTTTATTTGAAGTCCATTCTCATTAAATCGTGTTCCATTGTATTTTGTGAATAGCCATTTCGCCAACTGTGTTTACAAAGAATTCCGACGAGGATAATTTGATTGAAGAAGAAAGACGAAAAGATGAACGTGTCACATGGGATGGTTACACATCATCAGTCAAAGGTGCAACGCGTGCATCGCGAGCCAAAAATACACTGGAAAATCAAATTCATCAAATCCACAAAGTCAAGGGATTGTTGCCAGATGGGGAAAAGGAAAAAATCGGATCAAAACCAGTTGCTGAAGCACCGAACACAAGCAAATTGCCAACAAGTGTTTCGGCTGTCCCAATGCCGGCTCAACCGCAGCAACCAGTACAGCCACAAGTTGAACCGGCAATGCCAATTCCACCTCCAATGATGATGCCACCGATGAGACTACCAATGATGCCATCGTTTTCTGGATATCAACAGACCATTCCTCCGCTTGTTTCAGGTAATTTCAGTTGGCATTCCTTAATTTTGCGATAAACTCTTCTAGATTTCATGAGCTTACATTTAACAATGTTTGATTCTGTTTTCTATTCAAACTATTCTCAAAATAGGTGGTCATCTCCCTGCCAATTTCCAACAATCAACGCTACCACCTGTGGAAAATAATGCAATGAACTTCATGATGAAGCCGTCTGTTCCAGCTCATGATGAGCCACCAAATAAGAAGCAACGCTCCGAAGATAATTCAATACCTGAGACCGAATTCATAGCCACACACAAGGGCGCTGTTTCACTACAAGTTCAAGCACCAAGTGGTGATAAGCCAGGAGGCATCTAAACGGACAAACCATACCGATTACCCTATCGCTTAATGATACGATTTCAACATTGAAATCAAAGATTCAAGAAGAGACCAGTTTACTACCGGCCAAACAGAGGGAATGTTCTTCAAAGATAACAACACAATTGCGTTCTATAATTTGTTGAGCGGAACTACAGTTCAACTACAAATCAAAGAACTTGGTGGCCGAAAAAAATAAAGCTATCAAAATCTTTAAACTCAATTTCAACCTCTGTTCCAAATTGTAACATTTATTTGAACGTGAAAGACATTTAAATTTAAACCAAACAAAGACACGGATTTTGTTCTCCATTGGCCGTGGGATGGATTAACATAAGTTTATGCAGTAATAAAAAAATGAATAGGAAAGCTACTAACTAAGTAAGGGTGGATTTGCAGTTTTTGCAACAGCATGAAGTACTGATACTGTAGTCAATTTTCAGATACATCTGATTATTTCTTTGAATGGCGTTCGACACTTCGTAGCTAGTTGTAAATTTACAGCCTATAAATATAACCGAAAGCCTTTCTTTTCTACCGCTGCTTTTAACTACCTCGAGTAACTTTGCGTAGCTCTCCTCATTTATCCGAAATTTTTGGACATCTATCAATTCGATACGGTTGAGTTGCTTGCCGCATTCAATCAAAGTTATTAGTATAATTACACTCATATCCTGATTATTGGGACTCGGATAAGCAAACGTAAGTATTATTTCGTTGAGTAATGGTAATGAAACTAGCAGTGACATGAATTCGGTTTTCGAACAATAAATTCTCCCTCCCAAATTCAAGTATACCAGTGTTTCCAATTTGGAAATGCTCCTCAAAGCTGTTGAGTCAATAGCAAAAGAATGCGTTTCCAAACACGATAGAGGAATGTTCATTCGGAGTGCACCGTCAATCAATGTTGTAGCGCTTTTCGAAGGACACAAATAAAGGGAACGAATATTCAGTTTCCTTAGGTTTTTCAAATTTCCAAGCCGCTCAAAAGTTTCAGCACTCACTATTCCTTCCTTAACAAAGAGAAAAATGTGAGTTAGTTGTTTCCCATATTTAATAATTCCAGAAACGTATTTATCTGTGATATCACCAGGTATTCCGAGACATAGTAGTTGTTTATTGAATCGAAGAAACTGAATGAAGCTACTTAGTGATGGCACACAATTTCGAAACAAAAGTGTTGCTAACTTATAATTTCTTTCAAGTCCATATGGCCGAACACCTTCCATTGAGGAGTACATCAATAGTTCGAGATTGTTGTAAGCTTCAAACAAATCCTTTGATATATCACTACGGTTGCCGACAAATTTACAATCAAAAAGTTGTAAATGTTCCACTCGCTGAAATATTGGCTTAGCAATTTTACAATCAATAATCACTTCATCCAGCCACAATTTTCGTAAATTATTCGAACGCTCGAGCAAGTTTAGCTCAAGTTGACGTCCAGTTCCAAAAAAATATGTAACTAAGTGGCCAAATTTGCAGATTATCCGCCGCAATTCGGACTTTGTGCAGCTTCCTTCATCAAAACGAAGTCGTATGAATTGGTCGGATTTGTGAGTGGTACGAAATGCACTCTCTGCGAGTGGGCCAAAACGTTTACACACATTTGCTACATGGCAAAGTTCAATTGCTTTTAAATTCCCAAAGATAGTGAGCAAACAGTCATCATTCAAATCCAGGAGAGTTGTCGCATGTGAAATCATGTGGTGTCCCCGCCGTCGTTTTTTTACTGAATTTGGATTTAATATGCTAAGAACTCTGTTTCGCTTCGTTTTAACTGTTTGCTTTTCAATTATTCCGCAGTTATCACCCATTTTAGAATGCACCTTGGAAAAATGTCAACTGTAACCTAATCAAAAATTAAAAAAACAATCACTCAAATAACAAAATTTTCGAAATTTGTGCTGTGTGCCAAAGTATTTCTTTACCTTTTTCTTTTATCGCAAAAGAATTAATTCCAAATATCTCAAGTGCTTTCCTAAATGAAAATTCGACACAAGAATGATGCTTAAATCAAGACGACAGCTGTTTTTATAATTGTTTTGAAATAGTAATAGAGGAAGTAGTACATGATCCATTCTTTCATCGGACAATCCTAATAGAAGCAAGTTGAAATAGATCATTTAGTCCTGTTTTTGACAGTTGACAACAGATACATTTATATTCCGGTACACTTTCGGTTTATTTTTTATAATAATCGTTCTTTTTTCACTTTATTTGTGCATTATCCGATACATAAATAAAAAAAAAATAGAAATGTTTCTTTCATTTTCGTCGTACAATTTCAATGGAAAAAATGGTGTATATAATTATTTACAATTTTTGGCTACAATATGGAATGCTTGAAATTTGATTCTTTTTTCACAAATGTATTGCAATGGAAATTTCCCATTTTTGGAAAGTAGTTTGAATGTTAAGCGTCGTCGGTTCTTTTCAGAACGGATACCATTTCAGAGTAATGCTCTAGCATTTTATTGTAAATGCTTTCGGAGTCAGAGCTCTGTTCACACACTCGTTGCATGTGATGTGGCAAAAATTTACTTACATAATCGAAATAAGTCTCGTGTTCCGTTTGTCCTTTGGGCAAACGTGATAAGTATATGGTATATTTGGTGCGATAAGCAGCAACCAATAAGGCAGCTTCTGTTGTATTTTGAATGTAAAGCGGTGCGTTAAACACATCTTAAACGACTTGAAGAATAGATTTATTTGCTGATGCATCGCCAGTAGCAAGGATCCGGGTATCTTCGCCGAATGAAAATCCCATTTGCATTGCGACCGCTTTGTGATGCAACATTTGACCCTCAATCAGAGCTCGAATCTCTGTTTGTGGTGATGAAAATCTGTGTGAATGAAGAAAAAAACAATATCAAATCATTTGTGTGTTCCATGCATTTATGTTTGACATTCATGTCACTCACTTCACAACCCCCTTCGCTGATTCTGGCATGAGCAAGTCGCTGTTTTTGTTCCAACGAAGACTGCCCTTCACATTCGGAATGATTTCTTTCTGCACAAAATGCAGAGCCATATTACCATAATTGCCTCTTGGTGTCGATTCTAACAGTTCACTGAAGTTATTCCAGTCGTTGTTCGCTTCAGAACGCTTGAAGATATCCCGAACAAGCAATCCGTTTCGGAAGCTAATCGAAGAAAAACATTTTGATAAAAAATGTGGGTTGATGCAATTGTTGGTCATATGTTGGATTTTATTGAATTAACGTTTACCATAGCATTCCCATGAATCCCGGCTCAGTTGGATGAACGAACACATGACCTTCTTCAAGTTGAGTGGTATTGGTTTTTATTGGTATATGTCTAAAGGCCAATAAACTACTATACACACTGGGTGCTTAACAGTACTTTTCAATGTCGCCTCAATTTGCTATCACACTGAATCGTTTTTCCCCTTTGTAATGGACACCATTCAGAAGAATTGAATATAAAATAAGAAAGAATGATGCAACACTGTATTTATAATAGTTTTATTGAATGGCATATTGACGAAATTTAAAAAAAAAAACATAAGCAAATTCTAGCGATTCTTCAACAACGCTGATATTTAGGTAATAATTAAACATTGTAAGCTGTAATCGTCCTTAATGTGTAAGTTTAAAATAAATGTTTAATATTATATTAATGTATACTTGGAGCTGCTGTGTTTGAAAACAAATCTCGTTGTTTTTTTCATCTCTTTTTATTTGAGTTGAATTGATTTCCATTAGGGTACAAATAAGTTTATTGATAACAAATTATCAAATGGTTAACATTAACAAAAGTATGAATTAAGTGGTTGTTGAGAGCGATAACAGTGGCCGTAACCATAACCATAACCGTTGTATCATTGTCTTTTCCGTTTAGTCCATTTCTGTATTTGGTCTACGAATGCATTTTTCATTTGTCGATAAACCATCAAAAGCTGAAAGAAAATATTGATGTGTATGATGAATCAGAAATTATAATTAAATGTGAGTATTTTTTTTTAATTAAATCAAATTACCAATATTGGAATAGACAGACGAGCATCATGAAACACGTACAGATAGCAAGCCAACAAAAACATTGCCAGATCTGTAACATATGATAGGGTGGAGCGAACATTCTCTTCAGCTGTGGATTGCAAGTGTTCGGCTGCTTTTGGCGATGGCGATGGCGATGGTGGACGTGATGGCGATGGCGACGATATAGATCCAAAATCAATGTCAATATCGTTGTTGGTGTTTTGGACAGGCATTCGAGTCACTTTCAATACGGTCGATGATAACGATGTTCTGCGGTCAGAAAGAGGCGATTTTGATTGGCTACGCCGCTCTAATGTCGATGCACGTCCGAGTTGACGTAAGCGTGATGAACTTCTCACTTTTGTTAGCGTTTCTTGCTTTTTCGTATCGATCACGCTATCAGTACTATCATCTTCATTGTTCAGTTTCGTCGATTCGGTCAAGCTTTTAGCATTCGCCTGGAAGATGGCTTCATTGTTCGCTTTAACATCGGGCTGTTTTATTTGACGAACTGCGTACGAAATTGACTTTGTATGTTCCACACTAATTTCAACTAAATCGTTTTGTGGCAATGGCGCCGCTATCGATTCGGTGTATTGGTTCATTTTTTTGGCCACTTCCAACATATAATGTTCATCTTCATCGTCATTAATGTTGATTTTATCGATTTCGGGCGACATGCATCGAGACGGCGGCCCTTGGTGTGCGATTGATGCGCGTTCCTCAAGTTCAGCTCTTGCAGCCGCTTCCCGTAATGCCTGATGATTCATATACAACGGTACAGGCGATTTCGTAGTCGTTCTACCACCCAACTCTCTGACAATGTCGCTGTAATGATCAATTACTGCAACTTGTTCCACTTTATTTTCTTCAATTGAATTTTGTCGTTGCTTTGAAAGTTTCTCTTTTTCTACAGCTTTCTCTGGGACTTTTTTCTCAAGCGGCAACTCGACCGGTTTCTTTAGATTTTCTGCAGATGTCGCCTTCTTACTGAATAAGTTCAAAAAGCTTCTTTTCTCTTTTTCTGGCTTTGGTATTGACGGCAACGATTTTGGCTGCGATTGCGGCTGAGTTTGTAGCTCTGGCTCTGATTTTGGTTGAATTTGAGGTTGCGGTTGTGGCGGTAGCACTTGTAATTGTGGTTCTTTTTCAACTGGCTTAGTTTCCACAACAGTGCTTGTTGTTGTTTCATTTATGGCGTTTTCGTTAGATGTCCGTCGCTTGAGAATCGATTTTGGTTTTATATCTGGATCGGGCAACGGAACAGGTTTATTTAAAATTACAGTTGCGTGGCCCGGCTCTGGAGTTCTATATGGTGAAAGTGCGCGCATTTCCCGCATTTCCATACGCGGATGATAAGTTTCTAGTTCATCATTGACCGGAGCTCGTGTATTCGTTGTGCTTGTGGTCAAGTTTGTGTTTGTTGATGCTGCTGATCGCACTGAGTTTATGAACTGTTCAATTGATTCAACGGAGGCAGACAATGAAACCGATCCTATTGATGACGCCGTACTCTCTGTGTAATCATCATCGTAATCAACATCTGGCAATGGTTCGTGTCGAGTGTGACTGCGTTTTCGTTGTGATTCAAAGATCTCTTTTCGCAAATCACGATCATGGTGTTGATCAGTTTCGATTTCAGGTTCTGGCTCTAGCTCTGAGTCGCCTTTCACTTCGTTATCAAACGGCTAAAATCAAATTCGAACAAGTGAAATTGAATAAGAGAAAACAAAAACTTCTAAATGAATATTTCATTACCGATTCGAATTCGTTGCTGTTCATTGTGCGATCCATAGATTTGGATTTTCGGTTTGAATTGGGATCAGAAATTTGTTTTCGTGCCCTCTCCGCTTCGTCCAGCTCAACTGCCTGGTAAAACCTTTGCATTACCTATGAATGATGAGTTACATTCGAAATCAAAACCAATTTAGCGAAAATTTTGGGAGAGAAAAGAAGAAAACCATCCTGTCTATAACATGGTCGAATATATTTTCATCGACATTTTCGGTGGTTTGAAATTTTACTGTTTATGAATGATTCTGCATAGAGTACCTTCTCATAGAGTAATTCAGATGAACTCGCAGATCTTCTTAATGGTTGGAACGGATTGTGATGTGACATGTCATGTAAGTCTGGCGTTGATAATGACAATGGTGGAGCTTCAATGGCTTCTTTCAAGTCCAAATCAAAATGATTTTCTGTAGAAGAAAATGTAAAATTTATGAAGATGGAGTGCATATTTTTTTCTGCAAGTCAACCCACCTTCGTAGTCCTTCTTTTCCTTCTTTTTGTCATCATACAAAACTAGCATGTATTCATTGCTCGTGTGAACTTCATCGTGAGCGGCTGCCAATTTGTTATTTTCATCACTAAATTTGTCGTGCGTTCTCTTTTCATTGCTTTGGAGCGATGTTGTAACTATGGAAGGTTTTGATTCTTCTCCGGGTATGACTAATTTAGGTTTATTCACATTATTTTTACTGGATTGGATTGAATTTGATTCGGAACTTTGCTTCGAAGACGGAAGTGGATCTTTCTTTTTACCATTTCGATTCTCGACACTTGTGCCGTAACTAAGCTCCTTCACGATTTGTTCATTGTCATAGATTTGTGAAATGAATTCAACATTTTTGGGGACATCTGATATAATAATTTGCTTAATGGGACTTTTTCTAGGTTGGCTGTAAACCACATTTTTACGGTCCACATTCGGCGAAAGTGACGATTGTTTGGTGATGCGGTTACTGCGTTGACTACTAGGTGTAACAATGCCTCGTTTGGGATCGGGAATGAAAAGAGTTTTTGATTCCTCGCTTGGTTCGCTTAGCCCATATGGACTTTCAGCCTTTAAACGAAACTTATACTCAGAGCCTTCAATCAAATCATTCAAGGTGGCGGTCAGCTGTCTGGTGGATGACGCTTTCAACCAAACATCCCATCCGATGCGGAAATACTCCACTACATAATTTCCAATTTTACATCCACCGTCATCTTCGGGCGCTGACCAAGTGAGCGTGACTGATTTGCCCAATGACATTGAGATTCGAACATTTTGCGGTGGGCTTGGCTTTGCGGTGACAGTCACAAGAAACGATGCATTGAATTCACCCAATTTATTGATTGCCCGAACATTGAACTCCCCTCGATCTTTGCGCGTGGCTTTGGTTATTTTCAAAAACGAATTTTTATCGTTTGTTGTGATTTCGTAGCGTCCACCATTTGTAATGATATCGTTATTGTGCGACCAGGAAATGGCAGGTGTTGGACGGCCAGCGATGCCAACCTTTGTTTGATACGAAACATTCAGAATGGGTCAGAAACCTTTTTCTTGTCAAATATGCAATTTTGTTATTTACCTTGAGTTTTATTGATTCGCCAGCCTCAACCAAGTATCCATCTTCGTATTGTCTTGGCAATCGTATTTTTGGAGGTGCATCTATTCTTAATTGGAATCTGGTTACAACGTGTCCATAACGATTTGTTGCCGTACACTTGATTTCGCCTTCATCGGTGAGTGCAATCTGATGGAAAATCAACGTGCTCGAACCAAGTTCATTAATGATTTTTGTTCGCCTACTGCTGAAAATTTCGAATCCATCCTTAAACCAATTTATTTGAGGAGTCGGTGATCCGATGACACTGACGTGAAACTCGCATTGATCGTTTTCCAATACGGTCGTGTTTTGCAGTTCGTTTAAAAATTGCGGCGCTGATGTGTCACTACACTGCGAAATAATGGAAATGGGTTCGGATAAGGGGCTCGACTCCGACATTCCAACGACATTTTGAGCAAAAACACGGAACTGAACTCTCCAATTGGGTTCGATTCCAGTCATTGTGATCTCTGGATATGGTACAAGTGTGGCCGATGTTTTTACCCAAGTTGGTGAACCGATTCGTCTATGTTCAACCAGATAGCCTATAATCGGTGATCCACCATCTGTGTAGGGTCGATCCCATTTTATTTGTAACGTTTCAGTAGAAGCATTTAAAGGCGTCACTTGGATCGGTTTGCCAGGGTTTGACGGTGGTTCTGTCAAATAGAAATGAAATAGTGAATTTTGCCAAATTGTATAAATCACATGCGGAAGTAGTTTTTCTTCGTTAAATTTCAATAATCCCACAATTTAAGCTCAATTCTGTTGTCTATTGTTTTGCCACACATATTTTCAGTTTCGGCAGACATCAATTTCTTAAAATACAAACACAAAATTCTAAAAATATCATATTCAACACATGTAATAGGTGTACATTTACGCTCCGATTACGCGCACCAATATCGGCTAACACAATCAAAATATGCAAAATTACACAAACACATTCAAACGGATATAGTTGGAATGTTGAAACGTCGTTCAACAAAATGTATGTGCATCCATCCCAGTGAATTTATTCGATTTCATTTTTTTTCGTTTTTGCTTCTCAACAATTAGCACCGCTTTGCAGTACATCCACAGCTCCATAAAGTGAGTTATCAGAATGGCATTGATGTCGTTGATTTTATAGACAAATACAGAAGAGCGTTCAATTGATTTTTACCTGCTGATTTCCAATGCACGTTTTTCTTTGGCCGATGATCACGGTTAACATTTTGACTCGACTTTGTCGAATGATTGCCCATTGCTGGCGTTGTTTCGAGCGTCTCAGAACATCAAATCGCTCAGCAAATAGAGCAGAAAAAAAAATAAAATAAATAAAAATTAAACTAGATCAGAGAAACAAAAAAAATATGCAAACGATAATAGAAAAAATAAAACTTAAAGAAAAAAAGGGGAATTTTGTGAGACAATAGCGTCTCAAGATGTCGACGCCCGTCTCTCGCGCACAAAATTTCAAACACTACTGCACAACTTCGGTTGCCGTGTATCGTAAGAATGATCTTGTTTTAGAATTCCGAGCAAAAACGAACTGACCCATTACTGTTCTACAGGCAGTTTGTTTGTGCGCAAATGTGTCTGTGATCTATATTTTGGGAGAGCGAAATTTAAATACGTCGGAATACCTATTTATTTATATGTGTACGGCACGCTGAAGAGTGCACGCGTTGCCTGTAGTCAGTTGGATTTTCACACATACGTTATACGTTCGGCACGGTTTCTGCTGAATGTTTAGTTTTTCTTGAAAAGCGACGATTTAAAAATATTCTCTCTAACGCAGAAAGACAGGAAAAAGGGAGAAAAACATGAAAATCTTTGTTGCTATCAATAGTCTTTTTCGCTTTTTATTCCTTTATTCTTGTGAATGTTTCCTAAAATGTGAGCGTACTTGAATCACGTTTGAAATTTATTGCAGAACTGATCGGGCTTTTCCTTTGCTTATGTACTCGATATTTTGACGGGCTGTTTTCATGAAAGCTATCCAATTGCAAGTGGAAAATAACTTAATAGTTTACCCGAAACACATCACTCGATAAACATCTTATTGTTGTGGGTTTGAATGTACTGAAAGTAAAATAAAAACTAACTTTGATCAGCGGTTTGCTCACAGGTTCAAATGAATTAAATCATTATGTTAACTGCGAACGAATGAACAATAGCATGTGGATATGCTAAACTGAACTCAACAACAAATAATATAAAATGCTAATATTACTATGTCAACGTCACAATAAAGCATACAGTACCATTGTTGCAAAGAAGACTGTGACTGAGTAAACTGATGGTACGATTTTAATACGGAGAGTCTACAGTTTTCAGTGCTGAGTGACGTCCTTCTTTGCATTGCAAACTTTTCTACTCAAGTGTAAAATACCTGACTCGTGAAGAGCATGGATTTTATTCTGAGTATATGTTTCATATAATGTTAGCCAACGGCTATTGCGTTTCCAAGTGGCGTTGGACTTTATTCTTGATAGTAATCAAGAAAAAACGGCAGTATCTACACTACATCTACTTTCTGCTCCGTAGAAAATGTTCCGTTTTGTAATTATGTACTGTTTCGAATCTTGTTACTCTTGGGATTTTAATGATTTTCATTGTCAATAAAGATGTGATGCTACGTGTACGAATGCATCAGCATGAGCTCATCTTATACATTTGCTCTCCAATTATTATCAAACATGCTACCTGTTCAAAATAGGCTATATAAGGTTACGGTTGGTTTTTCTGGCACAGGTTGAAAACATCATTTCAACAATGATGCGCTGCTCATGATGGTTTTACAAATAAATCGAAACTCGAAATTTATTCTTCCAAATTACAGTTGACCTGAAATGTTTTTTTTTCCCTTGTTACCATTGAAGGACTACTCTAACAGCTATTATGTGAATAGAGAAGAATGTATCGCTTGTTTTCATGCTGTGAAATTCTCCTGTGATCTCCAAACGCTCATTGGCTTATGACTTTTTTTATTTCAACATTTTTTTTCCTTGTACCTTCAAGTCAATATCCATTTTTCCTTTCATACCTTTCTCATTCCATGCACAACCAATTCGGTTCGAAAAAGAAGTGTATGCAGTGAATGTACACGATTGTTCACTGATTGAATACAGGGTGCTTTCTCTCTAAACACATGAAACAGAAATGAAAGTATTGGTATCTGCAATGCTGTGCAATATTATTTACAATCGGTGTATGATAATATTATCATTTCTAAATCCAATGAGTACAAAACCAGAAAATATTATTCGTTTTTATTTTCAAAAGAAAAAAAACCTGTTTTTTTTATCTTATTCAAATAAAAATGCAGAAAAATAAAAATGGAATTACAATCACATTCGGAATTTTGGCCGTGTTCAGTTTTACTTCGACGCAAAATTTTACTTTTGCTTAAAAAGAAGCGACAAGTGAAATGCTTATGGAGCACCCAGTGAAGACATGATACGTCGTCGTATGTGCTCGTATGTCTGTACACAAAGCAGTTGAGGCTGTGTTGTTTTCTTGATTTCTTACATTCGTTTGATTAGACTGCGCAGTGCGCACACCTTGGCGCACCATTTGTCGAACGCAAACTTTCAGTTCGATTTCACATGCTCATGTAAACGGACACGAATACAGAATCGAAACTCGGACCGAGGATTCTTTCTAGAGCCATTGTACAAGGAGTGATAATTTTGTGTTGCTTACTCAATATTTATACAAAATAAATTTGTCATGGTCCTTAAGTGTAACATTAATTTTAAAACCATTTTGATCGAAGTATTTGGGACTGCAACAGGACGAAAATATGTTCAATAAATCCATTAAAGTGCACCTCTGGGGGAAAAATCAGAAACATTACAATCGTATTTGATATACAATTTGTTGGAATGTGTAAAAGTGATGGCGCATAATTGCAAATAAAAACATGCAACGAATGATAATTTCAAGAAAATGTGTAACAAGTTTTCAATCATAAAGTGCGTTCTTGTGTGTTAAGAATAGAGTGCTCCGAAATAGTTACGTTTTGTCAGTATATATCTGCATGAAACAACAAAGATTTGGAGTGAAATTCACTAGCATTAACATACACACAGAGAACTTAATTGATAAATGCATTTATCTCGAGGATGCAGCTTCCCGGCGCAACGTTGCTTCGTCAAAACACTCGTCGTTAACGACTGGTTCTGTGAGTGATGGTTACTCATGTCGACTTCAACAGCCTCGTCGTGTCGTAATTAACCTGTTTGTTAGTTTGTTGGCTTTCTATCGTAAAAGAAGAAGAACAAGAAGAAGAAGAAGAAGAAGATATTAATAAACAGAAAGTTCGACGACAGTACCAAAGAGAATGAGTGATAAAAAAAACAGATGAAAGATCAAGAAAACACACAACTTGTTTTTAGAATAACCACAATAATATATCAGCGCATCGATATTGAAAAATCATCAGCGATTGCATAAAAATAAGAGCTCAGACTTGTTGTCAACGTTTCGTCGACCTCAACAAATCAGTTGACCAAGTGATAATACGTGCTCTGTTCATTTGTTTTGATTAACAGCGTATATAAGTGTGTGTGTGCGTCTTTTAATTTACACCTAAAATAGAAATAAATCCACCAAAATCTACCATATATGATTATAATAAGCCATTTCAACGGTAAGTATACAATGAAACTGTAGACTAGCTTGATTTTTTTGGACAATATTGAACTGCACTAATGTGAATATATGGTATAATACAGAAGAAAACCAACTGCTTCTCAATCACACCGTTAAATGAAACCAGTTAAATTGGCACACAATCAGAATCAGAATCCCAATAGTATCCAATAACTGTAAAATAAAAGGCAGAAACAAGTTTTCTGTTTTGTGTCTTTCTTTTTTTTTCTTCGTTTCAAAGATTAATGCACTGTCAAATGGCGCTATTATTCGAGTGCAGAACAAATTTGCAATGGCAATGTCCAGTTAAATCATATATTGGACTCTTGAACAAATTATCTTTGATAGTCCATCATGTGCATCTCATAGTACGACAGTCTGAACGCTGAAAGCAATATTGATGCATTGTCACGTCACAGTCGTATGTTGTTGAGGCTATTAATGCCGGCGATGGCAGAAATGGTTTTGTTCTATTTAATGGTTTAAAATGCGTGTATCATGTAGCTAACTCTTTATGACTCGTTGGTCGATCTTCGACATACACAAGCACACGCTCACAATTTATGCGCTGTGCAATGCCATCCGTTGAATACCCTAGTATAATAATTTCGCATTATTTTTTTTCAAACATGTGTTTTAAGATCGCTGAGCATCTCAGCATTTCGTAAGGCACGGATATATCCGAGCATATCGACGACGCATACTGTATAATACAGTGGCGTGTGTTGCTACGTGCAGCCGCAACGACTCGACCGAAGTGTGTTCAGTTGATGTGGCTGCACGCAGCAACAACATACACATTCCGGTCGAGTCGTTGCGGCTGCGCGTAGCAACGCACGCCACTGTATGATTCGTCGATATGCTCGGATATATCCGTGCCTTACGAAATGCTGAGATGCTCAGCAATCTTAAAACACATGTTTGTTTTTTTTTTCTTATATATTTTGCGTGTTCAGTAAAATTTAACAATGGACGCAGATGTATTGAGTGCATTGAAAACACAAGCTGCTTATTTGGCGGGCAATCGCGATCGTCCGATTATAATTGTAAAGGCACCAGCTGGCGAGTTGAAATCAACATGGAAGAAACAACCGTTAGACCTGTGTCTTCAATATTTAATTAACAGTTTGAGGTAATTTTTTTTTTAATAACAAGTGCACAAATAGGTGCACAATTACAACCAGAAAAGTGTTTTCAATTAAGCTATCAAGTCATTGGAATTCATATTATTTTTTAAATGCTTTTTTACATTTTGTTTTCAACATTTCACGACTTTTTCGCTGTCTGTCGCTGTTGAAAAATGAAAAAAACCTATATTTTGTTTATTGTTTTTTTTTAACATTCGTTTCCACAGCAAAGAAACCGTAGACAATGGACTCAATATCCTCATTGATATTCAGTTGTGCTCGTGGCGATATGCTCGCTATACGATCCAATATGTAAATGAAGTGCTGAACAATAAAAGCGCTAAATTGTATGCCGTTCGGTCTGAAGTCTTCAAGTATCAAAATTGTACAAAAACTCACCAATATATGGATGTGAGTGCTTTTGATGCCTTTTTTTTGTCAGAACCATTTAATCTTGAGGCGATGCTTTGTTGATGTTGACTAATATAATACTTTGATGATGACATTTTAGGTATCAATTGTGACTAAATTGAGATTATTCAAATATTTCAAAAGCGATGAACTTCCAGAAGAGCTCGGTGGATTGTTTACGTTAAACCATGAGCATTGGCTAAAAAGTCGAATAGTAAGTGAATAACAACATTCATTTCAACCTTTTAGTCAACCAATCACTTGTGTTTCCAGCATCTTTGACTACGTATAATATTAGTATTTAATGACATTTTTCCAATAACACATTGCAGCGCATTGAAGATTTTCGAAAATCCTTCAATAAAGCAATGGTTGATTTAGACACCTTCATCGAGTCGCTGCAAGACTTGAAATCGATGCGACCTACAGAGATCAATGAAGTGGTGAAACGAAGATCTGGCACCAACATTGAAATGCAAAACGTCGTTAAAATGATTATAAAAAATGGTAAGAGTTAAAATTACCCAAGTGCAATCGTTACGTCTTTTAAAAGACGTGGTTCACGTATCCACGCCTTTCTCACGTCTTTTATATAATTTCCTGTCTGAAAGACGTGCATCTTCTTTGCAATGGTATACAGAATACGCGAGAATGGCGTGAGGGAAATTTCAGCTATATCATTTATCACTGCACAGAAGACGTACGTCTTTCGTGTGGTAATTATATAGAAGACGTGAGAAAGGCGTGAATATGTGAACCACGTCTTTTAAAAGAAGTAACGTTCGCACTTGGATGGTTATTCTACTATATACAATGAGTCAATCATTTATCTTGGTCTCGTTTATATGGGAAAATGTGCGTGGTTCAATGCGTTCAAATGTAAATTGTCTTCAAACATAATCAGATAAACATGTATGGAGTAGTGTCTTTTGTGTCAACCAAATCATTGACATTCATTTTCCCGCGTTGCTTGCTATTCATCTGAAAAAAAAAATGTCATCATAAGAATACGAATTTAAATTCCACACTGAACTTATGAAGAAATTCCAAAATAAAAAAACACGCGGCTTTTTTTTAATGATACTTTCACAAAACTCGTTTTGCATAAATCACTTTTGAATATTTTCTTGTGCTCTCAGCGTTTTTTATTCGTCGCCGTTCTCTTTAGTGTGAGAATGATTATGCGCTGAATATGCTAGTCGTAAATGTGTAAAAATTCAAAACAAACCAACGGAAAAAAAATATAATTATAAATTTATTATAATTTTTTTCTTCTTCAAATTTACATACATATCAACATTTTCTTATTAGCACTAATAAGATCTGTTTCGTCTTATTCTCCGTACGCTTTAAAAGAGAAACTCGAAGAAAAGAGATGTAATTGTTGGTTTTAAAAACAGATAAGCTGCGAATATGTGCATTTTTCATTAATATTTGTTGTTGTTTCGTTTTTTCAAACACTCTTTTTTTTGTTTTCTCTCTCAAAAGTCGCAGTAGTTTGTTCATTACGCAAAGGTACAGCCGTTAAATTACAGCATATGCGCTCATAGATACATTTTCTTCATTACACCAGCAGTGTACGATATTTGGACGTTTTCACTACTTTTTTTTTTCTTTTTTGCATTCATTTATGCATTCACTGCATCACATGAGTTCGCGTGGCTAACTATATTCGTTAGCAACGACATCAAATTGAGCTGAAACGTTCCATCTGCATTCTGTTGCGATTTTGCTTGGATTTCGGAATGCTTCACCATAAGCGCGTATGCCTGAGATGTGAATGGAAGAAATAATAATTATGAAATTTGTTGAGCGCTGTTAGTCACTCTATTTCCACTTACTTTGACTGCGCTCTATGAACCGCGCAGAAAAATATGCAACTGTCGCACCTAGATTTCTTTCACATTCAATGGAGTTTGGTTCGATTGAATGTTCAATCTACTGAATGGAATATGAACGTCGTATTTTTTCTTGAAACGCCCATACATTGAACGTTATGCTGGTTCGGGTAGTTGCGTTCAGTTGAGTTGATTGACTCTTTAAACAGTTGTTGCACACATGAAGTTGAACCGACCATAATGGTGTACGATTATTATTGTAACTTTACTCCAATGAATGTTTTGGCTTTCCTAACGTTTTCTTTTTCTAAGGTAATAAATTGCTGCTCGAATTGAATGATTCACTGAACAAAAATTACTGCAAAACACGGGATATTATCGATGCGAGAGAGGCAATCAAACGCATGCTCAACCAGATGGAGCAAAAGCAAATGGATTTCATGGCAATTTGGTGTGAATTCGAAACATTTTTATCAAATTTGAAAGTGGCAACAACGCTTATCGACAGCATTGGAACGGTTACTAAATGGATTTTGGGCAAAGGCGAAGAGCTGATTTCCGAGCAACATAAAATCGGCACTGATTTGGAAACGTCCGAGGCTTTGCGTGATGCTCACGATGCACTCGAACTGAAATGTTGTGATACATATGGATATTATGCTAAAGTTAACTATAAAATCAATTGTTTTATCAATGACAAAGATCCAATCACAGCCAATTCAATAATATACAAAGATTTATTGGCTCAAAAGCAGTTTATGCAGTTTTTGTGTCGAAGTTTTGCGAACCGTTTAGAAAAGCGTCGTATTATTTTGATCACATGCGTTCGATTTTATCGATTTGTCACGCTTTATTTCGATAGATCGAGCCAAGTGTTTGATCAACACATTGTGGGGAACAAAATAATGGAATTCGAAATGTGCGCGAAAAAACTGAGATCACTGCGCGAATCGAAAAAGGAGCTGGAACATATTGTCGGGGAATTAGAAAAGGAGGCGGAAAAGCTGAGTGATTTACTTTCCATTCCAACGAAAGATGTCTATGGACGAGACACTGGACTAGATTACACGGATGAAATCACCATGATACGGGACATTCTTACCGAAACAATGAATCGACGCCGCATTTTTTTCGAGAGCGTTGAATTACAAACCCTGACATTCGAGCAAATTATGGCAATTTACTCGTACGAACGAGACGCCTCGATGGCAAATAAATGGATTGACGACTTATTGTCGATCACTATAAAAACCCATTCCTATGTCGGCTGCAACATATTTGAAATTCAAAGACAAAAACAAAGCCTTCAGAAGATTCAAGAGACTGCTAAGGTAAAACACATTCACATTCTTTTCCGGTTCATTAACTACATTTATTTTTTTTTTTCGAACTCCAGAGAATTTTTGAATACGGAAATCAACTTTTGGAGGCCTCGTCGGCCTTACGTGTGTCTTGCAAGCTAGATGACTCTGACAGCCGTGCAAAAATAAAAACTCTCCTCGATACATGGAAGAGTTTAGATAATATAAGTCAGGAGCAAATGACACGACTAAGGGTGTCCGCTGTATTTCATCGTACAATGGATGTAGGTTTATATGATTCGCAACAATGGCATAATAAATTGATTTTTGTTTTTATTTAGGAACAATATCAACAACTGAAGGAATTAAAAGAAACGATCGAGGCAGAGTCAGAGTCGGAAAATAAGGAAGAGCAATTGTTGCGATTACGTTTGCACATGCTCAATCGAGAGCAATTGATCGTTGAGATTGGTAGAATGGTTCGGCTCGGAAAACTATTACGATCACGTTTGAAGGAGCCATTTGGAATGGAATCAATGACCTGCACAATAAACAATGGGTGCGTTATCTTATTAATTTGTTTGTTTATATCATTTTCTGAAATGATCACTTTATCTATGTAGGAAAACCGATGAAGAAAGTGATACAACACTTCCAATCCCAAAAAATATCGAAAGTAACATAATTGCAGCGAATGCAATCACTGGTAAATTGAATGAGGTGTCTAAAATCGCCGAGTCACTGGATGTTGCGTTAAGAGAAACTCAAACCATCCTAGAACTTGACAGTGCTCAAATTGACTCTCTTGAACGAAAAAATGATGGAAATACCAGCATTGACAGCCGTGGTAGTATTGATGTAAGTCATCCATTGATCTTATATTTACATATTCACAACTAAATCATTTTCTTTATTTATTTTTTTTTTTCAATCAGGAATTGAATTCGTTTGCAAAGTCATCGACAGAGGACGAATCATTTGTTACAGCATCCGAATGCACATTAACACCTCATTCGCATTCGTCGTCTTATGAAACAGCATCAGGTGGTTCGATGTCGCCATGGTGGGCAAGCAGTGGAACTGACAAAAACTCCTTTGAAACATGCAGCAGTTCTGACATGGACTCAGAAGTACCATCGATGCAATTACTTTCGGGAGTTCTTTCATCGGCAATCAATTCATTTTATGATTCAGATAACAGCTTTCAGTCCATTTATAATTCCAGCGAAGATGTTGACGATGACTTGAATGGTGGCAGAAAGAATAAAAATCTAGAGCAATGTTCTGATTTATCTGACGTTTTCATTAAGGCTACAAAGCATACTGTTAAAGGGTGTCTGTAACAAATAAGACAGTCACATCAATTAGGTTGAATTCATATATTCCATATATTCCATATTCATACATTCGCATCATGTGCCTCCATTCACATCGATTTGTTTTATGTTTACTTTTTCAAACGAATCAATATAAATGTTCAAGATAATTTTACGAAGGAAAAACAATAAAACCGAAATTTATTTCAATTCGAAAAAATATTTTTATTCCAATTGGTAAGAGTTTTCAAAAAAGACAGCGGGAGCGTGATATTGAAAGACTATAGCACCATTGCAAATTAATCTTCAGAGTGAGATACACTTTTTATTATTGGAATATGTCTCAACAAAATTTTATTATGGTGAGTTTTAAAATGGAAAGTTTACCCCGTTCACTACAAAGGTTAACCATACAGTAAGGTGTGATACATGTCTTGATATTGATATTGTTTGAAAAAAAGGACCGCTCTGAACTTGCTCTGAGGATGTCATACGCGTGCTGCTCGCGATGATGTATTTTTGGCTATCGAAAAATTCGATGTTTTTTCGGCTTTTTGTGCAGTGAATTATGTACGAGGAATATGTGCCAAAAAGCAGAGGAGACCTGATGCTTGAGTTATTGGCAAGCCTCACATCACATGCACGTAAATAGATTGTGATTTGGCATTTGTTCAGTACGAACTGCGCGTATCACACACACACATACACACACACACACACATATATACTGACAAAATCGCGCATATACATCGCGGTTTTTATACACACTGATGTATTTATTCGCTTCGCGAAGAGCACGAAATACGATAACAACAGAATGTAAGCAATGTATAGCGCTCATGCGTTATGGACAACAGATCGAGAGAAGAAGAGATAAATGGAGATGAGTGTAGTATTATCGCTGCTTTCATGATCATCGAGTGGATCGTATTTGTTGTAATCAAACTTGTATCGGCGCGCGCCATACACAGCGGTCTCGTTGTGCTATGTGCACGATGCAAATGTTTCCAAATGTATGTGTGCCAATATGAACACATGTTCAGGCAATCGTAAATGGTACGTGTCTGTGTATGTACATTATACACTTGAATGTAAGTAACAGCAAAAGCAGCAGCAGCAACAATATTAACGGCAAAAATGAAATAGAAGACGGGCAAAAACGTCAACAAACACACAGCAAAAGCAACTTCTTTCGGTACACGGATACGCATCGAATGTTTCTTATATTCGATTGAACCTTAGTCTGCTCTATCTCTTGAAACGAATATGTGATGGATTTTGTTTGCGTGTGGCTAATGTATAAAAACATTCAAATCGAATGAACGCGCGTATATTTCGGCGAAAAATAATTTTGATCAAAATAACAATCTTCACCTACTCCTGATCAATCGAATATCCAATGCGATTGGTCATTTGTACACCGATCAATCGCACTTCATTTGTTCCGCGCTCTTGTACAACGTGATGAGCAACTCGGATTGATTTTTCTTTTCATTGAAAATACTCGCACCGTATCGATAGCTTATTCACCAATTAGCATGTGAAACTGAATAGTTTGAACAAATGAATTTATTGCTGCTCGGCATTTTTGTGTGCGCCAGAGAATTGGATGAAAGAAGATAGTTGTGCAGAAAGTTTTATCTGTTCAACCGGAAAATAAAGTGTTAGATAAACATCGTGACTTTGTGCCGTTGTTGATTGATTTTATCTAGTGTCTTGGATTTGTATGATTGATAACAGTCATTTTGTGCTCTAATTTCATTAATAAATAAATCAGAAACTGTACTGAATCCGGTGTGCTTGTGTGTTGTTGTATTTCAAAGATTCGAAGAGTCTTTTTTTATTTCGCTTCAATTCAAAACGGTTATCGGTGAACACAATTTTGAAGAGTGGAGCTGAAGTGACCAAACGAGGAACATCAACTCAACGCAAAATCTAAATATATGCGTTTTTTCTCTTATTCCTTCGTTCAAACAACATAAAATCAAAATACAGAGAGAAAAAACAACAAAAGAAGAATTAAATGGATTCTTCAGCGAATAACAGTAGATATAATACGATGGATACAGAAGACGATCGCGCTATTGCAACAACATCAGCATCACCTGCAGCAACTGAAACGGCAACCACGATCAGCACAATCATCTTACAAAGTCATCCAATACAAATCGTTGTTGGGATTTTGCAGGTAAAAATTAAAAGTGCACCATCACTTGGTGCGTCCGTTCTTTCTGGATTTTTTTTTTTCATTTCGTTATTTATCTGTTTTCGAATATAGCCCATTAAATATCGCCTTATAATAAATTATCGACTTCTTACTCCATGCCGTTGTCTTCACATATTTATGTGCATTTTTTTTTTGCTCGTCAGTCTCTTTGCAAATGATATTGAATGTATTTGAAAGCCAACCGTGGCAAGTTCTTGGTTTTGTCTTGCCTTGTCTTGTCTTGGTTTGGCTTTGGCTTTCGTGATGAAATACTCCGGCATCCATAAGAAATTCGTATGGCAAATATTTTCGCTGATCATCTGTAAGTCTGCGTGCGAATGTAAGGCGATACTATGCTATAAAAATGCTGATCCTTTCAAAGAACAGATTAAAGCATGCAGAAAGAAATTTTGTGACCACAGCGAATTGAAATTAGTTGCCGTTAAAATATTGCGATCTGAACTCCTAAATGTGCTATTGCCTGCATTCGCACAAACAACACGCGAATTCCATTTTCCGCAGTGACCGTATGTTGCTTGCTTAACTTTACCAAATTGATGCCATCAAACGCGCTTATTTCATTTGCTTGTCAAGGAATCGAACAACTGAAATCCTAATGAAATTGAATAGTTTTCAATTTTCCCCCAACAAAACCTGAAGAATTTTTTTTTGTTTCTTCTTGAAAATTTGCCATGCTTTAAATCAAACAACAACAATTGTGGTACTCGTGTTTTTTTTTTCTTCTTCATATTAATTTTGTTTTATTTTTTTTTTTTGTTCAACGCTACGGGAAAAAAATCTATTTTCGGCCGCTCGGCAGTATAAATTTAATGTTGCCACTATAAAATCTAGAAAAATACGTATACTTGAAACATTTTCATTCGGCATTTGTGTTGATACATACACATGAAAATCGCTTCTGTAAAAATGTTGAAGTGAAACTGAATTGAAAAGCGGGTTATAGCAGTGATTGTTATGTTATGCAGCCCGTTCACAGTAATGTCGGTTCTCTATATAAATATTTATTGGTGGCATAAATACAACAGTAACAGTAATTTTCGATGAATGAATGTTTGAACTAAACATGTATCGTATACATCACCGAAAAAAACCGCTGGCGGCGGCACATATTTTCACTTCGCCGAATGACGCTGCTCGAGTTATTATCAGAAATGCTAAATGCTCGGAAGTATCAAGTGTTATTGGCCCTAATTTGTCTCACATCAGTTGCGGTTACAAAAGAAGAAAACCGAAAATTAAGATTTGTTTCTTTTTGTGAAATTGTTTTGCCAGTCGTATAATTCGATGCGCTGGTGATTTTCTTCATCGACCATAAAAGTAAGACGTCCAAAAATAGCGCTCGAACATATTTAATTGTAATGATTAGGAACAGTATCCAGTGGAAAACCGTATGATGCCAAAGCAGCGCAGCAGAGATATTCACGAATACTGAAGAAAGCAAGACATTCGCTCTCATTGAAGTGCAAACAGCCACTCACAAATTGAACCGAAAATAGAAAACATGAAACACAAACGAACCGTATGCAGATTGTAAACCTAGTTGTAAACATTGAAATGAATTTCACATCAAATCAAAGTCACACATGTGCTAAATGCGAGTCTGTTTGTTGTTTAAGTACCTGGGTATCGTACATGCTGCACCGTACACATATTCCTTGTCTACTTTGTCAGCCAAACAAATATATAACACTGGCAATGATAACCGTCGTCAGTTTTGACACTATATTGGGTGCGGCTCATGTGATAGCAATGAATCTCTCTTCACCACCGTCCACGGATTTTACAACATTTATTAAATGCATTATAGTATGTTTGCTGGTATTGTCTTGAATTCAATGGTATCCAGGAAACAATCATCGATTGAGAGAACAAAATTTATACTTAAGTGAAAGCAAAAGAAAAATCTCCGTGTAAATTTCATAAAATGTCACATTTGACACTTTCGCTCATTTTTCGTTTGCTTCAAGAGATTCAGAGAGGTTTAGCTAATGGAGGTATGCTGTTGAAACCACAGTACGCAAATATATCAAGCCGATGACTGAAAATTGATTGTGGCTTCATTGAATATACGATTCGTAAACATAATCGCTGAATCTTTGGCATTGTTGAGCGTTGAGCGTGCTATTATCGTTTCCATTCTCAATCCGAAAAAATACAGCCTTGATTTCATTAGAGCTGAATTTTTGTTAGCGACGATATGTCCGGAGGAAAGCAACGCAATTACTATAGTTGCCGCTGCGGTTTTAATGCCCCAATGGAATTATCACGGCAAATATTGTCATCATTGATTGAGACGCGTTTGCTTTGCTAAATTGCGGAATTCGAGCAATATCAGTTTCGCAGCGGTTGTCTGCCACACTCTATACATCTTTTATCATGCGTATGATGTGTGAGTTAAAAAACAAGTTACTGACATCATGCTGTTTGGTCTTTATCGTTTTCCAGCATTCGTTATTCGAACTGGGATGCTCTATGAAACCGAAACTATTGTTTGTCATCGTCACCATCGTCGTTGTTTCTTATTGTATGCAAATGTTATATTTCAATGATGCATATACATATGCAATATTTTCATTTGTGGTGTCGAAGTTATGCGAACACTTGTCCCATTATTACTATTAGCCACAAAATGTGTGCTGTAAATATGTAACAAAACTTTTGAATTAGCCAATTAAAATAAATTGAAAGTAGTTGCTGAAATGAACTGGCATATATACTTTTTTCATTATATTTATTCAAGCCAACTTTTTGGTGGTGGTGATCATTGGCCCGATTACTTGCAATAGCATCTGAATCATTGCAACAGATATTAATATTATAGATTGGAAATTGATCTTGCATTCATTAACATAAACATGCTGCGCTGCTTCTTCTGACTCACCATTGAGAAGAAAAAAAACCCATATGTTTACAGTAAAAATAAATATTGTGCATAAAATATGCTACAAATACGAAGTGCACATTTAAATTTACCTCAAATAAATGGGAATAAGATGTTTGATTTGATTTGTTTTGCGTTTTACCATCCTTTTACGCTTTCGAATCGCATTGGAATATTTTATAAATTTATGATATATTTAAAGCGTTTTTCTCTCCATATTTTTGTTTATAAAATATTTTCCATTCCGCTTGTTACAAATTATCATTAAGATTCGCCGCGACTCGCTCTCAGCTCGAAATGATGAGTGTTGTTGCTCAATGCATACACCTCGAGCAATGCATTCACTAGGTTTTTATAGAAAATCGATAAACATGAGTAAATTCATTACGACAAAACTAAGTGCGCTGTGCTCCCTCATTATTGTATTAATTGGCTTAAGCAGAGCATTTATTCCGAATTCATTTGCATTATGTTGAGAACCTTTTTTTATGTTGGCGAAATCGTAACATGCGCGCATAGCTTTGAACATTTTTTCTTCTATCGGATCTGTTGAAACATTGGCCAATCAACACAAATAAATCGATGACCTTTCGTACTCAATCGTCGAATATTTGTCGACGTTCATAATGTTTGAAGACATTTTCAATGTTCCTCCATTTGCACGCATTTCAAACTATTGATTTTTTTGAAATTGAAAATTAAACGTACCGTGATCGATGCTGCTTTACGTCAAAGCAAATGAAAAATACCTCATTTTTACCGATCGATTCGGACTTCTGTTTGCTGTTAGTTTCACTTTCGTTGGTAAATCTGTCGTTAATTCCGACGTGCGTATATTTTTGTTTGCAATCAATAAGCCGACTGTTGTAATCAATAATCAATGATCACATAACCGGTTCCCGATTTTATTCCAAAAAAACTACTCAATTTTGCAATAGTCAAAGAGAGAGAGAGAGAGAGAAATGGTTGCTCTTTATAAATGAATGGGCTGTATTGATATTTGTGGCACTGTGCGATATGATTCATATAGTATGGACATGTTGAATGTTTTACCGGCTTTTCAGTGACTTAATTTATTCGATCTAGCATTTGTGTTACTGGCTAAAAGTTCTGCACTCTGTCTTATTCTTGTTCGCATCGCTTCGCATGTATATCAACGAATAATTGAAAAACAATTTAGCTGAAGCAAAACATTCTTGTGAATCGGATTGAAAAAGAAATGCGTGTCGAAAAATTGGCGGAGAGCAAATCTATAAATAACAACTAATAAGTTCATGTTTACCACATCAAACACCGAATTGTATGTGTAATTCATTTTGTTTTCGCGGTTATTATAAGTATATACTAGATGTTCATCTACATACAGGCCGGTCGATTTGAGATAGTCAAATATAGATTCATGGGGGAATTGGGAATCGTGCATGAGCATGGGTGAGTCATAAAAGAATGGATGAAAGGCAAGCAAAAGAAGAAGAAACAGCGGTTATATCCACGATAAAAGTAGCATATGATTTGTTGCCATTTTAATTTTGCTATACATTTTGGACATATACTAATATCGTATGAAACGTTTTTCTTTCGAATAGAGTAAAAATAGTCTGCATATCAAAATCGTCGAGATCACACCGAAGCTCAGTTTTCTGGGAGGAAGCATTGAGGAAACTGTTCAAATGCAAAGAGAACATGAAGTCGTTTATCGCAAATTGACCACACAAAAAACACCAATTGATGAGTTTGCTGTCAAGGCTGAACAATTGATTGCCGAGAAGAATGCAAACCCAAAGTTGCTGGAAGCAATGGAACACTCCTTGAATATTGCATGGCAAGATTTGCTGAACATTTTCGAACAACGCAGACATGTACTCAACATAAATGCAAATTTTCACGAAAAAATCGGCATATGCTTGGGCAAAATGTCGTCGTTGGAAGTTGCATGTCGTGACACAATGCTACCGAACGAGATCGAAGCCATACAGGATTTCTTAAACAAATTCAAGCAGCTTCGCATTGACGTTCTTGCATCGGTGATGATGACGCTGAAAGAAGGCAATGAATTGTTGGCAACTTTGCGAGAAACAGCCATGGGTGGCCAGTGCGACACGAGGCCCGACAGCATTAAGGTTGAAATAAAAAAATCATTGGCCCAGGTCGAGCTGTGGCTCGAGCAATTGCATGATCGACGCAACGAACTGGAACAGGCATGGCAGACGAGAAAAACTCAATTAGAGCAGTGCCTAGCGTTTGCAATACTAATCCGTGACATCAATGAATTGCAACAACAATTGAGACGACTAAAGGGAATTTATGACAATCGTAAGCACCAATTAGATTCAGAGATAAGTGCAAGTAATGCACATGCCGAGGTAGTCGAGTGGAAGAATGATGCGGTCGTGATACGCGATCGAGCGATCAAAATAACAAGATCAACAGAAAAACTGTCAAGCACCTGTCGCTTCGACAACAGCAACAACAACGGCAACAATCGAGCTTACATGTTCCTAAACGAATGCACTGAGCTGGTCGAAGATTTAGATAATTATGAAGAGCTTTTATCGAAAATTGCATTATTCTTTGAAAAGGCGGAAAAAACGCTAACTGCTCTACGCCAACTAGAAACCGAATCATCGAACTTGATCAAAGAGAAGATGCTCGAAAAGTATACGCTGACACGGTTGATCAATGACACAGCTGCACTTGTTGAAGAGCCACTGCGCCTTGGTTACGCTTTATTGGATCGTATTGGCCGATCGAATCCAGAAGCATTTAGCATTGAAAAAACAATTGTGGAAATTGAAAATCGACGAATCTATTTAGAAGAGCTATACTCGCAATACAATTTGGACTACATTAAAATCACTCAGACATTGAATGAATTCTACGAAAGCTGTAATGGCATTTCGGCTTGGCTGGTGTCGGTGAACAAAGCATTTTTTACTTCCAACAATTCGATGGGCAAGTCACTCCAAGAGGGGAAACTATTCCTTCAGTTGCATCATCAAATGTTGTCCGATCTTGAGCACAAAGGAACGGAAATCAATAAACTACTTATCGACACTAGCCAAATTCTTGAGTTGATCGAAAGAGAAGAGCGCGATGAAGTGGACGAGCGTGTTCAAAAATTACGCGATTCATGGGACATTGTCAAAACAATCGTGGAAAATCGAGTGGATTTATCGACAAATTTCATAAAATTCCTGCAATTAGCGGAAAAGCTGGCCGAAATGTTCAAATGCGTAGAACAAATCCTACAATCAACACCCGACGAGTCGAAACTGAGCCAAATAGACGAATTATGGGCTAGAATCAACTCGGCATATACACAGCTAAAAGAGGACGGAAACAGTTTCGTTGAACACATTTCAATGGTAAGTAGTTTGATCGCGTGTAATTGCTAAAAATACCTACAAACCATGTTTTGTGTGTGCACTCGCATGAAAATACAAATCAAGAAGAAATCGTAGCGTACTGAGCATGCCTTAAAATAGCTCAAAGGGCTTCTTCTTCTTCTTCTTCTTTGAAGACTATCACCAAATTAGTGGAAGTGAGGCAAATATCTATGGCATATTCCGTGAACTGAGAATTGAATGCATTCTGGGTTGACTTTGACTGCGTGTGTACACTGTACATATGCCAAAATGGCACTCTTTCTCCTTCACTTTCACTCTCACAGCACGTCTAGTCGAAAACGACAAATCGAAATGAAACAAGTCATCATCACGATCTTAGATTGAACGCGACAAAAATGGTTTGTTTCACATTCGGCCATTAGCCAGAATAGACCAAATATACGTATACATGCTCAAACCGCAGTGATTCGTCTTCATGTCTGTTGTCAGTTTACGAAATGCGCCTTTATTCTCCAGAATAAGATTTGTACGATCATCGCACACATGTTGGAACCTAAGACCTAAAGTCTATTTATGTAATAGGTTGTCGACGATAGTCTTGAGAGGCGAACGACTCGTGAGTACGTTGAACAGATTTTGACGGATTTCAGTTTGCGAACACTTAGTATTAACAGCTTTGTTGAAAATTGGACCACAATAATACGTGAACGACGGGATATTGAGCAAATTCTTCAGCAAATTATGTCCAAAAATGAACTGGTAAGTGTAAAACGAATGAAGAAATTGAAATTTTACAAAAAAAAAATTGTCCAAATAATTTGCCACATGTTTGAAATTTTCGTTATTTTCTTCTGCATTCCATTCTCTTCTACACAGTCATTGATTTCCGCATCGAAATTAGATGCGCAGCTGTATCCAATTTTAATCAAACAGACCACCGATTTAAATTTGCTCAAGGCATTTCTGCACGATAAATTGCATTTATTTTTGGCCGATATAGAGAAGGCACAAATCGAAATAACACATCATATTCAAACGACGGCCGCCTTGCAACCAAAAGATGACAAAACGATTGACAAAGTGACACAAGTGCTGCGCAATCTCAATGCGATTGTCAATAAACTTGCTTCCATTAAAAATGATTTCCAATCGTTAATCGATGGAATCGTAGACTATATTGAAAGTCTCATCACAACGAAGAATTCGATTGACTTGTATTTCAAGCAAGCCTCATTCAGCTCCGATTCAAAGAGTGTTGATGCCAAAATTGCGGAAAATGAACAATTCATCGCGAAAATTCAACAAGAGTTGTGGATTTTGTCCCAACAAAAGGATCGTCTCATTGAGCAAATTAGCAAACAAGAACCGTTCGAAGCCAAAGATCACGATATAAACTTTGTAAAATCACTTCTGGACATCGTACAAGATGAGTTGACATCACGGAACTCTGCTTTGATTGAGCGATTAAAGAGTGAAGGGGACATCGAACGATTCAAAGTGAATTTCAAAGCCATTTTCGAAGATGTTGACCGATTGAAAACGCAAATAAACAACACTGAAGCACAATTAAAGGAAACTCTGCTCACCTCAAACACGAAATACATCAGCTATGAAAGCTACGAACAAGTTATACAGGTGAGTTTGTGCCGAGTGTTTTGAAAATTATACGAAATTGATTCTTTGTTTCTTGTTATTTCAAATTTATCATATTGAAAAATGTGCTTATCTCCATTTTGTGATGAAATTTCATCCTCATTCATTTTAGATCCTAGATCAACGAATTGATAAATTCATCAACACATCGGAAAATGTGTGCAATAATAACAGCGACGCGAAGCCGTTCATTCAAAATTCGATAAGTGAATTGAAACGTTATTGGAACGATTTGAAGCGCCAAGCCAATGAATTGGAGAAAAATATCGAGAATATGAAACAGTATTTCACAGTAAACGAACAAGTAATTTATTTTTTACGTTCTGGTTTTAGTGCAATCGATCGTTACAGATTTGAAAATAATTGATTTTATTTTGGCCCACACACAAACAGATTGATCGGATTTATAGAGAGCATAGAGAATATTTGCAAATAATCATCAATCAAATGTCATTTGCGAAAAACGCACACGAAACAGACGAACTGATCAACAAAATCGACCGATATATTTCGGATCACGAGTCTCGACAATTGGAGCTACTGAAAGATTTGGCAATTCTATCGAAAAATGTGAGTGAAACTTTTGTTCGATTCCGTTTCTTCGCTTCTCAATATGAGATTAACGTTTTTTTTTTCTCGTAGGTATATGGTTTCGATAAGACCATTGAAAAATACAGTGAAAATATCGAACTGTTTCAATCTTTCTTTTCGACGAAAAATAAGCTAAACCAATTGGGTGAACAATTATTGGAGGAGGAAAAAGCAAAAGAGGCTGCAGAAGCGGTGGCAGCGGCTGTAGCAGCCGAACAGCTGCGACGACAACAGGAGATTGAAAAACAGCAGCAAATAAAGCAATCGACTCAAGCTACTGAAGTGGTGGATTTTGTACCCAAATCGATTATACAGCAAAGACAGTCGATAGATATTACAAAAATTGCTGAAACCCGGCAAACACTCACACTTGAAGAGGCACCACGTTTTATCCATCAGCTTCGTGAGTCGGTGGTACAGGAAGGTGAAAAGTGCCAATTTGTATGTCAGTTGGCAAGCTGGCAACCAGCCATTCATATCGAATGGTTCAAAAATGGTGTTCCAATTGTTATGGTCAATCCACACTATGTGGTTCGCAATGAAAACGATCTCTGTACTCTTTCGATTGAAGAAACACTTACAGAGGATTTGGGTTTATTCACTTGTCGCGCCACAAATAACATTGGATCGGCCGAAACATCTGCTAGACTTTGTATACAACCGAACGAACAAACTGAAATGCTGTGTCCTCCGAAATTTATAAAGCCGTTAACAAATTGCAGAACATCGTCTGGCTCTTCCCTGCTGTGGAAATGCTTTGTTGGTGGCACGCCACTACCAACGTGCCAATGGTTTAAAAATGACGTATGCATCGATGTTTCGCCACGATACAATATTTCTTATAATAATGGCGAAGCAACATTACGTTTAGATGACTTATGTGCGGATGATGCAGGCAAATATACATGCGTTGCTAAAAATATCCTGAGCGTTGATCAGTGTTCAGCTTCGCTGACTGTAAACGTTCCGCCACAATCGATTGATTCACTTGGTAAAAATGGTTAGTTCAAGTTTACATTCGATCTGAGGCATGTTACTTGTCGCTTTATATATTGTAACATGACACGATTAATTTTCGTAGTTTTGCTTTGGCACATTTCAAATAATGAAAATAAAACGCAAGGAATATATTTTTCCGTTTTTTCTCTTTTGATTTTTCAATCGAGATCTGGGTTAAATTTATTCATTTTGCTAAAATGAAAGCCGAAGAAAAAAAACGATAAACCAAAATGAAATAAACACATTTAACTTGATTTTTATGTTTTGAACAGCTGAATCAGACAGTGCCTTGCAATCGCAGCAGCAACAGATTCATCATATTAGACCCGAATTCAGAACGCCATTAAGTAATATATTCACATCGGTGTGTCAGGCATTTGAGCTGGATTGTGAATTGGTTGGTTGGCCGAAACCAGACATTCTGTGGAAGCTCAACGGCAAGCCGCTCCTAATTAGTGACCGTGTTAAAGTAAGTGAGCTAACAAAATACAGTAGAAAACTAATTGAAATGCCAAGTCTCTTGCAAACGAATAGTCGTTGTGATCACACCAGTCAACACCAAATCAACGCGGGTTCCGTCAATATTTTCAAGTTTATTTTTATATAAGTTTGTGCTTAGTGTTTGAAAAAGCGCAGATAATTACTGCAAAGACTATGGTCGTTCGCGTCATCACCGTTTTTGTTTGGTATGTTTCTTCTATTGGCCCGCTTTTTTGCCAGTGCGTGCGTCCATTTAACCCAATGGATTATGACGCTCGTGTTTTCATTGAACACGAACGAAAAGTGAGCTAAATTTACAACTTATTTTCACGAAAACGAAAACTTATCCCAACGAATAAAATTTTAATATGTTTTAATAGCTATGACTTAAAGATGTACATGTTAAAGATTAAACTTTTTTTCGTTTATTTCTGTACATTTATTGAGCAATTTGTTTGCACAGAATCAGCATACATAGACACAAGTCGATAGCTGCCTCAACGATTACTTGGCACACAAAATGAAAACAGAAGAAAGCGTTTCAATAATCCTCAATAAAAATTTACTGTAAAATTTATTTTTTGTCGACAGTTGCAGCACGACCACGATCGAGTCAAGTTGCTAATAGCTAAAGCTCAACCCATCGACGCTGGCACTTATACCTTGTGTGCAAAGAATATTGCTGGGATTGCGTATACTTCGTGTGAAGTTGCAGTACAATTAGAGATGGCCGTGGATTCAGAGGTAATAAAACGGAAACCCAATCATAAATCTCTCCCGTTTGGGGGAAGGATTTAAATGGAAATTCCAGCGGAAAATCTCATTTTAGTGTGATGAATCTAAGAAGAAGGGAGTTTGAAGGGAATTTCAAATTGAATCAATTTATTTAATTCTCACATAGGTTGTCACAAACCTTCAACCGACCGTATTGCTGCCCTTGAAAGATGTACACGCCATTGAAGGGAAGTCCGTACAGTTGCAGTGCGAAATTAGTGGATCGCCTGAGCCAGAAGTGATTTGGTATCATGAAAATAAACCGGTGAAAGAGTCATCAGATGTCCAGCTTTTGTTCCGAGGTGATCGATGTTCGTTGTTTATTCAAGAGGCCATGGCTGAAGATGCCGGCGAATACAGAGTAGTTGCATTGAATTTGGCTGGTGAGGCATCCAGCATGTGCAAGCTATCAATTGAATCTTCCAATAAGAAAGTTGATTCGGTTAAAAACAGTGCAAGTGCAGTGAATGCCACAGTCGATGGATTCGCGCCAAAGTTCGAGAAACTTCTGTCTGACATTTTAGCCAATGAAGGGGAAACTGTTGAATTGGATTGTGTTGTGGTGGGCGAACCCAAACCGGCAATCAAATGGTTTTTGAGCAATAGCGAAATTATTGAAAATGATCGCATTCAATTCGATTACAATTCGGAAAATGGAAAAACAAAACTAATTTTGAAAAATGTTTCCATCGATGACAAAGGAGTGTATACAGTGCAGGCAACTAACTCACTTGGTGATGCGAAATGTTTTTCACATGTAAATGTGAAATCGATTAATGCGTCGGAAAATATACCAGATAAACAAGTCGAGAGCGATGAATCACACCATTTTCTCGAATTCAAAGAGAAATTCAGCGATAAGAGTGCTCACATCGGCGATTTGGTCAAATTTGAATGCATCGTTGTGGGAAAGCCAACACCAAAGATTCGTTGGCTATTCAACGATAGACCCGTTCAGGGTAAGCAATTTTTACCTTCAACCAGCGGTGACCGACAAGTTTTGACAATTCCAGCGATCAGCAATGAGACTATTGGTAAGATTTCTTGCACCGCCGAAAATGATTTTCACCGCGAATCTTGTTCGGCTCTTCTGAGTTTAACGCCTGACCTTGTACTTCCACCATCATCGCAACGCACCGAATTTTATGCGGAGGAGTATGATACAAACTCGTCAAATGTAACCATAAAGAAGCAATCAACAATCTCAACGCACACATCACAAATTACATCGTTCCAAAATGGATCAGCACCACTAGGTACTGCCGAAGCGTTGAGCATACAACCAAAGGAGAAAATGGTCAATTATGGCGTTAATGACTTTACCCAGCTGAAGAGAAATGCTCTTTTACAGTCATCACAATCGAAATTGGTGTCAACCGAAAGTCTTTTTCCCAAATCACCAAAGAAAGAAACAGCTCCCCGATTCATTTCTCCTTTCATTGGGAAAATTATTGAACAGGGTTCCAGCATGACATTGGAGGCGATCATTGACGGTTTCCCTCAGCCAGAGATTGAATTAACGAAAAACGGCGAGCCATTGTTTGAAAAAGAAAATTTAAATATTGTTCGCAAAAATAATCGCATCACTATTTCATTACAAGATGTAACCACCGCAGATGCCGGTCGATATTCGTGCAGTGCAACAAATCCCATTGGCAATGCGCTCAGCACGGCTGATGTTGTCGTTAAAAGTGAGTTAATAATTAGATATGATTACAAATGTTTATGAAAATGGCGTTTTCGATTCCAGAATCCATATTTCCGCCAGTGTTTGGGCATAGATTACAAGCCAAGGTGGCCAAATGTGGAGAGCGCGTGATCATGGACATCGAAGTTTCTGGTATCCCGCCACCAACGATAACCTTTTATAAGGATGATAAGCCATTGCACGAGTCCAATATTTCGGCACACAAAATAAGATCGAGTGGAAACTGCTACACACTCGTCATTGAAAAAGGTAAAACAGTATTAATTAATACAATAGTCACACTTCACACACATCTAATTGCTTCAAAAATAATCGTATTTCCTATGCGCAGTGTGTAAATTCGACGCTGGAAAGTATATGGTGAAAGCAGTTAATGATGCTGGCGAAACACAAAGTATTGCTGATTTCATAATTTTAGAGCCGACGCCTGAACGAATTGTTGACGTGGTAAAAACAGTTGCGGTCGAGAATATTGATGAACATAGGGTATGTATTTTTCGGCTAATTCTAGCAGTTTATAAGTTAGCTCAACTTGACACCTTGTGTGTTGAAATGATTTGTATTTTTTAAAATTGTTTTTATTTTTTCCACTAAAATAATGCCCATTGAACGAACACACAAAACACATACCAAAAAAATCGATTGAAAAGGCGGGACTTGATACAAATACGTCCGCCATTTCACCTAATTCATATCATTCCTCGCAAACTGAAACCATTAAACAGTCTGATTCGCATGGATCCAGCGAACAAACCATCCACACTGAAACATGTCGAATAACTGAAACGACAATGCGTATGGAACATAAATCACCACTTCCCGATATTGAGTTTAATCCATCACCAAGACCATTCGAATCTAGAGACCAATTCGAAATTCAAACCAAACCTCATGCCAAAGTAGTTTTAGAACCACACCAAAAACAACAACAACAACATCACAATGAGTATGACCAATTGGCTGGCCATAAAACATTTGAAAACACTAGATATACCACATTTGATGCGGCAGCTCCAAAAAAGGCGCAAGTTTTTATCCAGGAAAAACCATCTTCTGAAGCACATATGGGCTCCTTGCCAAAAACCAATTTTTCTAGCGTATCACAGCGTGTGAAAACATTGGAACAGTGTGAACAAGAGGTGCCTTTATACAAATCCAATCCAGTGTGGAATGCATTGAACGACTCACCAATCAGGCATTTCGATTCGGAAAAGCCTATTCATACGGAGAGTTCCACTCCAATCTATCAAATGAATGGAGTGGGTACGCCAAATCCAGTAAACAAAACCTTGGAGAAAATCTCGAATAAAATGCAAGAATATGAACAAACGCATTGGTTGAAGGGCTACGATTTGAAAGCACCGGCATTGGTTAAACATGTTACACCAAATGCGAATCATTTCAATGGATACGAATCAAAGGATGTAGCACTTGCACAACCACTGAACATGGAACCGGGTGAAACGCCTGAATTTTGTTTTGCTCCACGTTTCACAAGTGAAAGAAAACCATCGCTTGTGGAAAGAATCGAAAAAAGTTTGGAACGAGAATTGGAAAAGGGGCCATCAAAAGTGTTGCCATATTCAGTAAGGACGATGCCTCCATCACCACAAACTGTTTCAACGGAGACGTTTGAATCGACTAAACGTACTGTGTTGACACAAGCTAAACAGCCCGAAATCAATGTGCACCACAAAGATTTCAATCATATCAAAAACACTTTCTATGAACACAACAAACCATTACAAAGAAATGATCATATTCCTACACCAATACAAGCTCCCCAGGTTCGAAATGTCTGTTTTCATGTGTACATTTTTCAATGTGCTGAAATCGTTTTCTTAACAAAAATTCAAATCTTCTCAATTCAATAACAATATCCATTATCCAAATAATCCAATTATTTTCCGTTTTACACATCCGGATTGTTCGCTTAATTCTTAGTTGAGAAAAGTCCATCAATTCATTTATATACTGCCTATTAATTAGCTTGCACCAATTGATTGTGTGTGATTCTAACTTTCATTGCGTGAATTTGCATGAAGAAAATACATTTGTTGTTAAAATTTATTCCAAACACTTTCAAAACATTAACAAAATTATTTCTTTTCCAGAATCAATTCAACACGTCAGTTTGTTCGAATATTTCGTTTACTGCTAAGGAAAATAAAACGATCGACGAGCATGCATCGCACCGTTCTAGTTCGGTTCGGTTCAAGGACAATGAATTCGAAAGAGACACCACCACTAAGATACATCCAATTTGGCGCCCTGGATATGATTCGGACACAGAAACTCCACAGTTCCGGTCAATTAAACCGATTTTAACTCCAACCACAGGTCGTTCATCAGCCGTTTCAGTGGGCCCATCTCCGATACCACCGAGCCAATTTGAGCAACCACAACGATTTACATCGACCAGTGAGCAGCTAAACACTATTTCACGAGATTTCCAAGTGTTGAAACCAAAACCAGTTTCAGCACGACCGTTCAATCAATCAAAACCAATCACTTCTCATTCAGAGAGATCAACTAAATTTTATACGGCCACTGCAGGACCTCCATATCATAATCAAACGGATATCGCATCGGAGAGTCGCAGTCACATGGAAATACGTGAAGCAACGGAAAGCAGTCAGCGCATTGTGAATATGTCTTCAACAAGAAAAGTTATTACATACGACCAAAAAGAGCAGCAGCAAGAACATCAACATCACTCGCAAAGCACTTTCGAGAAATCACTGGAACCGTTTCCGTTTACGGTTTCACCAATACCAAGCATCTCACGGCAAAGAATACGCCAGCTACCAACACCCACGAAATTCGTACCTGGAGAATTCCGTGAGAGCGATTACGACAGTGAAATCGAAGCGATGAAAATTCGGCCGCTCTGGACACCCAACACAACCGAATCAGATCGCCTATATAACTACCGTCATGTTTCACCTCCAACGCCTCGGTCTACCAGCGTACCAAGGCACCATTTCGAACGTATTTTAACTCCAATGGATTTCGACGTGAGTGACGTTGAGATGCCGAGTAAAATTAAATGCCTTCCAACCAGTCCGACATACTCAAGTCAACAGCAAAATCAATATAAAACACAAACTCTGGATAGATTCCGTTCGAAAAAGAAAAGTAGTTCGCACTTTGGAGCTTTGTCAAGCCAAGATGATATAAACATTATGCATTCAACACCACAATACCAGACAAAACAAGAGACTAGGGAGTCTCAGTACGGTGAGTTAATAAATTCCATTTGTTCTAAACTAAATGGCCACAGAATATGCGGAAACATTTGCATGGGTTTTCACTTCATTAAAAAGGTTTTCGATAAACAACATTCAAACCATCATCTAACATCATTATACATATAGCTCTATGATAAATCAAGAAAATGGCCCAAACATATGCCATGTTTTTGTTGGATTTCAATGAACTTTCTTTTGACATTCGACTACTAAATACCCTAAATCCTATTGTTATTAGGTACAAAGTGTGTAGACGACGATGCTCTTATTTACTTTAAATATGATTTCGGTTACGAATTCGGCATTCTATTCCCGGGTAAGGGTAGGAAATATGTTGCTGGCAGCAGCAAATCCACTACTCCAATCTCCAAACAGTTTTTGCATAACTCAGCCGGAGCCATAGACATACCAGTTTTACATGAAAAAACGATTAAACAAAACCTCTGGAGACAACGAAATAAGAACGATATTCACGATATCATGGGTAGAAATAAGATGTTTGGCAAAAATCAGCCAACGGTTTCATTTAATATAGATGAACTTCATTGCAATTCGCCGAGGATTAAACAACATATGCCGCGAAAAGGTGCATGTTTATTATTGAAGTGTCACTCGACTGGCAGTGTATTAGCTGTTGTTTGGTGTTGCAATTTTTTGCTTCGATATTGTGTATTGAACTGGAATCTTTAGGAAAATGCAACAGCTTTCATTGTTGTTTTTTTGTTTCATACAAGCAGTGTAAAATGTTTCGGAATTTGTAGTAATTAGGCTAAACAGTTCGTTGGTGTTTCCGGATAATTCTACTCTATTTTTACTATTCAGGACACGCCAAACTAATTGTTTTATGTTGATCATTTGAACTCATTTTGCATACAATCATGTGATAATAATTTATGTATTTTATTGGGACGCCGTGCATTTCATGTCAAGTCAAGTGAAACTTCTGTGAAAAACATTTATTAATTTTAAGTGATAATTTGATAATTCTAACATTGGGCATTTCTTAATTTTAATAAAATTCTTCTAACGAAACATAAACGCTAAAACTATAGAAGAATTAAAGCCTTCTCGGTGTACTCGGAGTGCGCGCGCATCACACGCTAAACAACTAATCTAATAATCTCGCATGTTTTGCTGATTTAACAGAAAATATCCTTTCGTGTTTGATTTTAATTCATTGTTCATCGGTTGTGTGCTATGCTAATTTTGTGTACATGTGTGTGGTTCGAGAGCTTCTTCACTCTCTTTCTTGCATGGATTTTGAAACAGGGGCTTTGCCATACAACACGTAAGTCAAATGTCATTTTTTTCAATTTCTATATTTTTACACTTTCTGTGTCTCTGTTTGGAAACGCGAATGCAACTCAAAATTACATTTTTGTCTATAATTATGAAAAAAGACTTGGTTTCCAGTAAATAACTAACATTCAATATTTTTCACAAAATCCAAATAGAAATATCGAGAGAACAACGGGTCTATACACCGACCCAAATGAACTATACGATTGTCGGCGCATCACATGATCAAGAAAAATTGCCAAAGTATGCGCCCGTATTTGTAGCGGTGGGTTTTCAGCTCTTTTATTCAGTCCATGATAAATTCATAAAATTAATTTGTATAAATTCATGTTTTTTTTTGTCTCCAAAATCCATTTAATTTTAGCCTTTGAAAGATATAGCTGTGCTCAGCGGACATACTGCACGTTTCGAATGTATCGTACAATGTGATCCACATCCATACATCGAATGGTATCGCGACGATACACCAATCCGTAATGGTAGCGGCAAATATTTTGTGGAATTTCGAAATGGCGTTTGCCGCTTGACAATTCCCGAAACACTCTTAAGTAAATAAAAATGCATTTCTAACAGCCGAAAATTCAGTGAACATTCCAGGCTTCTTGATGTGCATATCAAATGTTGTGTTGTATTTCTATTTCAGGTGATGCTGGGCTATACACATGCACCGGAACGAATCATTTGGGTTCTGTCGTGACGTCGGCTGAACTTGTTGTCAATAACGAAAACTGGGGAATACGAAAATAGAGTCATTCATTCGTTTTTGGGTTAAAACACTTCCGCAGATATTTCTATTGCTTGATACATTTTTTTTTCTCACGAAGTCAACGAACTGAGTTGAGGTTTTGCGAGGGGGGAACACAATTTTATATAAAACCAATAACAAGTTAGATTTCTAGTTGAAATAATCATTTATCGAATTATATCAATTTATGACTAGTTCTTACTTTTAGTTATGAAAACATCAACTTGTCTGTATCTGCAATGTTTTAGCGAATGAACGAAGTTTCAGTCTGTTAAGCGATCCAAAACTTCGAGCTAAATTACACTAATTTTTTCAAAGTTCGAAAATTTCAATTGGAATGTTCAGGAGAACAAATAACATACGTCAATTTCCAATTTCCATCAGATTGGGCCCAATGAAAACCGAAAACTATATATATACTTATTTTTTGTTCGTATTTCGTCGCATGTCAGCCTGACTCTTTCAACATGACTCGATGCCTTCAACCATATATATTGCATTGGAATTCAGATTGCTTTGAATGAATCATTTGTTATTTAAGTTTTAAAAAAAAATATGCATCAATTTATGTATAACAATAAGCTCTCTGTATTTTTTTTCAGTTCTTCTTAGCTGTTTCAGAACAATAAACTTATGCTTTGACAAAATGTTCTTTTCTGTTCGCGCGTGTACCACAATAGCCATTCAGCCTGTGTTTTATTGTTACATTTTATTTTTGTAACTGTTTTAAAAATATAAACCGAAAACCTAGCGGACGAGAGAATGAGACTTGAGAAGCTTTAAAACGGACAGCAACGCTGCCATCTCTCGATTGTAAGCTGAACACTAGACAGATCATAATTATATATCCTTTATCGATATATTTTTAATTTCTTATGGGAATGCCGGAAATGTGACACTGAGCTGCAATTTAGGCTAATCGACTTCGTATGAATCGAATATTTTTAGGATGTGATTCTTTGTCTTGCCTTATCGACCTGGGGGGGGGGGGGCTGTGAACGAAAGTGTGTGATAAAATATTTCAACGATTAAATCAATGCATTACATTCATAAAGTGGTGTGGCTTTTTGAAGAGAAGGAACTTGTTGATTTTTAAAAATAGAATCATAATCACCGAAGAATCACTGTCAGCGTGCCAAAACATGACATTCGTGCTATTTTCATGTGTCTTGTTTCTGTATTGGAAATGAAATCATTATGACTGTATCAAATGATGATTTCGAAAATAAAGGCATGGAATGAGAAAAAGAAAATGGCCATTAGCAATGCAAACATTTGGATCTTTTAACCCTATATATTTGAATTTGATGATGATTGATTTTTGTTTCTTTCTCGCAAGATCTTCGGTTGTTTTGTCATTTTGAATTGTAAGTAAATCAGCCGATGAATACATGCTAATAGAACATACCTTTAGTGCAAAAGCATTTATTGCTCTCTCTAACGCAAACGCCATCTATTCGGTGCGAACATGAAAACAAACAAACTGACCTCAGCTGACAACCGATATATGAACCGGTGGAAATGAAGGCAGTGTATAAAAAATATGCCGAACAAAACGAACCACAGCATTTCCTCTATATAGAGATGTTGTTGTATCATAACTCTGTATGGATCAATTTGTTTGTTTTCATGTTCAAACTGAACAGATGGCGCTCGCGTTAGGTAGGGCAATAAATGCTTCTGTACTGACCGTATGTAAGAGAAATATAGTTGCTTATTTTTAGTCGGCATAGTCAACATTGCATAGTTAACAATAAATCAAATACGTGTGCAATGGACAGTAAGAATCGGTGTGATGCTGAAATGCAAATGAAGAACAACCTGATTTTGATTTGAGGTTTTTGCGATGTTTTCTTTTCTTTTTAATCCAATAGATGACTATTTGTCAAATTTTTGTTTTGTCTGGCGTTAAGTAGAAGTATTTTCAAAGCAACGAGCTGGTGTGATTTGGTGTGTATTTGTTATTGCAGCTCGGGTGGGAATGAGTACTTTGGGCGTACAAAAATGCTAAGGCGATGTCGGTACCGAACGCTGAAGTTGACAAGAACAAAAATATTTTAGATCTGAAATTTCAGAAGAATTTGCAATGTGTGCGATCTGTTTGTTTCACTGCTTTCTGAACAGGTCGTTAAATACGATATGGCCATAATACTATGAGCTCAATCGCTGCGTAACCATTTATGAATGTTGTTATTGCTGGATGAGATTTTTTGAATCGTCATTACAAAATGCGAGAAGTTCCTAAAAATAGTGGGAATACTTCACCGAGCGATTTCCAACTTATGCTTGTTTCTTTGATTTTTTTCCTAAGTTAAATCACAATACGTTCGGATTATTAATGTGAATATTGCTCAGATTTTTCTTCTGCCATTGCATTAGACGTGGAGATCACTGGGGATGTTTTAAATTTTCTCAAATGTTTGTGCGCTTGAAATGTCTTAAAGTACATAGTGCGCCATATTTTCAAGTTTTCAACAATTTTTGGTAACCTATTGCTAATGTATAGTGTCAGTTGTTTTGTTTTTTTTTTCTGTTTTCAGAACAAAAGTTACGATTTTTTCAACATGAAATACTTTGGTTACTCATGTCTTTATGCTACCGTCTAATAATAGCTTTCGATTCATGATCGAGTGATACACTATTAAAACTGACCAGCGACTACATCTGAATGGATTACAATGTTGAAATCAATCGATATATACATTCAATCAACAGCAAGCAAGAATGGGGGAAGTAACATGCTAACAGACAAAAGCGTTTTTTGGCGAACGTTTATCTAGATTAGATATCAGATAAAACCGGTTTTTTTTTTAAAGTTTAGATGAATACTTAGAATAAAATATGAAAACAAATGAAATCATATCTATAGATATATCTTGTACTATTATTACCAGCTACAGACACATTTGGTACAAATTTTTTTTCAACAAGGACGAAAGGAAACAAAAACAATTTTCAAAAATCCGGAAGTAAACGAATAATTCGAAATAGTTTTCCACCTGATCGATAACACTCAAATCCTCAAAGAATATTTTCTGCACTATACAAACTTTGTAGAAAGAATAGAAATTGAAAGTTATCCATATAAATTACTTCATTATAAAGAAAAAATGTTGAAAGCGTCACATTACCCGTGTGAAAAAATAGCAACTGAGCAGTCAGTTAACTAATTTGATACAAAAATGACTAACGTTGATTGACATTTCAGTACAAAGTGTAGTGTTAATCTATCATAGTTGACTGAAATCATTTGAAGTTACAAGTCAATCTAGGTTGCTTCATTTGGGACCAAGTGATTTTCTTAGAATAAAAACATAACTAAAGTCAACTAAAGTTATAGTCAGTCAGTCATTTTTTTTTCATACGGGAATAGTGGTGCCTCAGAATTCGCATAATTCAAATATTAGAAATCTTTCGAAAATAGAACCAATATTTTTAAACCGCCCATATGTTTTCTGTGCGGTGGAACGAAGCCCACCGCGTTGCACAGGCGAGATAGTGCACACAGCATTAGCGTACGAATTCAGCATAGATGCGTAGAGCGCCAATACACTCACATACACTAGTACGCATGTTACAATGACTGTGTGTACAGTGCACTATCTCGCCTGTGCAATGCGGCGGGCTTCGTTCCACCGCACAGAAAACATATGGGCGTACCTAAAAAAAAAGGTTCCAAATTGAAAAAAAAAATCAAATGTGCAAAGCATTTTTTCAATTTGCAAAAGATGGGCTCCATGGTATTTTAAAATTTAATTTACCCATAAAGTATCAATTCGCTCATATGAAGCAACATTTTCTTTCCTATCGTGTTGTCGTAGTTGGATGGCAATCATAAACTCCCTGTTTCTAATGAGCAATCACAAATTTAATTATGTGCTAAATACAAAATTTTCTACTTTTTCCCATTTCCTGTCGATAATTAAAAAAAAAGATTTGCTGAAAGATGAACGGAATAAAACAAAAAGTTGCACTGTATGATGTCCAAATGAAAACGTACCGTGAACAATTTTTTGCTGCTATTGTTTACAGTCTTTTCACTTAGCGTAGTTAGTCTGCCAATAAATGACATTTCACTGCAAAAACAAGAGAAAATGTGAAGAAATTCATTTAGATGAAAGAGGAGAATACGACACAAAGTGCGTAAACCGTTGTATGCCTTTGAAATTAAATAATTGTTATGATAAAAAAAAACACAAAAGAAACATCTCACTTCGCTCGATTTGCTCATGTACATAAATTGTACGGTTGAATGTGTACGAACATTCGAACACTTGAGACAGGCATTCTCTATGTCGCCATTATTTGTGCGAACGCCATTCATTTGATTTTTTTTTTCTTCCTCTCGCCAATGAATCAACGGTAACAATTATATCAGTGGTGAATAATTTGTCTACGTTTTGTTTGTTGAATTGAAATTGGCTCAATTTTATCAGCTCAATCACATATAAATTTGTTTAAATGATTCAATCTTTGGTAATGATTAATACATTTTTTTCTAATTAAAGCAAGACAAATTCATGGCATTTGTCGTCGTCGTGCGACCGAATTATTCGAATCATGTCAAACTATCGAAACTAATAATACATATTTTGAGTTATTTGAGATGTCTCACTTTGTTCTGGGGCATATGTTTTTTTTTTTTTCGTTTTCTGTGTAAACAAAATTATAAATGTTCTGGACTGACTCACATTTTCTCTCAAATGAAAATATGAAAAAAAATCTGCTCACGAATCATCGATAGGCGCACATGTTTTGTGACTGGACTGAGCTATGCCTGTAAGAATGGTTAAAGGCCTATTTGGGCTACAGGTGACGACAGCAAATAAAAAGATTTATAATAAATACGTGATTTTTTTTCGTATTCTTTTCAAGCAACATCGGTTTGCACTCATAACAGCGATGTGACTATTTATTATGAGAGAGTTTTGTTGTCATTCCAACTAAATTGAAAATATCAAACGCTCTTCGTTACAGTTTCATATTCTCTAAATTACATCAAAACTGAAATGAAGAAGAAAACGCATCAGCAGTTGTAATGAGGTGAAGTAGATAAATTACATATAAAATGACATCGGTGCATTTCATCACGTCTATATACCAACGTCCATATAAAGTGAACAATTTTTGTATCCAATTCGTTGCGTCATTTTCATTGAATGCTATATTTGGCGATATTGTGACTCTCGCTGCGTGTACTATTTTACTAGTTCAATATCAGCTGCTGTAGCAGACTTTATTTATTAAATGATACAATCCATAATTTTAACTTAATGGAAATTAGCGTTTGAACTTGTTCAAGATTTGTGGCGACTGTAACAAAGCAGTTGAAACTTACGGTTACCGGTGTGTGTTGTGCGATGCGCAAACGTTCGCGAAACAATTTTGTTTTTTTGAAAAGAGTCATTCATAATAAAACAAAATAATAAGTTTTTTTTTATCGTCCTTTCGTCCCGCATCGCATCCCAGCGCTATATCAATCATTTGTTGATATTTTTTTTACTCATGTCAAGATGGCGAATATTTTTAGAAGTAGATGATGGGGCTATGAAAATAAAATTCGGACAGTTCAAATTTCATAATAAGGCCACCAATTTTGACAGGCATTCGGATTGGGTCGATGTGTGTTTTGCGAACACCGGATGGATGGGTGATGCGATTTCAAGAGGAGCGAATAATGTGACTGAATGATTTCAATGAAGAATTTACATCCCGACGAAAATTGAATTTAATGCGAAAACGCATCAGTGCCGACTGAAACAAACAGTGTTTGGGAATTTAGCACAGGTCACATGCAATGATGAAAGCTGCTATTTGCGTTCCCATTTGATTTATTTTGGAAAACACGATCAGTATTTGCTTGACGGTGATTGTCTGTGTGCTGCGACTTTATGTGTCGTATATAGTTTTTCAGTTGGTTGGCGTTGTTGTTACATTTTTAAAAGTGAAAATTCCGATGAAACATATTCCAATGCTGATTCAATTCGATTCGTCTCGAATTTCGGTTGGCAGCGGAAAGAGCGCAACGGCAACTTTTCAATATTTTTCTCACTGCATTCGTGAGGCGCTCGGCGATCGATGTTTCTAAAAATAAACACCCGAACTATCATTGTAGCGCAAGTGAGAGCGCAAGAGAGCATCAGCCGCGAGAATATTTAGCCGATAAAATGATCCTCACTCTTAGCTCGCTGTTTTATAACGACGGACGTCTTAGTTTAATATTAGTCTCGGGATTACGAAAAACCAAATCTTTGCCTATCTTATGGGCACAAGATCGACTTTCTTAGGCGATAGTGTGATTTTTTTTTTCAACGAACTGTCACTTGAAAACAATTCGAAAATATCAATAAGGAAATTACCAACAACATCGAGGATTACTTCTGTTTTCAATAAGTTTTATGAAAGTAGTGGTAATCAATCGTTTCAATTGAAGTAATTAACGTCAAACGAAGAAAAAAAGAAAGTGAAAAGAGAAAAGAAGGAAAAAAAGATTTGCAAATTGTTAAAGAGGAAGAAAATTTTGTGTGCACATCGTGTGAGATATAGAAGAATAAAAGTGTTATATAATGCATCGGCAAAATTTTAGTTCGCAACAACAAAAAAGCGTGCAAGAGTATGCTGTCAATCAGGATAGCAATCAATACCATCAGCAGCAGCAACAGCTACAACAACAACAGCAGCAGCAGCAACAGTTAGCTCAGCAACAAAGGATTACGCGTACCGAGCATACTATCCGTCAAGTAACGCAGCAAAGAGGTCAGTTAAAGGGACTATCAGATAAATTGGAATTCCGCCGAAGTCGAACTAACGTACAAATCGAAAAGTTCACGCCCTCGAAACTACACCAAACTTAAAGCAGCAGTAGTTGTGTATTTTGATCGCTTCGCCATGAATGTGTTGTGCTCAGTTCTTTTCTCCTTTTTTTTTGGCTAAGGGCAAAAAGGACAATCGTGAATGGAATTTTGTAATCTGAATGGCCAATAAAAAAGGAGGAATGAAAAAAGAATCTAGTGTGCCGAATAAAATGAAGTGAACGGATTTTCTTTAATTTGCAAAGGATTAAACACTAGTCGCACTCGGTGTGTGTATGGATAAGTTTCTATTAATAGACAGGAGATGCTGCAGCAGCTTAAACATTTTCTGGGCCAGAGTGTTGTTACTCATTTCACCAGAGTCACTGATATTTATATCTTTCACAATTATTTCATTTGGTTTTCATTTTATTCGATAAAAAAAAGCAACACGACGGCCACAAACGCAAAATATTTTTATTTTTTCTCTGTCGGCCATTTCATATTTACACTTCGGATCTCCTCTCAATGCTATGGTCCATTGAGAAGAGCCAACTAAAGCATTTTTCTCGCAATAAAATTTGGTTCGCGGTATAATCAATTTCAACATTCTTGTTTTCTTGCTTCTTCTTTTCTTCTTCCTCTTCTGTTTCTGCGCTTTCGATTCTGTTCTGTTCTGTTCGGTTGCCGCATACACGAATTATCATGTATTTTCAAAAACGTATTTGTTATAAATTTAGATGACAGGGGTATTCGTTTGTACATAAAAGCTTCACGAGCCTTCGAATGTGTGTCACACTTTGGAAGCGATTGAGAAATATTTTAATGAATTATCTGGGTGACACCTAATTAAACAGATGCATAGCCACTCATCGAATGCTCTAGACAGATTTACCACATTTCTTCTGAACGAATTGGGACTCTCATTCTCAATGAAATCCCTGCATATTTTGCACTTGCCAAAGTGAGACTTCTTTATCTTGAATGTAATGCAATCACTGATGATGTATTGCTGGCGTGTCCAATGGGGACTTCCCATTGATTTTACTCAAGGTGAAGAATGCCATGCAAAATTGAGGAAATATTTGAAACTGCAATACGTTTTTGTCATCTGTTCTGTTCACAGAAAGCCCACCTGAAAAGTGTCGCACAGACAATTAAAATGATAAACGTTGCTTTCAGTGAGTAATTCAATATAAATTGCATTTAGCCTGTATAATTAGGATTGCAACATTCTACGGGTATTTTCGACAGTTGATTTCATTTGGTGAACATGAATGAATTGAATGAATTGAATTTCCAATAGCTAGCACGTATGTGCATCTAATCTTCTGGTAGAGGTTTTTGATTTTGTGTAGGTGCCGCCTGAACAAACATTCGAATTTTCTTTTTTGATCATATATACAAAAATGAATAATGTATGTAGATGTAGATGCCGACCATTTCGGAGCCTCCACCGTCCTGTTTTCTCATTCGTAAATAGATTCGTTCGTAATGTTCTATGGTGTATGTGGGCGAATGGATGTCGATGATAAAATAGGCATACATATAACGTGTGAATGAATTCAATATGAGCTCTCTGACATTTATTTATCCACAGAAATTGGACGCGGCATTTTTTTTCGGCTAATCACTCATCTATTTTCCTCTCGCGGTAGAAAGCACTGTGCTGTTCATTTGAAATATAAAAAGAACATGATGTAATGGCTAGTCACACTAGGGACAGTTATAGGACAAAATATAATGCAAATAAATTAATGAGAGGAAAATATAAACAAAATATACTACATACACACTGACAGTACAACGACAGTAGCACGACATGCAAATTTATGGCATAAAATATAAGACGTAATATTATCGGTTCCACTCGATTTGCGAACTAATCGATGAGAGAAGAATTGAATAAATGCGACTTCCTGATTCTGAACAAATTCACCAATTCATTGATGCATATTTCCATTTCTCTTATTCATGGTTTTTTTATTGTTTTTCATTACAGTACATGGTTCAGAAAACCAATACAATCAAGGTGGTTTAGCCAATCAACCACAGAGTCAAAGTGATATTTCTCCACCAGTATTTGAAAAAATCTTCAAAAATGCACGTTTCGCTCAGGGCGGAAATGCATTGTTTGAAGGCAAACTACGTGGAAATCCAAAACCGGTTGTTTCTTGGACGCGAAAAGGCGCACCACTTCTCCCGTCCAACAAATACCAAATAAATTACAATGAGAATACGGGTGATGTAAGTGCTTTGAATAACTTTTTTGTTTATTCAAATTTTCATTCAGATTGCTCAATTGCTTTAAAAGTTTCCAGCATTGTTGCAACATTAGAGTGGTTTTATTTCTGGTGATTTTGCCATTTTCCACGTGAAACTATTACAATCGTCGGGGCTTGCCTCCAAAATAGGTTATTTTAAGTATCATAAGACCAATCGGAGGTCGCTAAGCGCTGCCGATTCTATGGACATTCAAGTCATTTAAAAATTGTAATTTTTTTATTTTTCTCTCATATTTCGACTGCTTCTGAAGAAATATTCCGATTGTTCGTAAAAAAAAAATTAGATAAAAAAATTGTCAATTTGATATCAATTTTATTCAGTTTCTTACCGATGGAATGACACATTAGCCAAAAATGATAGGTATTATTTATGATATTTGGCTTGCATTTGAAATTTTTGATTTTTTACATGATAATTTAGTCAAATATATCGGAATTTGCTACGTATACGTAATTATAATTTAAACAAATAAAACTGAATCCTAAGTTAAGAGTAAACTTGATTATTTGACAATTGTTCTTTTGGAAATTATTTTGGGTAGACAATAAAACACTACATTACTGAATGGCTGTATCGCTGTTGATTAGTTACGCCTTCTCACGAAAAAAAAGGAAAACGCAAAATATATCAAAATGAAATAAATTTTCTACGCACACACTCAATATTATAGCGACATCTATTATTTATTAAAATAGCTTGTAAATTGCAAAATTAGCTAAAATTATTTTAAATCGATCGTTTTTATCTAACTTTTCACAACCAATCCGAAAATTATAATGAAAAATAGTAGGAAAAATTACAAAATAATGGTATATATTCTATTTTTGGAGGCAAGCGTTGACAGTTGCTGAGTTTCGAAAAAGTTGAACGAATATTTTTGGACAGCATTCAATATACACTTTTATTTACAGGTATCACTTTTGATTAACCATATTGGTCCTGGCGATGAAGGCGAGTATACATGCACCGCTAGAAACCAATATGGTGAAGCAATTTGCTCGGTTCATATTCAACCCGAAGGTCAACCGCTTCCACCGATGCAAAATGTCCATCAGCAATTCTATAAACAAACTAATCAATCGAATCAATTTTCGAATGGCTACTCTTTCACATCGATTCATGAGGAGTTCAAAGTAGATACGTTCGAGTATCGTATTTTACGCGAAACATCATTCAGAGAGTCAGTGACGCGTCGTAATGTTGGCGAAAACGATTACAATTTGTGCTATGAAGTTGATCGTAATCTTGGACCGGCCACTCCACCACAAATCACACAAAAACCACGTAACTCGAAGTTAGTTGAAGGTTCGGATGCCACTTTCTCTGCTAAAGTTGGCTCAAATCCAAGACCAAGATTGACATGGTTCAAAGATGGTCAACGTTTGGTCGACAGTAGCAAGCATGAAACGATATATTCCAATAATCAAGCTACGTTGCGCATCAGAAATTCAAATGCCAACGACTCTGGCCACTACACGTTGTTAGCGGAAAATCCGCAAGGTTGTGTTGTTTCATCGGCTGTGCTAGCCATTGAGCCAGCTCAAGAAGTGCCCGTTTACCGACAACCAGACGCACAAGCCGAATTAGCCGAACAAGGAAAAGCTCTGGCACCTAACTTTATTCGTGTCTTTGAAAACAGAGATGTGACTGAAGGAAAAATGACAAGATTCGATTGCCGAATTACCGGTCGTCCGTATCCGGAAGTGTTGTGGTACATAAATGATAAACAAGTGCAAGACGATGCAACGCACAAAATTCTTGTCAATGAATCGGGCAACCATTCGTTGATGATTACAAATGTTAGCCGATACGACGCTGGTACTGTCACATGCGTTGCTCGTAACAAGGCTGGAGAAGTAGCCATTCAAGCTCAACTAGGCGTAGTGGAAAAGGAACAAGTGGTCGCACCCAAATTTGTTGAACGTTTCACTACTGTCAATGTCCGCGAAGGCGAACCAGTTTTATTGAATGCACGTGCAATTGGAACACCTGTGCCACGAATCACATGGCAAAAGGATGGAAGCACATTGTTGCCAAACCCAAATCTATACGTTTCGGTTGACGGAGGTGCCACCTCACTTGATATACCCAGAGCAACCGCTGCTGATGCTGGTTGGTATCAATGCACTGCTCAAAATGTTGCGGGATCGACAGCAACACGAGCACGCCTCTATGTGCAACTACCCAAAGATCCAACCCCCGAGCAAAGACGTCTTTACTTCCCACGGCCGACTAAGATTATCGAACCTGAGTAAGTGTTTCATTGCAAATACCGCACGTTTGTGTGTATGTGCATTGGTTACTTGTATATTGCAAACAATGATCTAAATCTGAATATGAATATAAATATGATGCCGATCTCTTCATTAGACCTGAACCCGAACCCGAAGTTATTTTTTTGCGACATGTTGAGCGTGCAAGACCGCATGCTCGACCTGAGGATGGAGACCGCGTTTATCCACCGCCTCAATTTATTGTGCCATTGAAAGATGTCACACAAACTGAAGGTGGTAAAATTCACTTCGAGGGTCGCATTGAACCAGTTGGAGACCCCACGATGTATGTCGAATGGTTTTTGAATGGAAGACCATTAGCCGCAAGTAAGTACCAATCACCTCTTGAGCGGATGCTCGCTTGTCATTCTCATATAATTTTGTGATTAACCAATAAAATTCGTCGTAAAAATGTATTTCTTTCTGGAACGACTATTGATCTTTTGTTGATGAATTTTTCATTTGAAGAAAACAAGTGTCTGAAATTCATTTATGCATTTCCTTCGTAGTTTTCAATCAGTTTTCGAGCTGTGAAATATTCCAGGGTTCGTTTTAACATGATTTTTTTCTTTGCTCATTTTGCCATCAGGCTCTCGATCAACCTATATATTTAAATTTGGATTTATTGCACTTGATATGTTGAGTATTATCGCCGAAGATGCTGGCGAGTACGTTTGCCGAGTCACAAGTGCGACTGGCGTTGCTGAATCTCGTGGCATTTTACGAGTTACGCAACGTTCAACAATTGAAAAATCGTCGCAAAACCCGAATAGTTTGCAATATATTCAACAATTAGAAGATTACTCAAGATACCAACGAACCGAAAGCGTTGATGATTCAATCAATGAAAAGCCAGCTTTCATTCGTCCACTAAGAAATTTGGGTCAGCTGGAAGAGGGTAGAAATGCTCATTTCGAAGGTCAATTGTCACCTGTGAACGATTCAACGATGAAGGTTGAATGGTACAAGGACGGGCGTCCAATCACAGCAAGCTCACGAATTACCGCCATCTTCAACTTTGGCTATGTCTCTCTCAATATTTTGCACTTAAGAGCTGAAGATAGCGGTTCGTACACTTGCCGTGCCGTGAACCGTCTTGGTGAAGCCATTAGCACTGCAACGATACAAGTTTTTTCCCGTAACACCGTTACTGCTGACCTCGGAATTCCCGAACAACAACGATATATCGAGAGCGTTGAAGAGCTCGAGTCTCATCAACGTCAACAACAACAAAAATATGCACAGGAGATACCGGAAAGTGTATCACCACCTGTATTCAAAACACCAATCAAAGATCAATTGAATATCCGTGAAAATGGATTTGCCCACTTTGAAGCTCGCCTCGAGCCGGTGGGTGATTCTACATTGAAAGTGGAATGGTTCAAAGATGGACATCCGATCAAAGCCAGTTCACGGATCACATCATTCTTCAATTTCGGATATGTTGCATTAACAATTAAACACGTGTCTGTCCATGACATTGGTACATACACATGTCGTGCTACTAATGCCATTGGACAAGCCTCAACATCGGCCCGAATCACCGTTGTCACCAAGAATGACATCAGCTTCGACACAAACAATCCAGCCGGATTGCAAAAGATCCAGAACTTGGAAGATACAAGCAGATACAGCCGTAAGGCAGAAGAAGAAGTGCAAATTTTGCAGAAACCACGCTTTTTGGGCCCAATGAAGGGAACAAATAAAATTATTGAAGGACAACGCGCTCACTTTGAAGCTCGTGTTGAACCACAAAATGATCTAAATCTGAAAATTGAGTGGTATCATAACGGCAAAGCAATCATGCCGGCTAATCGCATCCAAATCTATCACGATTTCGGCTATGTCGCATTAGATATATTAAGCGTACGAGCTGAAGATGCTGGAGTTTATACCGTTGTGGCTAGAAACCAACTTGGTGAAGAGCAACTGTCCGCCCAAATGGTAGTCGAAAGTAAGTATTAACATTTAGTCGCCCCTTATTTTATTGAAAGATCGTTCGCATAATTCTAATGAATCAAAAATATTTTAGCTCGTTCAAGCATAGATACGTCATCAATGCACAAAGGCATCTACGAAAAAACGCAAAAATTAGAGAATTCGAAATTCGTTGAACCTCAATATGAAATCGAAGAGATTTCAAAATCGAAACCTTATTTTGTTCAACCATTGTCGGACCCAAAACCCGTTAATGAAGGCAAGAACATCCATTTGGAGTGTCGCCTCGAGCCATTGGGCGATCCAACCATGCGTGTCGAATGGTTTCATAATGGGAAACCCATCACAATTGGATCACGCTTCCGTACATACTATGATTTCGGTTTTGTTGCTTTGGATATTATCCATGCCAGCAGTCTTGACTCCGGTGAGTACACTGTTCGAGCCACAAACCATCTTGGCTCGGCCCATACATCATCCTGCGTCCGTGTCATCGGTAAATCGGACATTTTGACTGAAACGCAAAATGAAATGTCAATGGAGCATATACAAGCGCTTGAAGATTCTTCACGCCGTCAACATCAAGCAGCTGAAGAAATTACTGTACTGCAAGCACCACAATTCACTCGTCCATTGCATAACATTGAAACGGTTGAAGGAACCAATGTGCATCTTGAATGCCGATTGCAGCCAGTCGGTGATCCAACAATGAGAGTAGAATGGTTTGTCAACGGGCATCCACTCAAATTCGGTCATCGCTTTAGACCAGCCCATGATTTCGATTATGTTGCTTTGGATCTTTTGGGCGTGTATGCTGTTGACTCAGGTGTTTACACTTGCCAAGCCCGAAATCAACTTGGCGAAGCAGTCACCTCATGTTCGGTTCGCGTTATTGCACAAAAAGATTTGATTACGGAAACCCAAAACAAGTCTGGCTTAGAAAAGATTCAATATTTGGAAGATTCTTCACGCTACAAGCGTACCGAACAAATTGACGAACAATCAAACATTAAACCACGATTCTTGTCCAAACCAAAAGATTTGTCGAAATTGCGCGAAGGACAACACGCCCACTTTGAATGCAAATTGGAACCAGTCACCGATTCCAATTTGAAAGTGGAATGGTTCAAGAACGGTCGCCCAGTCACAGTAGGTCATCGTTTCCGTCCAATTCACGATTTCGGATACGTTGCACTCGACATTATTGACTTGATTGCGGAAGATTCGGGCGTTTATACATGTCGCGCCGCCAATTTGGTTGGTGTCGATGAGACAACTTGCTCTCTGGATTGCCGCAGTAGTCAACAAATTTTGACAACAACTCAAAATGAGGCTGGACTAGAGCAAATTCAATACTTAGAAGATCGATCGAAATATTCACGCAGTGAAGTGAATGAGGAGATTACCAAGCAAACACCAGTCTTCACAACATCATTGAAAAATGTTGATATCAAGGAAGGTCAACGTGCTCATTTCGAGTGCCGCATTATTCCAGTTTCCGATCCAACAATGAAGGTCGAATGGTACCACAATAATAAGCCACTGGTGAGTTTTATTTTTCATATTATAATGATCAACTAGTAACTAGCTTATAGACAAATTCATATTTATGAACATTGCCAGATTTGACAATTGCTTTATTCAATTTCATCATGCATTCAACTATTAATAAACTTTAATCGCATTAAATGAATTCGATTCAAAATTATTTCACAGAAATCCGGATCTAGATTCACTGAAACCAACAATTTCGGATTCGTTGCATTGGACATCCTCTCTTGCTTGCCAGAAGATTCGGGAACCTATACTTGCCGTGCAATCAATGCTCTTGGTGAAGCCGTTACATCGGCTATTGCAAATGTTCACACAAGAAAGGCCATTTATACTGAATCGCAACACGAAGGCGCACTTCGCAGCATCAACCACTTGGAGGATACTTCGAGACATCAAACACGAAGCGTTCAAGAAGAAATCATCACACAAGCACCAGTTTTCACGATGCCTGTTCGTGACATTCGTGTCGCCGAGAACCAAGCCGTTCATTTCGAAGCACGTATCATCCCCGTTGGAGATCCAAAACTCAAAGTCGAATGGTTGAGGAATGGTGTGCCACTAGATGCATGTAAGTTAACGTTTGATATAGACTAACCGTGTGGAAATATTCTGACTGAGCATCCAATTCATTATTATGAGATGTAGTCGACTGGCTATCTAAGTGATTATCCAGTACAAATAGTAAACTGCAATCACAATCTGAATGCAGACAAATATGTAGTAGACTTCAGTTATAGCCAGTCAGACAATTGTTTTCCACATGGATGTTGATATTGATAGCACGAAATCTTATCCAATTAATAATTAATTCAATAATTCGATAACAGCTAACCGATTGACAACTATGCACGACTTTGGATACGTTGCCCTGAATATGAAATACGTGAATCCAGAAGATTCGGGAACGTACACATGCCGAGCCATCAATGAATTGGGACAAGCTGTAACATCTGCAGCGCTCATTGTTCAATGTAAATTATTTGAAAATGTCTTCGGTTGCGAATGGAGGTTGATTTTTTTTTTCTTTCATACTTTCTAACAGCTAAAGCCGCTCTCCAAATGGAAACGCAAAATGAATCGGCTCTGCAGAAGATCCATCAATTGGAAGATACTTCCCGCCATCAACGACACGAGGAAGAGGATACTATTGTGCGTCAAGCACCTCGTTTTATAACTCAATTGAATGGTCCAAGCAATTTGCATGAAGGTCAAAGTGCCCACTACGAATGTCGCATTGAACCATATCCAGATTCGAATTTGAAAGTTGAGTGGCTTTATAATGGAAAACCACTGCAATCGGGCCATCGATTCCGCACAACTTACGATTTCGGATTTGCCGCACTTGACATCTTGACTGTGTACGCTGAAGATAGTGGCGAATATACATGCCGTGTGACCAATTTGAATGGTCAAGCTCAGTCAGGTGTTAAGCTGGGCGTACAACCACGTGCCAGCATCGTATATGAAACACAAAATGATAGCGCCTTGGAGAAGATCCACTATTTGGAAGGTGATTCGCGTTACAAACGCAAGGCAGATGATGATGTAATTGTTTTGGAGAAGCCTGAATTTGGCCGACCATTGCGAAATGCGGCTGTGCAAGAAGGGAAACCAGTACACTTGGAAGCCACTTTGACTCCTGTCAATGATCCAACAATGGTGGTCGAATGGTTTTGCAATGGTAAACCAGTCCAACAAGGACATCGTTTCAAAACCACCTACGATTTCGGTTTTGTTGCCCTCGATATTCTCTATGCACACTCCGAAGATACTGGAACCTACATGTGCAAGGCTAAGAACGCAGTTGGTGAAGCTGTAACAACTTGCTCCGTTTCCGCAGCTGGTAAGTTTCAAATATGAATTTGGGATTTGTGTGTGAGATTAAAATAATGTAAAATGAACATTTTTCGTCATCAATGTCATAGCTAACGCTGGTCTATTCTTGGAAACGTTGGACGAGCAACGATTGCAGAAGATTCGCCAATTGGAAAGCTACCAAAAACCAAAAGAACCAGAAGCTGAAGAAGTTGGACAGAAACCAGTGTTCTTGAATCCATTGACAAGTTTGGAAAACCTCAAGGAAGGTGATCACGCCCACTTGGAATGTCGCGTTGAGCCGATCAATGACGCCAATTTGAAGATCGAATGGTTCAGAAATGGAAAGCGATTGGTAGTTAACTATTTTTTTCCTTTAAAACAATTTTTCTTCTCTTTTACAATCAAATTTGTCTATTCATTACATTTTTGCAATACGCATTTCATTTCAATACTGAAACAGTCTTATGAAAATGACATTTATAATTTCTTTATTTAGGCTACTGGACATCGCTACAGAACAACACACGACTTTGGATATGTCGCACTTGATATTTTGTATGTGTATGGCGAAGATTCTGGAACTTACATGTGCAAAGCAACGAATTTATTGGGCGAAGCAATGAATACATGCAACATTCGTTGCGTAAACCGAAAGAGTATCATTTTGGATACACAGCATCCAGATGGATTGGAGAAAATCCAAAAACTCGAATCACGCGGAGCTCCAACTCGCAACGAAATCGCTGAAGTTCCAATCACACCACCACGATTCACCACCAACTTGCATGGTTCTACCGAAATTTATGAAGGTCAAACCGCCCACTTCGAGGCACAAGTTGAGCCAATCCATGATGCTAATCTACGCATTGAATTCTACCACAATGGAAAGCTTTTGCAGTCTGCCTCACGATTCCATACCACTTTCGATTTTGGCTATATTTCACTTGACATTCAAAAAGCAGTGGCTGAAGATGCTGGCGAGTACATGGTCCGTGCCTTCAATGCGCTCGGTGAAAGTCGATCATCAATCCGTTTGAATGTCATTGCCAAAGGCAGCATTATCACCGAGTCTCAACGACCAGAGGGACTCGAAAAGATTCGTCAATTGGAATTGGGAACACCACATGCTCGACCAGAAGTACCTGAACCGGTAACAAGACAACGTCCGGTGTTCACTCAACCATTACAAAATATCGACTCAATCACTGAAGGTCAAACCGCACACTTTGAATGTCGTTTGATTCCAGTTGGAGATCCAACGTTGAAGGTTGAGTGGTATCGTAACGAACAACTCATCGAAGACAGCTCACGCATTACAAAACAACATGATTTCGGTTTTGTTTCGATGGACATAACCCATATTCGGGCCGAAGATCAAGGAGTTTACATGTGCCGTGCCACAAATGCTTTGGGCGAAGCTGTCACAACGGCTGCCATGAAGATTCGCACACACGCTAGCATCCAAATGGACACACAACATCCAGACAGTATTCCTAAATTGCAACAACTTGAACGACCAGCTCAAGGACCTGCACCTGCACCAGAGCGTGTATTCGAAAAGCCAATCTTCACTCAGCTTTTGACTGGCCCAGCTGAATTATGGGAAGGACAACATGCTCACTTTGAAGCACGCGTTGTACCTGTTGGCGATCCAAACTTACGTTATGAATGGTACGTCAATGGCGTTGAATTGAAAATGGGATCTAGACTCCGTACTTCGCATGACTTTGGATTCGTATCACTCGATATTAGCTCAGTCGTAACGGAAGATTCCGGCATTTATATGTGCAAGGCAATCAATTTGGCCGGTGAAGCTGTATCATCGACTGGCATGAAAGTCAAAGGAAAATCATCAATCGTTGGTGATACATTGTCGCCAGAATCATGGCAACAAATCCAATTGAAAGAAGCCGCCATGAATCGTGTGCCAGAAATGTTTGTTGATGCCACACCTCAACCAGCTCCAGTGTTTACAACTCATTTGCAGAGCTACGAAAAATTGGTCGAAGGACAAAACATTCAACTGGAAGCACAAGTTGAGCCACGTGCTGATCCAAATTTGAAGATCGAATGGTTTAAGAATGGGGTATCTTTAACAACTGGATCGCGCATACGAAGCACATTCGATTTCGGTTTGGTGATCTTGCAAATCAATTCATTGCGCGATGACGATTCTGGCATTTACACGTGCAAGGCCACAAACTTGGTGGGCGAAGCCGTTTCAACATCATCGATCAGAGTTGGTGATAAACATTGGTTGCTTGGCGATTCTTTGCATCCAGATGCTTTGCCACGCATCGCTCAGTTGGAAGAGCCAAAACCAGGCCGCCCCGAAATACCAGAACCAGTTTATGAATCACCAGTCTTCATCACTCATTTGAACAATATTGAATGCAAAGAAAATGATAATGTCCGTTTCGAATGTAACGTTGAACCGGCCAGAGATCCAACCATGCAAATCGAATGGTTCTTCAATAACAAACCAGCTAATGCTGGTTCCAAATATAAGACCACCTATGACATGGGATACTGTGGTTTAGATATCGTGTCAACATATGCTGAAAACTCAGGCATTTACACATGCAAGGCAACCAACTCAAAGGGAACTGCATCAACATCGGGCAGTTTGCGATGCGTCGGAGCGCAAACAATGTTCTTGGACACACAACATCCACAGGGACAAAGTGGATTGGAAGCCGTTCAAGAGACCGAAGAAGCATTGGCTAATAGATACAACCGCGAAGTATTCAAACCAGAGAAAGATTATCCAGCTCCAGTATGGACCAAACCATTGGAACCAGAATTCCGTTTGAATGAAAATCAAGCTCTTCATTTGGAGGGCCAAGTCGAACCAAAGGAAGATCCAAACTTAAAGATTGAATGGTATTTCAATGGGAAAGTATTGCAACACGGTTCCCGATTCAAAATGAATAGCGAATTCGGTTTCGTTACACTTGATTTGGTCGATGTATACGAACGTGATCAAGGTATTTATACCTGCAAAGCAACCAACAGAAAGGGAGAAGCCTTTACTACAAGCACAATTGTTTGCACTGGAAAAGAGAGCATCATTGAGGGCACTCAACATCCTAAAGGCGCCGAGGGACTTGAAACTATTCAGAATTTGGAAGATTCGTTGCGCAAACCCGATGCTGGCGCTGAACAAGCTGAAAGTGGTCAACCACCTCGTTTCACAACTGAATTTGTTACAATTCCAAACATTTCTGAAGGTGAAATTGCTCACTATGATGCCATGCTCGTTCCAACTGGCGATCAATCGATGGTTGTGGAATGGTTCTATAATGGACAAAGCATTGATGCCAGTCATCGTTTTAAAACCGTGTACGCATTTGGTATGGTTGTGCTAGAGATAATTGGAACGAAAATCGAAGACTCTGGTACATATACATGCCGTGCTACGAACAAACACGGAACAGCTGAAATCAGCACATTTTTGACATGTGTTGAGCGTTTAGCTGGACAGCCACCTAAATTCACCACTCAAATTCAGAACCTTACTGGATTAAAAGATGGTCAATCGGCCCACTTTGAATGCACATTGGTTCCGGTTAACGATCCAGAATTGAAAGTTGAATGGTACTGTAATGGGAAACCGGTAAGTGACCTAGTTTTTTAAAGATTTTTTTTAAGAGAGACTTAGAACATGCAAACGAAAGTTCATTTTCTTGGACGTGTGTGTATGAGTGTGTGAGTTGATTTACGAGTAGATTATCGCCTGATGTGGCGATCAATAGCGTTTTTGTGAGTGTTTGTTGAATTCGACTTTTTCACTTCGTTTTCAAGTAGCCAGTTTCTGAACTAATGAACCGTTTATGGGTTTCGTACGTTATGCCGTTTTGGATTTTCGTCACAATTTGACCGCTTTTCCAAGTGCTTGTAACAAATACGCACACATCGTAATACGCACACCGCACTATTTTCTCGGGCCCGGTTTTTATTTCTAATTTTATGTGAATTCTTTGTTTTATTAATGTACGATTTTGTGTATCCTGAACCGTTCATGATGAATGATTTGGGTATCGCCAATTATTCCTCAAACTGTGCTAGTTTGCATCTGTATGCATACGTACGCACGAAACGTGCGGCTGTGACTCCATCTCCGGCTTCGCCAATACAATAACATTTCATATTTAGGATTTATTTATTGCTGCATAATTACGCCGATTTTCCTTCAAACCAATTTCGAATCGAATCCAAAATTAAAAATCAATGGACGATCAAAGATGAGAATTAACTGTTGTACGAGTTAATGTTGCACACAGAAAAGAATCCCCGGAAATTTTGGGTGTTCGCCGTAAAATTTGACATTTATATATAAATTTCTATATACATTTTACCGGCAACACTTCAATTTTCCGGGCGATGACATATTTTCGAACATTTTATCAAATACTATATATATTTTACCGCTTGAAATGACAGATGGCGCTAATTTCTGTTGGAATATTTGAAATTATGTCATCGCCCGGAAAATTCAAGTGTTGCCGGTAAAATGTACATAGAAATTTATATATAAATGTCAAATTTTACGGCGAACACCTAAAATTTCCGGGGATTCTTTTCTGTGTGTGGCAATGCGTTGTAATATTCGAACGAAAAAGCCAAAATATTACTGTTTATGTTTGTATATGGGCTTCAAGTGGGGTATATTTTTTCCGTAGTACTTGCATAATGAAATTTCGTTTTCTCTACAACAACAAGGGTGAACAGAAGATGTGTATAGAAAGAAAAATGACAATAATAAGTATAGGGAATAAATTTAATTCATAAAATAAATCTTTCTTGGTTGAGAAGCGGTAAAATGAGTTAGGGGGTTGACTGGAAATTGTTTTCAGTGTCGTTGACATCGAAAAATAATTAGGTTTAAATGCTTTATTTCGAGTCAGTTTTCAACAATTTTTGGTAGACTATTCCTAATTAAAATTTCAAATTGCTATTTAATTTAAATCTATACGTTTTTATCTTATTTGTTTTGGAATTGGATTCGATCACGTTGAAAATTTCTTTGATGAATTTTGTACTGTATAACTTGATTTTTTGTTTTGTTTTGGAAATGACGAAAAAATTGTTAAAAGTTTTACATCGAATTCAAGTATTTCCAAAGCGGGACTATTCTGAACTGTTACAGTTTTACAATGAGACGGTGGTGATATGAATAACAAACCTAAATTACTCTCATGGGTTTTGATTGTTGTTATTGCATTTTTCGCTTTTGTTTAGTTTTGTCTGTTTAAGGCACAGAATAGCAAATTTTCAATGTAAAAAGCTCATACCGTTCAGATCGGGTGTAGCTTTAGAATATTATCTTGGTTGTCAAGTAACAGTTGGGCAAATGCTGTTGAAAACGCGGACGATAGTTTAACAAGCCGATGAATACTATTCGGGATGTGCGATGTCTTCAAACGATTACTTGTTGTTGAATGTTTGGAGCATACTTTGCTCCAAATGTGTCGCTAGATAGATATGGCACACGAACAAAATAACACTCCACTATTTTTCCGCTCAGATGTGATCCATGTAATCCATCATACATTTCTAGATTTTGTTTATGCACTGATAATCTTCCCTCCTTACCGAGTACAATTTAATACATGTGAACTTAAAGACGGTATAATTCTCGCTCTGCTGTTGTCATCTCGATAGATGCACCACTGTATGCGATGTGGTCTTTCTCGATTGCCTGCTGATTGCTCTCCCGTTCAATCAAGACATAGACCTTTTCGTTTATCTTTTGGTCTTTGTACAAATTACAAAGAGATTGGTGTATATCCCGATCTCGCGCGTTACACTTTGTCTCATCAAAATCAATCTCAACCAACTTTGAGAAAAAAAGAGAACAAACAGATGATTAATTATGAGATAGTTTTGCATCACTTCATTATATGTTTGTACTTACCTTTCTAATCGTTTTCGTAGTGCGTTGACGTTTATGTTGGAAATATATGATGGTCGTCAACTTATAGCTTACCGGATGCAAACGAAAATCGATTACAATGACATTCTATGAGTGATGCATAATGGCATCAAGTCAAGGACAATATTACTTAAAGCATTCATTCCAGGATAGTAAAATCCATTAATTTTCTGTGGGCATTGAATCAGGCACATCCCACTTACAGATTGTGTCTAACTCATCTTGGATTTTTTTCACTGTACCCAAATTGTCTGCCAATGAATACTCCTTCCGGTTTAGATCCTTCAAATATGCATCCACTTTGGTTTTGTTGAGTAAAAACTCTGAAAATCCAATATTCATCTTCATGGCATTGGACTTTTCGATGACGGCTCTTTTTGTCTCTTGATCCATCCAATCGCTATTCTCCACTAAGCCATTGAATGTTGAACGAATGTCCTTGAAAGTGTTCAACAGCTTCGGTCTCGTTGTATTATGAAAGTTTGATATTGCAATCGCATCACCAAGTAATGTTTCCATTTTTTCATTAACAAGTTGTGCACAGTAGTTCGAATTAGCGAAGCTATAATTGTCAAAAAAATGTATGGAACCAATTGAAGTGTCGATAATGATCAAAAAAAAAAGATTGATTCCAACGGTTTTGCCGTGATTTTGTTCATTCGGAGCTTGCTTTCAATATCTTTGCCGGGAATCTAAAATGATATGATGATGAGTACCTGGTTTCGTTTTGTATATACCCAATTCACGAAAATGGTGACTTTTGATCGATTTGGGAAATTATTTATAATATTTAAGAATTGAAAAAAAAAAATTCAAAAATGTTTTCCGTTGCATTAAAACGACAAGAAACATACATTATTTGAAATGTTGCCTGCATTTCTGATGGCATTGGCAATAAGCTCAATAGTGGCTAACCGTTTGTATAGGTTTAAAAAAAATTTAAGAAGTTTTCCAATTTATTCATAAAATATTGTTCAATCGCAATCATCGCAATAGGACGAGATATATCTTTCTTATTATATGTTCCATTCAATTTGCTAAAATTTTATTTTTTATTTGCTAAAGATCCGCCACTCAACCAGAATCAAGCCTGTTTCCGACTTCGGCTATGTTTTGCTCGATATTGCTTACGTGCAAAGCCACGATTCTGGTGATTACGTATGCCGAGCGTGGAACAAGTATGGTGAAGATTTCACTCGTGCCACCATCGAATGCTTCGGAAAGAGTGGAGTTTTCTATGATAGCTTGCAGCCACAGTCTTTGGAACGAATTCGTGAATTGGAAGCATTAGGGTTGCCACAACAAGCAGCACCACGAACACCAACTGGAGAAGCGCCACGCTTCATTACCGAATTGCAGGATATTTCCAAATTGGTTGAAGGTCAAAGTGCGCACTTCGAAGCCCGATTGACACCAGTCAATGATCCAGATTTGGTCGTTGAATGGTATTACAATGGAAACAAGTTACCACATGGCCACCGATTCCGTACTTTCCATGACTTTGGCATCGTTATTTTGGACATTTTGTACTGTTACGAAGAAAACTCTGGCGAATATGAGTGCCGTGCTTCAAATAAATACGGAACAGCTGTGACCAAGTCATCATTGCGCTGCTATTCCAAGACCAACCTCGTCCTTGACTCACAATTGCCAAGAGTAAGTAGAATGCAAACTTTTTTTTGTCATTGTTGAAGTTTTGGTTTAATTTTAAATGAAAAAAATAAATTTTCCTGAAATATTCATGAACAAAATTTTTCTTTTTCACAGGGAATGGAAGGTGGTTTGGAGAAGATTCAAGATCTTGAAGATTCACAAATTCGTACTAGAACCGAAGCTGTTGAAGAAACGAAGGGTAGAGCACCTGTATTTACTGTTCCATTGTCGAATGTAGATAGTTTGCGCGAAGGTGAAAATGTTCACTTCGAAGCCCGTGTCACTCCAACTGACGATCCAAAATTGAAGATTGAATGGTATTTCAATGGCAAACCGGCGAAGACCGGCTCACGTTTCCGTACATTCTGTGACTTTGGATTTGTCATTTTGGAAATTTCACCAGTTTATCCAGAAGACTCTGGCGAATACGCATGCCGTGCAATCAACGAATACGGACAAGCCGTTACAACTGCATCGATGAAGGTTCAAGGAAAGCGAAGCATTATCCTTGAGTCACAATTGCCCAAAGGAATGGAAGGAACCATCGATAGAATCGCCGAACTCGAAGGACTTGGTGTTCAATATGGTGAGACAATGCCCGAAGAAGAGACTGGCAAGCCGCCAGAGTTCATTACTTCACCAGCTGATCTAACAATCAATGAGAATGGATTGGCCCACTTTGAATGTCGCTTGACACCAATTAACGATCCAAGCTTACAAGTTGAGTGGTATCACAATGGCAAAGCACAATGGCAGGGCTCGCGCATCAAGACAATAAACGATTTCGGTTTTGTCATCTTGGAAATTGCTGGATGCTATCAGCGTGACGGTGGTTTGTACACATGCAAAGCAACGAATAAGCATGGCGAAGCAACTGTTTCGTGCAAATTGAAAGTAAAAGGTCGTCAAGGAATCATAATGGAACCACAATTACCATCCAACTTCAGAACCGGTACGGAGAGTTTGCAGAAACTTGAGGAAAATCTGCATAAGCGGGAAGAAATCTTTGTCGATGAAGAAGAAGCTCATCCACCTAAATTCACCGTTGATATCTCCGATAACTTGGATATACCAGAAGGTGGACCAATTCATTTCGATTGCCGCGTTGAACCAGTTGGGGATCCATCGATGCGCATTGACTGGTTTTTCAATGGCCGTCCATTGGCCACTGGCTCAAGAGTACATCAACTCAACGATTTTGGATTCATTGCACTCGATATCGACTATATTTACTTGCGTGATTCTGGAGAATATGTTTGCAGAGCAACTAACAAATGGGGACAAGCCGTAACTAAAGCTAAAGTTACATGCATCGGCAAACAAGGAATCATTTCAGATTCACAATTGCCCCAAGGCATGACTGCAGAGCACTTGAAGGACTTGGAACGTGGACCAATCACCGAACCAGTTCCTGAAGAAGCACCAGCTGGACCACCAAAATTCATTACACACATTACATCACGTACTGTTGAAGAGTCGGAATGCACTCGTTTCGAGTGTCGCGTTGAACCAAAGGGAGATCCAAAACTTCGTATCGAATGGTACCGCAACGGTAAGCCACTACCAATGGGACATCGCTACAGAAATGTTCACGACCTTGGATATGTGTCGCTGGACATTTTGTATGTTTACGCCGAAGATTCGGGTGAATATGTATGCCGTGCCGTTAATGATTTTGGTGAGGACTTCACCAAAGCAAACATTTCATGCAAAAGTAAGTTGAAAATTTAGTTTATGCATTACAATTTAGCGAAAATAAATGTATCTAATTTTCCATTGTCAGAATTGCCATCGATTATTTTGCAAAATCAAGTTCCGAAGGGAATGAAAACATCCGAAACATTGATGCAAATGGAAGCTGCCATCAAGAAATACACTTCGGAAGTTTTCCTTACGGAAGATGACTTATATGATGCCGATAAGAAGCAACCACCACGTTTCGTCACTCAAATCAAAGATCAAACAACTCTTGTTGAGATGCAATCAACCAAATTCGAATGTCAATTGGCCCCAGTCGGCGATCCAAATATGAAAGTTGAGTGGTTTTTCAACGGGAAGCCCCTGCATCATAGTAAGTGCAGTACTAGTTTTTCAGATTTATCAATTATTTGTGACTGTCAATATCACGTTAATTTTTTTTTCTGTTACAGAGAATCGCTTCGAGCCGATTTATGATTTTGGTTATGTTGCAATGAACTTTGGATGGGTCTATCCAGAAGATAGCGGTGAATATGTGTGCAGAGCAACGAACTTGTACGGACAAGATGAAACTAGAGCAATCATCAAAACATCAGGAAAGCCTGGAATCATCTACGATTCACAATTGCCCAAGCACATGAAAAGTATCGAAAAGATTCGTGAGATGGAAGCCTCTTGGCAAGTGTAAGTAGCAATTTGGTATTTCATAAATCTGAAGCTTATACTCAATCAAAACAGGAGTTTATTTCATTTTTTTTTTTTTGAATATTTATATGATATTCAGTGCACCGGAACAACCAGATGAAGACGCCAAACCAAGAACTGCGCCAGTTTTCGTTAGTAAACCAGAATCGGTTGAGGTGGAGGAAGGTGAATGGGCTCGGTTCTGCGCTCGTGTCACCGGCCATCCACGCCCTCGCGTTATGTGGCTTGTAAATGGCCATACCGTTGTTAATGTAAGCCAAACATTCGTTGATCACTTTGATTCGATAAAAATTTTACAATAAAAAAACAAATGATAATTTATAGGGCTCTCGATTCAAACTAACGTACGATGGAATGTACCATTTGGATATACCAAAAACAAGACAATACGACACCGGTAAAATTGAGATAATAGCCAGAAGTTCAGTTGGTGAAACAATGGCTACAGCCGACCTCAAAATTGTTCCACGAACTGACGATTATCGCAATGTCCTTAAGAACTCGCCAAGACGTAAGTATTTCTTCAATCCGAATTTTACACGGTACTTGGTTCTGTTATTTTAAAAATTAAAAACATTTTAATGAAATGGCGTAAACGAATAGCATCATCACTAAAAAAAGAAATGGAGTAAAAACACAGATCGAAAAGTCACACTAATACACTTACAGCAACTATATAATATTTGACACTGTACGGATTCTGTACAACTAACCCAGATGCATTGTACTGAATCTGTTTAATTTAGCTGTCAAAAATCTGAGTTTCGCTGACACATACAAGTAATACAGATTCAGTACAATGTATCTGGGTTAGTTGTACAGAATCTGTAATGTGTCAAATATTATATAGTTGCTGTCTGTGTATTAGTGTGACTTTTTTGTCTGAACAAGAATAATGTAATTGATAAGTGTTTTATGGCTTACTTCAAAGCCTTTGGCACATAACACATCTTTGCTTTCTTACACAAAACTTTTGGGAAAAAGTTTAAATAACATATCAATAGCAAATACACACACACACACAAATCACACAATCACACTATTACACTTCACAAAATCCAATGCACAATTCCTTTATACGCTCCTTTTGCAATTCCACAATCCCAATTCGCTTTACTTCGCATCAAATACTAGCGGCTGCTGCAAATTGGCATGGGTCATTTTGTGATTTAAGCACACAATCGAGGTAAAATGTAAGATTTGTACATAATGTGAATAAAATTAGATTTAGTCAAATATATATTTTAACAATTATTTTTTTATATATGACGTAGTGGCAATGCGGGTTAACTTTAATTTAAATTAATGGGCTTTTCTCTTTTTTCTTTCTTTTTTTTCTCTCACAATAATGGTTGATGCAATAACGTTAAATGTAAAAAAACATGTTATTTTTCTGGTGTCTCATGACATACTTTGACATTTTTCTCATATGATTTTGCATTCTATATTGTCAGCCTGGTACGATTCCGAATTGGTTCCTTATCAAAAAGAAAGACAAGAAACTGAGCTGGAGAAAACATTTGAGGATCGAAGACAACAGAAGGCTGAACAAGGCACCGTAAATGTCGGACAGCATTTCAGCAAGACACCACAAGGATTTAAGCAAGTTCCTGAATGGACGAAGGCCGTACAACAAAAGAAAAACGAAAACTATTATAGTCAATTGCAAGAGCTTGAAACCGATCAACTGCTTCGCGAGACAAAATTACGCGAAGAAAGCCACCAATATGCCATTCCAGGCGAAAAAGTCGTCAATAAGTCGATGGCGAAAGGAATGGCACAGAAATATCAAGAACAATTGTAAGTGAAACGCCATTTAGAGTTGATTTGGTTTGATTTATTACAAATGTTCTCTTATACGTTCATTTTCAGAGAGAAAACCGAAGATGTCGTTGATTCAGGCACCAAAACGGTTCGAAAAATACAACAACAGCAATCAATTCAACCGCAAGAATCATCAGTTCATGGTCGCGAAGTACACGTAAATCGTCAAAAGCAAACGCAAAAAGAAACCATTGGTGATGTAGAAATCACACGTAAAATTACCGCAACGGAGACAACCGAGATGGAGCACAAAGGATTAGCACAAGAACGTGTTGTGGCAGGACCAGTTAAACCATCCAACCCACCATTCTTCACAAAGAAGATGCAACCATGCCGTGCGTTTGAAAATGATCAAGCTCGTTTCGAAGTTGAATACGATGGAGATCCAATTCCAAAAGTGCAATGGTACCGTGAAGACTTCCCAATTCAAAATTCGCCAGTGTTCCAAATCCATACATTTGGAACCAAGTCAATCTTGATGATTCGCCAAGTCTTCCTGGAAGATTCGGCAATGTTCTCAGTTATTGCCGAGAATGCTGGTGGTACGGCTAAGTGCAGTGCCAATTTAGTAGTCGAAGAACGCAAGCGTCCAGGCAAAGGAACGATAAGTCCACCAAGTTTCTTGTCTACTGCTCAAGACGCCACCGTTAATGAAGGACAATTGGCACGTTTTGACGCCAAAATCAATGGTACCAAGCCGTTGGATGTGTACTGGTTGAAGGGTGGAAAGAAGATCATTCCGAACATCAAGTACAAGATTGTTGAAGAGGACAATACCTACACTTTATTGATCATCGAAGCGTTCCAAGAAGATGCGGGCGCTTATGAATGCGTCGCCGTAAACAATGCAGGCGAAGCTCGTTGTGAAGCCGAATGCACAGTCGTATCATCTAAATCTGCGGCAAAGAAACCGCAACAAAGTGTACCTGGTACCGAGAAAACACCAACACTTATTGAGCCATTGAAAGATCAGACAATCAGTGAAGGCTCGAGCGTTGTGTTCAAATGTCGTGTGATTGGCAAACCAAATCCAACTGCTCAATGGTTCAAAGGACCGAACATTATTAAACCGTCGAAATTTTTCCAAATGTCACGTGATGGAGAATATTACACTTTGCGCATAAGTGAAGCCTTCCCTGAAGATGAAGGCGCTTATAAGTGCGAATTGGCCAATACACTCGGAAAGATCACAACAAGCGCTAATTTGCGTGTACAAGCACCAGAAATGCAAGAAAGTTTGCCAACATTGTCACCAATGAAAGATGTTGTTGTACCGGAGGGAAGCCCAGCTCAATTCAAAACAACGATTTTAGGAAAAACCAAACCAACCAATGTAAGTTGTAACACTGACAAAAGTGTTTAAGAGGTTGAACTATTTGACAACACTTTAAAATTCCATTTTCACAGGTCCAATGGTTCCGCGAAGGTGCTCTGATTCCCGAATCACCGGACTTCCAGGTATGCATCTTGTTTGGATGTTTCGAACACTCCATTTATTACAATTATAAACTGCATTCAGAATGTCTAAACACTTTTTTTTGTTGGGGAATCACATTCCCGTTTTTGCAAAATCATGGTTATTCAAGCGCATTTCAAACCAATTTCAGCTGTGATACTAATATAAGGTCGAATTCTGTTTATTATTTTCTCCTTCAGATGATCTTCGATGGAAACAATGCCGTCCTATTGATTGCAACTACATATGAAGAAGACTCTGGTCTTTTCACTTGCCGTGTAACCAGCTCTGCGGGCCAGGTCAAAACATCGGCCAAACTTATCGTTAAAAGTAAGAACTAAATAAGATCTGTTGTCTGAACCGTTTCTGTTTTGTGTTATTTGTTTGATTTGTAATTTTCGCGATAAATTGTTTTTAGCTTTGAACATTTAAAAGCAAAAAAAAAACGACAGCACTAAAAATTGAGAAAAATATCCGGTGCATAGAAATTTGCCGAGTAAACAAAAAAAGAGTTATTTAATTATCCCGTAAAATCAATACATTTATGTGAAGAAAAAAAATCATAAATTTCATTTAAAAATAAAACAAAGTTTGCTTTTTGAGTGTGAGGGCACAGCATTACAGCCAAAAAGACATCCATATGTCAATACTCATATCACATAATTTGCAAGTATTTTTGGTGCGAAATTTTTGTTGATTTTTTGTTCCATTTCGACCAATCAGAGAGAAAAGGTCAACAAAATTAGATACTTGTGAATATATGATCAAGTAAATTTTTGGTTGAATAATGTAAAGTACGCAAGAGATGTAAACCATTTAATTGTGTCCCACTCTCAGATTCGCAAGCAAGTTTGACAAAAGCGATAACTGATTGCATGATTGCATTCACTTATTTGCGTAGAGTGAAGAAAATGAAGACAATAAAATTATTGAGTGTGTTCACGAATGTGTTTTATTCGATGAGGTTTTCACTTTGATGCAAATCGAAAAATCGTCGAATAGAGCATTTCTGAAAGATGTCTTCAAATATAATTTATTTTTTCTAAATAATTTTGTTTGCATAATAAAAAAAAAAAAGAAAAAGAAAAGAAACACAACTAAAAACAAATGTTATAATGAGTGCCAATAAAGTGTTGAAAATAGAAAGCAAACTGACCAGAACTTTACATTTGAATATACATAATGTCACTTTTAGTTGTTAAGAACATATAGGATTCGTTATACCATTTTTTTGCATATTTCTTGAAGACTCATTGCAATCGCGACGTTTGTACTCAATTTTAAAGATTCGGTATGTTATTTTTAATAAGATGTAAAGACGGAACAAATGATATGAGCTAATCTGTATATATACAGATAAAATGTATTTCGAAACAGTTCTGCTGTGTGTCACCTTACCCGCTTAATTTTCGTCAATACGCGCCAAAATAGATTTAATTATTCAATTTGTTATTCCCGAAAAATATACCGAATACCACCTCGTTATATTTTTGTTGTTGCTGTTAATGATCGAGAATTTAAAATGGCGTGCGAAAAATTAAAACGGCTTTTGTGGAAACAACAAATGAAAAATCGAAAATTCAATTGCATATGGTTTTTGGGCGAACGAAGCGCGCTTCTGTTTCTCATTCTAGGAATAGATGATGAAGTAGGATGAAAACGAAAAAAAAATTAAGAAAACGACTATAGAAACACAGGCGATATTTTTCACACACATGCGCTCTGAGCGCCGCCTTCAATTTGCTCAAAATTTATAACGATCGTTTTCAAAGAAATCATAGCACTATTCAACAGCAAGAAAAAAAGCAAATAGCGTTGGAAAGAAAACAAACAGCGATGGCTCACTTTCTTTTCTATTTTTAAAAGCCAACTAATAATGGGGGGGGGGGGGGCCGGCCCCAAATGATTAAGAGGTGACGCACGGTGATATGTGCGTGCGTTTACCGACGACGAATTTCATTTAACGGTTCCAAAACATTTAAGGTTGCTCCTTCGACGGTTTGCATTTGTACGATACGTTACCTTGTGACCAGTCTAAATTTGGACTATTCTATCACTTACCTTTATGTTTATGTTGCTGAGTCAAAAAATAGAAAACAGAAAACAGAGGAGAAAAACGTATACCATTTATTTTCGGAATTATATAGTCAGACCAACTAGGCAAAAAGTTGCTATATAGCACCTTTTAGTTATACTACTTGGTTTTTGATAATTTACAATCATAATTAATTTATAAATAGGATTTTTGAGATGAAACGAAAACGATTTTTTTCATGTTTATTCAAGTCAGAAATTTATTGAAGCCCAAAGTTTTGACAAAATGCAAAAAAATGATAATAATCAAGAATAGAAAAATGAAGAACAAAGAAAAAAAAAGAAGAAGCAAACAAACTTAATCATCACTGAACACATTCAACAGCACTCGAAATCGGCAATCAGTTATTCGTTCATAAATTCATTGCACACTCACAACCATACTATATCTAGTATACTATAAGAATTGAACATCAATTTGTTTAGGTTCATTTATTTTTAATTTTACTGTCATTGTATGATGGTTGCATGTTGATTTTATTGCCACATTATAATTACTAATTCTTATGAGCCATACGAAAATTGTGAGCTTATTGCTTTGTTTAACCCTTTTTAGACCGTTCATTTTGTTCGCATTTGAAATAATCGATTGGATTTCTGTTTTTTCTTTTCTTTGAATAATGTGCTTAATTAAAACCAACATGCATCCATTTCGAATTTCGATGGAAATTGTTTATGTTTGTAATTGTGTTAAAAATCGAGAGATCAGCAGTAATAAAAGAATGAAACAACCACTAAATGTTTATTAGGCAGTGATTAATGTATTTTGAATTTTTTTCTCGTATGTAATTTTAACGAAATTAGAAAAATTTAATGTGTTTTATATTTTAATAATAAAAAAAAACAAATAGTCATCCATCAATGGAATGTCCAATTGAATTCACTTAATGTATTCCATTTTGTTTTTTTTTTACTATTGTGTCTAACTTAATCCCAGCAATTTTTTTTGTTCAGTTCACTTTGGTGTTTTGACCCGGCAAAAGTAAATCGTTATCCAAAAAACACAAAGAAAAATTTCCACTTTGTTTATTTATTTTTCTGCAACGGATTGTTTGTACGCTAAGAATGTAGCTATCGATTTTCCCCGGTAACCGTTCACATCTGAGGCTAACTAAAGACTAAATCCTGTTTGCCAAATTTTCAATCGATGAAAATATGGCGGCTATTTATTTCAATGTTATTCTATTTTAAATATCGTATCCGAGCTCGTCACAATGTGTTTTAACCACTAATACACACACTCCAGATGATACATTCGGTGTATTTGAATTTGTGATGTTTTATTTAATATTCTATGTTGATACGATCACTCTTTCCCTCTTTTCCCCTTTCCCTCTTCCATTCTCGCTGTTTCTCGATTTCTCTGTGTCTATTAATAACCGAGTCGAACAAGTAATTTTGATTTTTAACTTTGCATATGAACAGCGCCCATGTTGGTGACGATGCTTTCGCGATCCTTAACAATGTAATGCCAAGAGATGATTTCAATCTCGAACAGTTGTCTTTGCACGTATGTTGGCTCTCTTACCGTTTTCTTCATTTTTTACCGCAACGAAAACGATTATTCGATGGATATGCATAATATGTGTTTATTTTGTATATGTGCCTTACTCATGCTCAAGAATGATTTATAAATATAGAATCTGAGTCAAGTGCATTGCTCACCTATTTTGCATTAATTAGCAACAAAAAATTATTTAATCGCAATTGGTTTAATTTTATTTAATGCATTTACTCAATAAAACGGTCTGGTTGCAGCTCACAAAATCACTTACATTCAGCAACGCATTTTGAAAAATTGCCAATTTTCGTTTCGGTTACCAATTCAAAATGCACATATTAATCTTCTTTCAGAAATACAACAACATTCTCGCCAATCTCAACGGTTTCAACCAAATGAATTGACTCCAGACCAAAGTGGACCACAGGGAAATCGCATTTATGCACAACAGTATCAGCAACAAACAGTAAATCAACAACAGCAACAGCAGCAGCAATGGCAACAGCAACAGCAACAACAAACACAACAACACATTCAGTTTGGAGACAGTGTGCAACAAGCGACACAATTTATAGAAGTGCCAAAAGGCGATGAATCGTTGCCTTGGCGCCGATCAAAAACTCCAAAAATTCGAAGTCGAAGCTTGCAACCTTTGCATGACATTGAGAAATTGCCATGGTTGCGATCTCATCGTGATCGTTCGGTGCCAAAGCAACCGACATTCTTGCAAATGCAACGTGGCCGAGTGCCAGTTCGACCATGGATCGAAGAGGTCATTAAATTGAAACGAACTGAGCTACACCAGAAAGTGATCGAACGTGCTAAGTTGGAGAAAGTTCAATTGAAAGAATCGCAAATTGAACACAAAGAAATCCCGCATGAGGAACTGGAGAAAGTCGATTTGAAGCACCTGCAATGGGATGCAGATGCATTAAAATCTGGACAAATAACACAATTGGCTGAATGGCAACAAGCTCTGCTTGCCGATTCTGGCCTAACTATGCATGATATTGAACACGAAGATCAAATGACGATCCTTGAATTGACCAAGCAAATCGATGAAATTGTTCACAGCGATAAATCGCAAGGTGTGCCCTGGGAAATTCAAAAGAAACAACTCAAAACCATTGAACGAGCACAAAAAGTTATCGATAAATTCCAGGTGCAAGACGTTGATCTGAAATCAATGCGCCAGCAAACACTTCAAGAACATCGAAAAATTTCAGCCGGACAGCGATTGCATACAGAGGATTCAAATGTAATGCATGTTAATCAGCAATCTGATATCCAAATGCATCGATTGGACGATCAACAAAGGTTTATGTTACAGCAGCAACAGCAACAGCCAAAAATGCAACCATTGTCACATACTGAGGATATTTCTGTTTTGAAATTGTCTGAACATACACAATTGGATATGAGAACTATTCAGCAAATGGAACAGGAGACTCCGCATATGTGGCAGAGAGGTGGTAAGCAACAGAAAACCGACCAAGGCGATCTATCTTATGTCGAAGATTCCACAATTTTATCGCTAAAAAAGAATGAACAAATCACACAGAAATACACCGATTTGAGTGAAACTCCTGTCGGTTGGAGACGTGGACCGAAACCACAAGAGACTATCCTATCTGACTCGCAAGTAGAAATGTCTCAGGTTGAAGACGAACAAACACAGCCACAAGAACAAGCTTTACCATGGATGCGTGGAAAGAAAATCGCGAAAGCTGCTGCATCTCATGTTGAGGATACGACCGTTCTGAAGCTAAATGAGAGACAGGAAATCACTCAGCAGCAACTGAAATCAGATGAAAAACCGGTGATGTGGCAGCGTGGTCAAAAGCAACACGAAACTACCCAGCATCAAGAAGATGAAATTACACAATTTGTCAAGCCAGAGACCGAAGAAGAGATTAAAGAGACGCCTGTTGCTTGGGAGCGTGGCAAAAAAGTGGCCAAAGGTACTGTGCCACATGTTGAAGATTCAACTATTTTGAAATTGGATGAAACACAGCAACCAATCCAACCGGAAATTATAATGGACGAGACGCCAGTCATGTGGAGACGTGGTCCAAAACCACAAGCAACACAAGCCACTGAAGATACTGCTGAAGAACGCGTAGAGAGTTTGCCCAAGCAACTGCCTCCAAAGGAAAAACCCAGACCATGGACAGAAGAACAGGTGAAATTAAAGAAACCACAACCCAAACCCGTTGAGACCGAAGAATCCATTCCCAGAGAACCGACTTTACAAGATAAACCCAGACCATGGACAGAAGAACAGGTGAATTTAAAGAAACTACAACCCAAACCCGTTGAGACCGACGAAACCGTTCAAATGCGTAGAGATAGTATACCAAAACAACCGAACGATGTCAAACCATGGAAAGAGGAACAAGTAAAATTGAAGACAGCTCGACGCGAATCCGTCGAAATCGAAAAATTAAAACCAGCAAGAGATGAGGTACAACTGAAGCCCATCAAGCAAACTGCACCTCAACAACCAGCCGAGATCGAAACGGTTGACGAGCATAAAGAAGGGCCAGCCGCTCAAGAACCAATGGTAAGAGAGTACCTTTCAATTGTTCTTGCAAAATTCTCAATACGATTGTGTTTTCTGAAAATAGTTTTGATTTAAAGTTTTTTCGGCAATCGAACTTTTTAATGGAAATATATTTGTTTCTTTATTTATTATTTAGCCGCAACAACTGGAAGAAGAGAAACCTGTGCCATGGCGTCGTGGTGAGAAAAAGAAACCGGTTGAAAAACAACCCGAAGAGAAACAATGGCCAATGGGAAAACGAAAGCCATCAACTACCGACGAAGTGGAAAAGGTCGAATTGAAACCAATTCCACGCAAGAAACCAGAAGAACAAAAGCCAAAGGAACAACAAGAATTGAAACCAGTCAAAAAGGATGAAATACCTGTCGAACAACCTACTGAGGTAAAAGAAACATCGTTACCACAAATTCGAGCAGGTAAAGCACAGATTAAGGCACCGAAGTTCATTAAGAAGCTCAAACCGGAAATGTGCAAGCCGAACGAACCGACCATTCTGGCCGCAATCGTCGAGGGTACGCCATTTCCCGAAGTTAAATGGTTCTTCAACGATGCCGAGCTACGTGCAACGGAGAACTATGAGATGAACGTTGTTGAAAAAACTGTCACACTGAAAATCGCAAAAGTTACACCGGAACTGGTCGGCACCTATACGTGCCAAGTCAAAAACGAAGCTGGAGTGGCAATTTCACGCGCCAACATCGCATTGGGTAAGCACAACATTTTGTCTTTATTTGTTTCATCATTCTCAAAACCTAATCGTGCTATAATTACATGAAAATATTCATTTTTGAGCTTTCATATAAATCACTAATTCAAACGTAAACAATAAAAATCTTAGTTCCCTGTAAGAAAAAGCCACTTTTGTATTTTTATGATTAGAAATAGAACTTACAAAATTTGCGTGTGATATTGTCTTATATTGGCACTGACCTGTAGATAAACACTACAGAACTGTGTACATTGTACAGACCCTATTTTCATTCATGCTAATAATTGTATTCAAATCGACTGTAAATAATTATTATAGAAAAAGAGTCTGGAATTGCACCGATATTTACAAGACCAATTGAAATAACCTATTCGGAAGAAGAAAACAAAATCCTTGTATCATGTCAAGTAGAAGGCACACCGAAGCCAAATGTTGTTTGGAAAAAGAACGAACAACAGATCATTCCAAGCGAAACCGTTCAAATTCTATACGATGAAAGTACGGGTGATATCGCTTTAATATTGACTGAAGTACCCATTGAAATCGACAAGCCAATCGTTTATAAAGTCGAAGCTGAAAATAGTTTTGGTAAGGCGATTAGCAGAGCAGAAGTCATGCAGACTGTGGAACAGCCGGAAGCCGTGATTCCACAAGTTTTAAAAGTACCGCATGTAACACCACTGGAACCACAAACGATCAAGAACAAAGCTACTCTCACAATAAGTTCATCTTACGTTGGAATACCCGAGCCCGAAATCAAGTGGCTCAAGAATGGCAAAGAAGTGGTGATTGATGACGATGTTACAATTACAATTGAAAATGGCACGAGTATGTTAACAGTTCGCAATGTTGATCGAAAGCGAGCGGGCAAATATGAAATCGTTGCAACAAATGAAATTGGAGAGTCTAGAGCTTCTGGAAGTGTTATGGTATCGGACGATGATGCACCAGAAGAACTGATGCCACCACATTTTATTCAGTCACTTAAGCCCAAGACTGTGCTCCTGGATGACGTTATGATTTTGGAGGCGTCGGTAAAATCACATCCAGGTTCATCGTTCCAATGGTTCTTCAATTCAACATCAATCACACCAACTGAAACAATGCGCATCCATTCGCAGAATAATAGATCAGTCCTTTATATTGATCGCTTCGTTGCTGAGAATGATGGAGTTTATACCTGTCGGGCGGAAAATGTTGCCGGCTCGGTAACTTCAAGTGCTTCCATCAAATTGGTGGAATCCGAGAATCAGCTTGAAGAATCGAATGAGTACTTATCGCCTAGATTCATTAGGAAATTGAAACCAGTACAACTAATGGATGGCGAAGCCATGAAACTCACTTGCCGTGTCATCGGTTATCCAACACCAAAAATATCGTGGTTTAATAACAAACGATTGCTAACGCCAAATAAAGGGATCATCATTGTTCAGGACAGTAATGGCTTCTGTGAACTAAATATGCCTGAAGTATTCGTTGAAGATGCTGGAATTTACAGTTGTAAAGCAATCAATAAATTTGGAAAATCCACGACTAAAACTAATGTTGTCATTGAAGGTATTACCATTTTGAGTTTGCATTTCTGTGTCATATCTATTGCATCGTCGATGATATATTGGTCATTTTGTAGATTGATCCTTTTTAGTGTTTCCTGAATATTCATAAGTAGAAATTAGTGGTAAAATGAATCATTTATTCAAATGAATGGAACCACACTGTAGTTCTCTTTGATACTAATCGCATTAAGAACCAAAATGACAAACCATACTAATTTTGTACATAAATTCCATATGAATGTCTTTTTTGATTTGAAACATAACGAACATAATAATTGTTGATATTTTAGTCTCTAAAATCTCCTTTCCTCCATATATTCATTGGTTTGATGATAACTCCGAAATCCCAATCCATTCATTTCAAATGATCAATAACTTTAATATCGTTTCGAAAAATCCCCTAACTGTAAGATTCTCTTGAGTATTTTGAAAGTTTTCTGTCATTTTCATTGAGTAGAGGTAATAAGACACGAACAACAAACGGCGATCATTACGGAACGATTGATTGGGCCTTTGATTTATACGATTTGTTCGTGGTTGTAACAATCAAGTGAATTTCATGGTTGTTAATTCGTAATTTTATTTTATACTTAGCATACGAATATGTGCCGGACTCGGAAATGACCAGTCAAACAATAGGTTCACAAGAAGATCTACTAGATAAGGTATGTTATGGTGGAAAAAAAATCAGAATACCTATAGACTAATATTATGGTCGTTGTCATAAAATGCTCAAATCTCGTCTGTATTTCTATATTCATTTTTTATGTTTCAAACAATCAATTCATAGACCGTGTCTATTGAGGAGGATACATTGGTTGCGCCAAAGATTGTTAAAAAGCTACCGAAGGTCGTGAAAATGAAACAAGGAGAAGCTACTTCGTTGGAAGTTAAAGCAATTGGAAAACCACAACCAACTCCAAAATGGCTCAAGGCAAACGAAGAAATCATTCCATCAGACGACTACCTCATTGAAAACTATCCAGATGGAACTTCTGTGCTAACGATAACAAATGTTCAACCAGATACCATCGATCAAATTACATTTGAAGCCGTTAGCCACGTTGGTATCGCAAAAACTGCAACTAAATTACACATCGAAGGTATTTTATCGCGTAATAATATGATACAAACGATTTTAAATTGTCTTATTCGGGGAATCAACTCCCAATCATACAAAATTAATTTTTTTTGTTTGCAGCAATTCTAGCGAATATATTTGAAGCAACTTTTAATTTCCTATACCGTCTTACTCCATTTCCTAAAAAATACATATTTATATAACTCTCAACACAAAAACACACTTCAGTATACAATTGGTTATATTTTGTGTAGTGATGATGTTAGAAATCGTTTTTTTTTTTCAGCCAGCGACTTGATATAATATTTTTGTTTTATGTTCATGTGCATTTCTTTTCTATTTTCAATTATTAGAAATTGTTGGTACAAAAGAATATCGACAGCCGGAATGGGTTACTCATATGGAAGAGATGCGTGAGGCGCTTAAAGGTAAGATTTATTTTGTAGTATTCTAAGAACAAAAGAACACATAAAAACAAATGCACATAAACATAAAAGAACACAAAACAAAAATGCACACAAGTCCGATTGAAATATTCAGTTTTGAATGCACAAGTAAGTTTGAACGTATGTAACAGTCTCACAATGCACACTGGCTACGCTTTATCACCAATACTACACTTTTAACACAAAACAAATTTGCACATAAAATGCTATTTATCAGTTTTAAAACAAAAACCCAATTTTTACTCTTCGGCTAATCATGCTCTAGCTAATGCAATTTCTTTTGAATGGATATATTAATTTCAGCTGCTAAATCAGCACCTTCTTTTGTGGTAGAAATAGTAAATAAGAGAGTGGTAGAGGGTGAATCGGCTAAATTTGAATGCCAGTTTTCAGGAACACCAATACCAGGTATAATTTTCCCCCCAAACAAAAAGTGAAATAGCCCCCAATGTTGAAATGTCCATGTCATATTGCAAAATTTTCCAATTGATTTTCTTAATGGCAAATACAAATTGTGTTCCTTCTAGATATTTTATGGTATCACAATACTAAATTTCTTAAAAGCTCTGACAATATCAAAATCAACACAAATTTAGAAGAATCGAAATCAACATGCATTGTATTAAATGTGACCAAAGAAAATATTGGCTATTATACATGCAAAGCTATAAATGATGTTACCGAAGTGTCAACCAGAGCCAAATTGGATTTGGCAGCTGGTGGAGTGGTAACGGGAGCATCAATGACGACATCTGAAACAGAAAGCACAGTCAAGGAAACTACCAAGGAAGTAAGCAAAGTTGTCAAAGTCAAATCTGAAAAGAAAGTCAAGTCACACAAAAAAGCCGCTCAAGGGCACAAAGCGGCTAAAGAAGGGAGCAAAATGGAACTGATTGTATCACAACCACAAAGAGGTGTTAGTGAAGAAATCGAAACCGATGTGTCCGAGGAAGCCACACTAAAAACCGCAAATAAAGCACATTTAGACGTAATTAGGGCAAATGAGCGTATCTCAAGCGCAAACACTGTAGATATTACCACCAAAAGCCAAAGAATTGAAGAAGAAAATGTTGAAATTTTGGAAGAAACCGAAGAGATTCATGTAAAAATTTACAAAGAAGTCTTTTCAGAAGAAGAAATGGAAAATTTCAAAGTTGCCGATGAAGTAAATTCGATACTTGAAACGATCGAAGCACATCAATTTGGTAGTGGAGAACGACCACTTCGTGAACTAGCCACCATTGGACATCTTCTCAAAAAAGGTGTTGAAATCACGGAGATAATACAGCTTTATGATGCAAACTTTTTCCCAGCACTTAAACTACCAGAATCTCAATCGGCATTAGTTCAACTGGTTGAAAGACAAGGATATGAAAATTTAATAACTGAAATTCTAAATGCAAGTTCGTCCGAAGATGAACATTTACTGGCATCAACCGTTGGATTCAGAGCAATCATGCGGATGGTTGAAGTGACGAAGACACCAATCGAAGAAATTATCACAAACTTCAAGTTCGAGGATTTTGTTTCACAAGAATGGAAACATAAAGAAGTGAAAGATAGTGAATTTGTCGAAGTAACGGAAAGTCGTGTCAGTAGCATACGAGCTGAGAAAATGTCAATAATTGGTAATGATTTTGACTAATATTTCCTTTTGTTGATGTGGTGATTCCCATATGAATGTTTCGAATACGGATTTAGAATAGTTTATTTATTGTCCACTTCTGTATATATCATTTTCAGAAAAAGTGTCGAAAGAAGAAAAACTAACCACAATTTGTGAAGGTTTGAATGATGAAAGTTTATATCCGTATCAAATATGATACATATACATATACATATATATATATGTATATCTATTGACTAGATCGAGGGGAGAGTATGTGAAAAAATTCTAATATATTTTGAAAGAGGAGAGTATGACTTCTGTTGATTCTATCTGCGTTAAAAGGAAGTATGTTGGCATCCCGTCTAGCCTCCGCGGTTTTTCACGGTTTCCGTGAAACTGATAAAAGATAACAACATGGTGTCTTCGGCAAAGTTGTTGTACTTGAGGTTTTCTTCAACATTGCTGAAGACATCTATCTCTTATTTTTTATCAGTTGCGCGCAAATCGCGCACATAAAAAAGCAAATTTTATATAGAACTTTTTTTTTCTTATCATTTTTCGCGCTTTTCGCGGAGCTGATAAGAGATGAGAGATAACTGACTTCAGCAATGTTATAGAAGACCTCGAGTGCTACAACTTTGCCGAAGACACCAAGTTGTTATCTCTTATCAGTTCCGCGGAAACCGTGGAAAACCGCGAGGACCCACCAAAAATGAACATACTCGCCTTTAACCATTTTTGAGTCGAAAGAAACTTACTCTTCTCTTTCACAACAAAGTCAGATGAACTTACTCTCCTCTCGATCTAGTCAATAGATATAATGCCATTCTATTTAAATAAACTCTCACTCTATTTTGATTTTAATATTTTATTTACTCGCGTTTTGCTGGAGCCCCAAATTCTATTTCTTTCGAGAAACCATTTAATATTTTCAAAGTAATTTCCACCAGAAGAAAAATTGATGAATAAGATCATGTAGCCCATGACCCACTCCAAATTTCTATTCAATTGCAAGAGTTGTGTGACTGATAATTAACTTTTTTAGTTTTAAATGCTAATTAGAGCGAATGTTAGTTGATTGCAGAAATAACCTTTCTAATTCAAATTAATCTACCGAATTGCTTAAACCATGTTTATCATATGTTGACTATCACTGTTAATAATGCCATTCTATTTTTTATTATAAAATTGTTGCACATGCATAATTAGTTGTAAAGTATAATTCTATTTTGCTTTATAAACATATTAAATGATGAATTTTAGACTAGGACCTTTCTAAATAAAATGTCAAATAAATTATTTGAAGTTGATTAGATTGAAGCTTAATCATTTGCTTGAGTCGCTTTTCGCTTTAGTCTGAGAATCTTACCATAGAAGCACACCTGCAATAAATGTAACCAAATGGTAAGTGTTACTTTATGCTTCTTAACCATAACATCTAATTCCGCAATAAACATTTAAAATCTTGAACGGCAAGTAGAAAATTGAAAACAAAAGCATTTTGTAAAATCGACAACTTTCGAGATTCGCATAAATGCATGGAAATGATGTGAACAAAATTCATTCTTCAAAAACAAAAACCAAAACAAAAAATGAATACCAAAAATATATACACGCCACACACAAACACCAAACAATGATACAGAAACATCCCTCCCAATAATTCCCGGCCAGTTTTTTTTATAAACTACCTGTAGCGCACATGAATGAATACTTATAAGTAGATATAAACCCAATCCAATAATACAATTCCAAAACGTTTATATCAAATGCGACTAAAGTAACATTCGTCCAGAGAAGAAACTCATTTGAGGCACTGTCACGAATAAAAGCCAAACATGAAAACACTAAATTCCAAAATATATCAAATCACCCATTCGGACTAACACTCATCGGATATAAACGTAGGACAAGGTTCCAACCGCACAACTATCCCCAAAGGCACAAACATACACACATTAAAAATGCGCAGAACATTCGCTCCGTCCATTAAATTATACATTTTAAATTTACATAATTCGCAGAAAACATCGAATCGGATGAAGCGGAAAAATCATTGCAAACTGTAAAGAAGAAAAAAATTAAAACGGACAAAAAACACAAACGCCATCAAATCGATATCGATCATACAAGTGAAACTTTAGACGAAACAATAACAAAATCTAGTATTATCAGTGAACAATCATACATTGAACACAAAGTCACATCCGAAACACACGAACAAACCATTAAATCCGCATCATTGGAAGTAGCCCCTGAAAACACAGATACATTTGTATTCGATGAAAAAACCTTACCCATGGCAACCGACACCGGTCCAAAACCTATCGAAATACTACCAATTTTCCATGCATCGAACATACAAGCCGCCAGTGTAATTGAAAGCGAAACGTTTATTCATTTGACCGATTCACCAACACAAAAATGTCTTGTAAATATTAGCGAACGTACTCCGCTTGTTATATCTGAAATTGATGAAACAGAAACCGTATCGACTAAAGAACAAGAAAAAACTGTGCCATTGCATCAATTATCGTCGACACTTATCACTAGCTCTGCCGCTATCAGCGATCAAGTTATTCCATCGGATAATGTAAATGTTTTCGAATCGAAAGCAATGCCAGCAACAATTGTTGCAGAGTCAAGCCGAGTGTTGCATGAAAGTAAAACCATATTCGAACAAGTGGCTACGATAAAAGAAGATTCATTACCCAACACATATGCTCCCATTCCTAAGCAAGCCACCAAAAGTATTAGTTTGCAAAGTTCGATTGAAATACAAGAAGTTGATGCTGGCGAGTCTGAGAAAGCTATTCTCGACAAATACGAACCAGCAATTCAAATTGCAACATGTAGTTTGATTTCGAATACGGCTTTAAGTACACAGGAAACGCTCGTCGAAAATGTTTCAACGAAATTCTATCCTGAAACGTTTATTGCTACGGAAGAGGCAGTGCCGAAATATGTTGAGCAAATTCCGTATCGGACGCAAGAAATTTGTACTGCTGAGGCAGAAAATGCGCTAGATGTGCAAGGTATGCCTACCAAAAAACAAGCTCACCTTGAATTCACCAACCTGCAAGCGATCAAAATAGAACAAAATGATATTAGCGAAAGTGAAACTGTATCAACACATACGATTTCCGCTGACCTATTGGCCACGGCCAAAGATACATTTGACTTACACAAAGAAATGCAAACTGGCTTCATTCAACCCATTGATTCAATTGTTCCACGTGAACCCATGGCTTTCTCAACGAAAAGAGCCTCTCTATCGGTGGATGAAATGGATAGTAAACTAGTTGAAACTGTGAACGTGTTACATAGTGAAAAACCATTTGATATTATTAAACCAACAATGGAACAGGAAGCCAGTCCAAGCTGTGTATCGCAAGAAAGTGTCGCTGTATCAGAAACGATAGTTCAAGAGAGCGATTCCGAATTCTTTCCGATTGCGCTCAATTTGGCAAAGGCATCAAAAACCCATGAAGTCTTTAAAATTGCTGAGCAAAGTGACGAACAAACGCTACATGCAACTGGTGATTACCATCGTAAAAAAGTGAACGAGACATTTAATGCCCAAGTAAATTTTGAATTGCAAAAATCGGTAGTTCGCGAAGCAATTGTCACTAATGATTCCGAGGAAGCTTTCGAAACGAAATTACACACGACTCTACCACATTATAGCTTCGATTCGAAAATGAACAGTCCAATAGTGGTTTCTGAAGTTCAAACACAAGAGGATAGTGCACAGCTTTCGATCGAACCAACAGTTCAAGGGGAGGCAACAACATCTCAGGAACTGTATAAAACTTACGAACAGCAAGATGAACAAGTTCTTGATACAACGTCTGAATATCGTGGCGATAAGAAGAGTGTGGCATCGAATGCTCAAATCAATTTCGAACTACAAAAATCGACAATTGGCAAGACTGTTCTTGCTCACGACTTGGAGCAGATATTTGACACAAAATTGAAAACCAATGAACCACATTATTCATTCGAATCGAACCTCAAGAGTCCGATTTTGGTTTCAGAGAATCAGATTCATGAAAGTAGTATCAAATTCTCCACAAAGCCCGTGGTTTCAACCACTGCCATGACGATTCAAGAGTTGTGCAAAGCACCTGAGTCTAGCGAAAATCAAACGCTTGAGTCGACTAATGATTTCCAACGAAAAGATAAGCTGCAAGAATCCACTGCACAAATCAACTTCGAATTACAGACATCTATGATACGCGAGACGATCATTGCTCAAGAGTCGGAAAAGAAATTCGAAAAGATAACACACGGGATTCACCCTAAGTACAGTTTAGCACCAACTATCAATAATTCAATAGTTGTATCTGAGACTCAAACTATAGACTCGGAAAAATTGCTTGGAACCAAACCAAGTGAAACACAACAACATTTGAATATTGTCGACTCTCCGAAGCATTTATCCCACGTTGGAAGTGTAAGTGAAACAATTCTTTATGATTCACCAGAGATTATATGCACGACGTTGGAACAACAAGTTTCAGCGAAAGAAGAACATATTTTACACCATGAAATAAAAGTAGAAATTTCAACTGCATCAGAAACCTTGGATCGACTTGACCAAACAAAAATGAGAGATGAAAAGAAGGCCACTGCTAGTATAATGAAAAAGAATGCGTTGAATGTCACGGTCGAAGAATCAGTTGAATCGCTAGATAAACTCAATGTGGCTGTTCCAAAAGAACTAGTTCCAAATTTCAAAGCAGATATGTTACCTGCAAGTTCGATAGTTGTAGACGAAACCAAGGCGTTAGAGCAAACTTTTAGCCTTGATATGGACTCTTTGAAGACAGCTAGTGCAATCGTTACGACAACGTTGCATAATGTTGCACATATAGATGAAAACTGGCCGATGGAAATGCTGGATGATTTCAAACGAAGTGCCATTGCTGCTGGTCAAAGACCAAACCAAAGCATTGTTGAATCATCTGCAGTTGAAACATCTACCATTATCAGTTCTGACAGCCTGGAAGAATTCGAAGAGAAATTAGAAAAGCCAATTCAACCGAAAATTTCGCTAAACGAACAAAATAAATTAGTTATAGAAAATATAATTTCTCAAGAAATGGTAGAACAAAGTAAATTCACATTAACTCAAGACGTTGCACAGGGACACATTGTAGAGAATGTTGAAGAGCAACGTCGCTGTGCATACTTACAACAAAATACATTTGAAAGCACTGTTCCACTGCAATTAAAGAATGTAGAACAGACAGTGTCTATTACAGGAAATGTGTCAGCGGCATTAACAACGGCTAATGTAGAAGAGATACAAACCATTTCATTTGGAAAAACATTCGAAGAGATGAAACCAGATCAACAGCATGGCAAAGAAGTTCAAGAAACTTTCAATGTGATTGGACAAACTGTCCAGAATATTCCACTTGAAAGTGAAGAAAATTTAACCATAGATTCAAAAACCAAAGCAGAATATCCGACAAAATCCATTGAAAGGATGTCATTTTATGCTACAGGTGCAATTGAATTACTAGAAAAAGAGGGTGAAATGGTAACTAAAGCTCAGAAAATATCACAAGTAGCGAAAACAACAACGGAACATTCATTGGCGGTAGCAAGTACTTCAGTTGATACAGCTTTGACAAATGTACATTCTCAAGAGGCAACGATCCTAGAAAAGCCAATTAGAAGTGCCATTTCTACGGTTGAGAGACCTTTTGAAGGCATAAATAGAGAAGATATATTGATACATGAAATGTTAAGCGATGTAACTATCGAAAAGGCAAGAACATCGGTTGCCAAACCAACATTGGAATATAAGAAATCACTTCAGATTGAAGGCATTGGACCATTTGACAAAGAAGGAAAACTTGAACGTAAAGAAACAGAAGAAAAAATATGTGATCAAAAACTTGAAGACCACTTAAAATCGGCTGTTTTCGAAATAGTGCAACCGGTTGAAGATATAGGCAAACAACCCAATTATGTGATGCAAACTGTCAAAGCGAATGAATTGGCAAGTGAAATGAATCAAAGCATAACTTTTGAAAGCGTTTATTTACAAGAACACACCCATTCAAATGAATCAGCACAAGTAATAAACAAAGTACCAACACATGCCGTCAAGGTGATCGAACAAATTCCTTTGTATAAAGACACCAATTTTGAAGAAAATAAAACAGAAAAATTACTAATCAAGCCACTAGTAGCAACACAAGAAACAACAGAACTAAAGAGCGCGCATAAAGAAACAGAAATTAATACGATTGTTGACATTAAAACCAATAAAAAAGCTGGCAAAATTACTAATAAAAGGGGTACAAAGAAAACAATAAGAAAAACCGAGCCGAGCGAAGCAGAAGGTAGGTGCAATAAGGGAATACAAATGTCTATTTTCATCATTACAGGAATTAAGATTAAGAATATTTCGTAACACAAGGTACACCGAGTACACAAAATCACACAATAGGCTATAAGAGAAACCAAAACAGAAACACATACATACACAAAACTTAAGGAAACACTTACAATATCATTCATACAGACACACCAGAAGAACACACAACACCACACACAAAACCCACATACAAAAGCAAACAAACTGAACATATACGTAAAACAGAAAAAATCATTCAGCAATTATCGTTGGATGATACGCAAAATATTGATAATATTCAATTAGTAGAGGAATTACCGGAAAGTGTTATAGTACTAGAAACAGAAAATGAAGAAGGGCTAAAGAAAAAGACAGTGGTGAAAAAACGAGTAATCAAAAAACAAAAAGGACCAAAGCAAGAAATTACTGAGATCCAAACTGTAGAAAAAGAAGACGAGGCTCCAGTTACCACCGTAACAACAAGCGAAATTGAGGCTCCATTTGAAGTCGAACCGCAAGATGCAGAAGTCGTACAAGAGCTCCCTGAAACAGTTATCGTGTTGGAAGGTGAAGACGGTTCCACAAAGAAAACAGTGATCAAGAAACGCGTCATCAAGAAGAAGAAGGGACCCAAGCAAGAAATTACTGAGATCCAAACTGTGGAAAAAGAAGACGAAGCTCCAGTTACCACCGTAACAACAAGCGAAATTGAGGCTCCATTTGA